GTGGTTTTCACACCTGATGATGATTGCTTGTGTTGCAGTCGAAACGTCGTGAGAATTTTATTGTTTTAAATTTTTATTATTTTATTGATGATGATTGCTTGTGTTGCAGTCGAAACATCGTGATAATTTTATTGTTTTATATTTTTATTATTTTATTGTTTCCCTTCTACGTGACTTTACCGAAAGAACCAAGAATATGAATCGCTGCAGTCACGAAAGCTTTAAATCAAAATTTGGGTGATTTGTTAACCTTGCTTGTACTTTGCACCCCTACCATGTTTTTTGTACTGTCTGTTGTAAAAAAAGCTTAATATCTCATCGGATTCCTCCGGTATAGATCAATATTACGATTAATCCTGTAAGCTAAATAAAGATTATGATTCTGAATGGACATGGCTTTGAGATCCCTGATGAAAATCGCTATTTCAGTGGAATTATTATTAATTGGTATTATTTGTGTTGTGAGATGTAAACGCTTTTCCCACGCCAGGCGCACAGCGAGGTGAGTTATAAAAAAAACATTTTTAAATACTTAAAAAAACACGCTTTAATGAAGTGTCCTGTCCGAGCTGCCCCTCCCCCTGCCCCCTTCGCCCCTCCCCCCCTTCCACATCCCCCGCCCCTCCCCCCTTTCCACATCCCCCCTTCCACATCCCCCGCCCCTCCCCCCCTTTCCACATCCCCCGCCCCTCCCCCCCTTCCACATCCCCCGCCCCTCCCCCCTTCCACATCCCCCGCCCCTCCCCCTCTTCCACATCCCCCGCCCCTCCCCCCCTTCCACATCCCCCGCCCCTCCCCCCCCTTCCACATCCCCCGCCCCTCCCCCCCTTCCACATCCCCCGCCCCTCCCCCCCTCCCACATCCCCCGCCCCTTCCACATCCCCCTCCCCCCCGTCCACATCCCCCGCCCCTCCCCCCCTTCCACATCCCCCTCCCCCCCTTCCACATCCCCCGCCCCTCCCCCCCTTCCACATCCCCCGCCCCTCCCCCTCTTCCACATCCCCCGCCCCTCCCCCCCTTCCACATCCCCCGCCCCTCCCCCCCTTCCACATCCCCCGCCCCTCCCCCCCTTCCACATCCCCCGCCCCTCCCCCCCTCCCACATCCCCCGCCCCTTCCACATCCCCCTCCCCCCCGTCCACATCCCCCGCCCCTCCCCCCCTTCCACATCCCCCTCCCCCCCTTCCACATCCCCCTCCCCTCCCCCCCTTCCACATCCCCCTCCCCCCTTCCACATCCCCCTCCCCTCCCCCCTTCCACATCCCCCGCCCCTCGGCGTGGCTCCCCGACGCTTGCCGTGACGTCAGTGGTGATTCACAGGCAACGTGAGTTGAGCGTTGACAATTAAGAGCCGTAAAAATATTGTTTTCAAATATATATTTCTTTATTTTTAATGATATAATATAGTCTTGTCATCAGTATGACATAGGTATTTCAAGTTTGCAGTCGATAGCACATTGGGAAGTGGGTAAAAATTGACTTAGAATATTTTTTTTGGAGCATACAACAAACGGAGTAAAAAAAAGCGTGTAATAATAAAAAGTTAATGTTTATTTAAATTAAATGTGCTTACACCGCCCCCTGCTGAAAGCTCTCCGAACAGACACAACGACTTTGCATGAGAGTCAACATTAAAACTTTTTTTTGGCAGTCAAATTATGAAAAAAAGACAAGAACCGGTTTTACTCTATCTGCCAATAAAACGGGTGTTAAGATACTCTTTGGTTCTATTGGGTAAAGTCACGTAGGTGAAAATAAAATAACAAAAAATCACGACGTTTCGGCCACAACACAAGCGGCCTTCATCAGGTGAAGGGACGTGCCTGTCTGGAGGACAGCGCTGGAGTGGAAGAAGCCACGCTTAGATCACGACATTTAAGCTGTGTGAGAAGAAGACCACGGGCTTTGACAATAGAATTAGCATGTAATTTAGCATTGAAATAGCTCATAGAAATAGCTAAGTTATAAGCCATTTCAATGCTAAATTATATGCTAATTCCTTTGTCAAAGCCCGTGGTCTTCTTCTTCTCACAGCTTAAATGTCGTGATCTAAGAGCGTGGCTTCTTCCACTCCAGCGCTGTCCTCCAGACAGTCTCGTCCCTTCACCTGATGAAGGCCGCTTGTGTTGTGGCCGAAACGTCGTGATTTTTTGTTATTTTATTTTCACCTATGTGACTTTACCCAATAGAACCAAAGAGTATGGATCCTAGCAGTCACGAAAGCTTTAAATCGGGTGGTAAGATGTTCAAACACACATGATCCCTTTTACAATGTTTCTATTTGGCGTCTGCACATCTTAACACACATTCTTGGTTCTTTCGGTAAAGTCACGTAGAAGGGAAACAATAAAATAATAAAAATATAAAACAATAAAATTCTCACGACGTTTCGGCTGCAACACAAGCAATCATCATCAGGTGTGAAAACTAAATAAAGTTAAATAAATGAAAAAAATGAAAACGAATGAAAAAACTAAATTTAGTTGTTTTCATTCGTTTTCATTTATTTTATGTGATTTTTTTTACCTACGTGACTTTACCGAAAAAGACTAAAGATTAAGTTTTACCCTTTCCGGCAATAAAACATGTGATAATTGTTTTTTAACCCTTTTATCTGGCAACAAAACTGACACCTTTTTTACAAGGAGTCATGTTTACATTGACCACAATGCCTGCGGTCGGAACGCAAACAAAAAACAACACAAACTCTGATAATGTATGTGGCACTGTCCTTGAAATTGATTTGTCCACACCCGAGACAGCTTTCTTTAGAGCCTCGTCTCACATGGTGTTGGACCAGAAGACGCCAAAAGGCGCACAACTCAAAGACAATGCACCATCAGAGTATGAGAGCTCGGGGTAAGCATTTGCACCATTGGAAACCTCATTTGCCAGTAACAAAATATGGTAATTGTTTTTTTACCCTTTTATCCGGCAACAAAACTGACGCATTTTTTTACAAGGAGTCATGTTTACATTGACCACAATACCTGCGGTCGGAACGCAAACAAAAAACAACTCTGATAATGTACATTAATAATGTACATTATCAGCGTTGTTTTTTGTTTGTACATTATCAGAGTTGTTTTGTGTTTGCGTTCCGACCGCAGGTATTGTGGTCAATGTAAACATGACTCCTTGTAAAAAAAGGTGTCAGTTTTGTTGCCAGATAAAAGGGTAAAAAAAAACTAATTATCATATTTTGTTACTGGCAAATGAGGTTTCCAATGGAATAAAACATGTGTTAAGATGTTCAAACGCCAAATAGAAACATTGTAAAAGGGATGTGTGTTTGAACATCTTAACACCCGTTTTAAAACCAAAGAGTATGAATCCTTGCAGTCACGAAAGCTTCAAATCTAGGGTAAAACCTATATTTTTTTCAAGCTAAGGGCCACTTTACACGACACATTGTTGTACTGTAACTCCATATTCCAGCGACTTCTGTCAATCCACTTGTGGGTAAAAGCCTGCCAACACCGTGCCAATCACTGGGGCTGTTTGACCATACTTCACCATGCTCGTCAGTGAGTGAGTGATGGCGAAGAGACGGACAGAATTCAAGTCGAATGTCTTCATTGGGCTGTGGTCTTTATCTGGGGGGCTCTGGTGGCCTTTGATGCGGCCCCCGACACTAAGAGGCTCACCCCCCCCCCCCTTTTTCCTGATGACGACCGCTTGTGTTGCGATCGAAACGTCGTGGTTTTTTATTTTATTCATGTTAGAACCATGCTACAGTCTACAATTATAGAGTTTTGATGAGGGAGTTCTTCTGGGATGGATGGTGGTGGGAATCCGGTTTTAAGTAAGCATCCGTATGGGTAGCTTGGTTTGGTTAAATCTCGTAAATATAAAAAATATGACACATTTATATTTACGAGATTTAACCAATCCCCAAAAAATCCCCAACTTTAATTGGATATTGGTCGCGAAAGTCTACTACGACTAACTACAGTACTGTACTATGTTTTAAACTTAACGTTACCTGCAACAAAAAATAGTCCCATTAATACCCCACCCCCCTTTGTTGACATCCCCCAACCAATCAGCGAGGCGGAAACACTCCGCGCCGAAGATCGGGCGATTCACCGCCGCGGTGGTAAGTGGGGGTGGGGCGAGTGGGGGTGGGGCAGCGAGAAGTTCCCGCTGACCAATGGGAAGTCGCGTCGTGGGTATGGCGCGAGGCGTTGCCCGTGGCGACAGGAAGCCCGGGGGCTTTGACCGGAAGTCCGGGCCCCACGACCGGAAGCCCGCGTGTCTACCTTGGGGGAGACCGAGGGGAGGAGGAAGACCGAAGGGGGGGAGAAGACCGAGGGGAGGGGAAGGGGGGGGAGGGGAGGGGGGAGGGGGGGGAGGGGAGGGGGGGAGGGGGGGGAGGGGAGGGGGGGAGGGGGGGGAGGGGAGGGGGGGAGGGGAGGAGGGGAGGGGGGAGGGGAGGAGGGGGAGGGGGGGAGGGGAGGAGGGGAGGGGGGAGGGGAGGAGGGGGGGAGAGAGGGGAGGAGGGGGGGAGAGGGGAGGAGGGGGGGGGGAGGGGAGGAGGGGGGGGAGAGGGGAGGAGGGGGGGGAGAGGGGAGGAGGGGGGGGAGAGGGGAGGAGGGGGGGGAGAGGGGAGGAGGGGGGGGAGAGGGGGGGAGGGGGGGGGAGAGGGGGGGAGAGGGGAGGAGGGGGGGGGGAGAGGGGAGGGAGAGGGGAGGAGGGGGGGAGAGGGGGGGGAGAGGGGAGGAGGGGGGGGGGAGAGGGGAGGGAGGGGGGAGAGGGGAGGGAGGGGGGAGGGAGCGATACCGGGGGGGGAGGGGGGCGACCGAGGGAGGGGGGGGGGCGACCGAGGGGAGGGGGGGGGGCGACGAGGGGAGGGGGGGGGCGACCGAGGGGAGGGGGGGGGGCGACCGAGGGGAGGGGGGGGGCGACCGAGGGGAGGGGGGGGGGCGACCGAGGGGAGGGGGGGGGGGCGACCGAGGGGAGGGGGGGGCGACCGAGGGGAGGGGGGGGGGCGACCGAGGGGAGGGGGGGGGGCGACCGAGGGGCGCTGTGGGCGCCATGCGGAAGCGGCTGCTCGTGGTGGTGGTGGCGGCTGCGGCGCGCCCTCTCCTGCCTCTCCTGCCGCTCCACGCTCTCTCGGCTCTCTCGGCGCTCTCCGCCTGCAGGTCGTAGAGAGGCACTCGCCGGCTTCCCACTGCGCCCACCGCGCTCACTCCGCTCTCCTGTGTCGCTGTGTGTGTGTGATGGTGTAGGGGGAGGGAGCGGTGACACAGTTGTGTGTGTTACAGCCGGGCGCGTCAGTCAGTCAACCCATGGCACCTGCTGGGTCTGTCCCGTGACTGACCAGCAGCGAGCCTTCGGCATTGTCCGCCGCGCACCTCGCCTGGCACAGGCTTAGTGGCGAATGGAGGGTGTCGGTATCGGTGTGAGTGTGTGTGTGGGGAGCGGTGGCGCAGCGGTTAGCGCAGCGCGCTACCAACCCGGCCTCCAGAGTTCGATTCCCGTTCACGGCCAACAACACCGTCAGTGACGATGATCTGAACCGGTCCTGGGTCTCCCCTAGGTCGACTCGGTCTCAAACGAGTACCTGGTGCCGTGTGCAAATGTTGCCATTGTGGGGAGACAAAGGCGGTCGGGCGTGGTGCTGGCCACCCACCCCCTTCGTGTGCCGTGCCGGCCTTAAGAGGTGCTCGCTAACAGCACTTGCCCCAACAGTCTGTTAAGGCTGCACGGGGGATCTTTGTCTTTGTGCACTATTTAAAGTGCACCTAGCCTGGCACCAGCGCCGTGGTGACGTCAGACAATGGTGCTGATACAGATGAAGTGTATTTAGCTGGGAACCCGAGGCTGATTATAATCTTCGTAATCGATTTCAGTCTTCGCTGTCGTCTCTCGGGACCTGATGAAGGAGCTGTTTGGTAAACTAATCGCAGTCTCTTATTAAAGTCCAATCTTGTCAATTGTGTGCCACTGATGCAAAGCCGTAGCCACGGAGTCAACATTGGGGGGGGGGGGATAAATCTTCCCGGGGGTCCGCCCCCCCCCCCCCCCCCAGAAAAAATCTAAATTTTAAAAGATTTTCCTGCCTAAAATATTTTTTAAAAAATTCACTAACACGTGGGATGGACTTTTGATTTATTTTTTTACAATGTCTAAGAGTGTTTTGTATTTACATTGCTCTCTCTGTTTTATTTTATTTGTTTACCTTTTCTTATTTCATTGTACGTAATGGCAGAGATTATGGATTAATTCAGTACAACCATAACCACACTCATATAAACAGAAATCTATTTTATAGCGATATATTGGGTGGGGGGACGGGGGGACGGGACATTTTCAGCATATTTGAATATTGTGGGGGGGGGGATGTGCCCCCCCAAATATATTATAATTACGACCTTGCACTGATGTGTACACGTGGCAGGGTTCACCGTGAGATTGTACCCCTTCAGATTTCAGAAGAGCACTTTCAGTTCCCTCTTTTTGAGCAGAGAAAAGGGGAAAACTAAAAACCTAAAAGTACAATGAATCCAGGAGGAGAGTTCGGAATGAATACCATCGTTCTGAATTGGGTCCGCATTCTCGCCACAGGCGCGACAGTAAATTTGCAGCGGGGAGATGTTAACGAACATGTTGAAAACTTCTTTCGCACCGTACGTCCTCGGTGTATGTGTGTGTGGCGTCCGTATCGCGGCTGACGCGTGCTGCGGTGTAGATGAAAACACGTCCAGCCTGTAACGCCTCGCGCAGTGTGTTGTGTCACTCGAGGAGAGGGTAAGCGTGAAGGAAAAGCACAGACGAGTGGGATACCAGGTGAGGTCCCCACTGAGCGATCACAAACGGTAACTTCAACAAAGTGGCCAGTCGTGCGTGGGAATTTCTAGCAGACAAATTACTCAAAACGCGTGGTGTTGAGTCAAGATGTGAAGGGAAGAACCGGAAGGCCCCGGAGAAAAATCCACGCACCCACGGAGAGAGAGAGAGAGAGACACGCAGACTCCAAATATACAGGGGGTCAGGCTCGGGATGGAATCCACAACATCCTGTATATCAGGCGAGGTAGTTAACATTTCGCCATCGTAACTTTGTCCCTTACCCGCCCAAACTCTGTGATCCTCTAGATATGAAAGTGTAACGGGATAATTAATCGGGTTTTACACGTGGGAGGAAAGTGGAGCAGCTGGGAAAAAACCTTGTGTAGTACCCCAGTAATTACCCTGTAATCGGGTAATTTGTATGGGGTAAGGGTAAACGGTAGGGTAAAGGTAGGCTCGTTGCTTTTTACCTTACCTGCTAAAGGGTAAAAGGTAGGGTAGAGTGATTGTATTGCGGTAAGGTAAAAAGTATGGTAAAGGTAGGCTCGTTGCTTTTTACCTTACCTGCTAAAGGGCGAAAGGTAGGGTAGAGTGATTGTATTGCGGTAAGGTAAAAAGTATGGTAAAGGTAGGCTCGTTGATTTTACCTTACCTTGCCGAGGCCTAGGTGGACACATTACGTATAAAGAGGAACCAGCAGCTCGTTCATTGGTGGGGAGTAGCGCTGGGCCAGGTGTTTAGGAAAATTATCTTTGAACCCGCTGGTCACCTGAGTTCAAGTTTCCAGCTACGGCTAACATCAGTGGTGAGTGATGTCTCAATGGATTTATAGACGCCTCGCTCCCCCCCTCCCCCAGTACGTCCTTCAACCCGAACTGAACAGCGCGGTAGAGAGTGTGGTCACCTCCGATTGGCAACTGTCGGCGACGTAGGGTGTGAAAGAAGTTCAATGTACGTACGTACACGGGAACCCCACGACGAACACGGCGTGGGGAGGCATTCATCCAGCAGTGAATCGGCAGCTGGGTGTAAAATATTGTTGATTAGTCGCTTTACAAGCAGAGGAAAAAATAAAAAAGAGGCCAGCGGTCTGCTTCTTATAAACAATTGAGAGGGAGTCAGCAGTGGAGATTGCCATGGGCAATGGAGTTGCAGGCAGTGGGGCAACAGAAGAGAAGGTGCAACCACCCATTGGGCAGAACTTGTAAGTACGTGGGCAAGTTGTGATACCCCCCTATCCCGTTCCCTATTCTAGCGTTAATTTAGTCAACATTTTAAAGTTTTACCGTTGTCGACTAAATACTTGTGAAATTTGTTAGTTTGTGAATTAAATCTAGTCATTCTCCTAGTCTCGTCAGATAATTCGATCAGTCAATCGGCTGATTCGGCAAATAGTTTTGTATACGCATATTGCCAATTACTCTTTTTGGTCTTTCTCAGTGTTTCTTAAAACGTTGCTGAATTGTCTCAGTCTGCTTCTTCATTCATATGAGTCTCAATTTGTCTCGTCATAGGATGTCATGCTTCGACATTTGGTGGGCAGTCATTGTAATGTTTCATGATATCTTTTCCCCTTAGTCTTTGTAGACCAAAATGAAAATGCAATTCGTGGACGAATATTTTCGTCACTAACGCGGTCAACAAATGAGCCGTTAAATTTCGATTTAAAGCTTTCGTGACTGCAAGGATTCATCTTCTTTGGTTCTTCACCTGATGAAGGCCGCTTGTGTTGTGGCCGAAACGTCGTGAGAATATTATTGTGTTATTTTATTTTCTTCTTTGGTTCTTTCGGTAAAGTCACGTAGAATGAGAATAAAATAATAAATTGATAAAATAAAATAACACAATAATATTCTCATGACGTTTCGGCTACAACACAAGCAGCCTTCATCAGGTGAAGGGACGAGACTGTCTGGTAGGACAGCGCTGTCCTACCAGACCTGATGAAGGCCGCTTGTGTTGTGGCCGAAACGTCGTGAGAATATTATTGTGTTATTTTATTTTATCAATTTATTATTTTATTCTCATTCTACGTGACTTTACCGAAAGAACCAAAGAAGATGAATCCTTGCAGTCACGAAAGCTTTAAATCGAAATTTATTTTATTTTATCAATTGATTATTTTATTCTCATTCTACGTGACTTTACCGAAAGAACCAAAGAAAATGAGCCGTTGTTAGGCCACGGTTTTTGCTTTCCGACTGGTACGAGGGATGGCCAGGATGACCCTAACGTAGCTTCAATCGGGGAAGCGCTTTGGGCTTCACTTCTAGACGGCAAATGGCACGATTACCGTTGAGCGACCATTGGATCGGTCCTCCCCCGGCACGCCTCGCATGTCACTAACAGGAGGATCGCGTTGCCTTCGTGTTCCCCCTCTCACGTGCAGGGTCGACGCGAGCGTGGGATCCTTCCTCTCGGGCCAGTGGTGCGGCGCGTCAACCGCTCGCGGAGCGATGGCTGCGGCACCGCCGCCGCCGCCGCGATCGTGCAGTGCCGCGGGCCGCGACGCCTTGGCGGCCGGAGGCTGCGCCCCCCTCAACGTGAAGTGCCGCGGGGGGCTCTACTCCGGCTCGACGGTGAAGCGCTTCCCCGTGCCTGACGACCACGTGGCCTGGGGGACGGCCTTCCCCGAGTACGCGCCCAAGGAGTACACGGCGCCTGCCGTGCTCGCGGGACCCGTGTGGGCCGACCCGCAACACACGTGAGCGGTGCCAACCCGTGCTGCTGCTGCTGCTGCTACGTACTGCTTCGATTTCGGCTGCTTCTGTTCCTGAAACTTTGTCTGTTACTGCGACTGTTGGTTGTGCTGCTGCTGCTGCTCTTGCTGGTACTACTGTTGTTGGTCCTGCTATTGCTTGCTGTTGCCTTTCCTGTCGTTGCTGCTACTGTACTACTGCTGCTGCTGCCGATTTTGACGTTGCTTTTGTTGTTGGTATTGCGATTGACCGTGCTGCTGCTGATGCTACTGTTTCTACCGTCAGCGCAGTTTATTGCTTCTGCTCCGTTTGTTCTATTGTGCCACTCGTGATCATTTGAAGGCAGTAGAGAGAGAGAGAGATTAATGACATTCCTCTGTGGGCCCTCTCAGCAACCTGACGTAGGCTGCTCATCACCCCCAACTCAACATCGATCCCAGACGCCTGTCTACGACGGCGAAATGTATCAACGTCACCTTCTGTGTGCTGCCAAAAGCAGCGGCATAGTGGGCTGACTCGCTGTCCCAATGTCTTGCCTCTTCGTGGCCCGGGGACCTGAGCCCCTCTGGCCAGTCAGTGGCCCCTGGTGCAGTTGCACCACCTGCACGCGCGATGGCCCAAAGCTTAATGGAACAAGACTTGGCAGTCTAAATATTGCGCGGTATTCTTCATTATTTTTTTCCGACTTTTATCGGGCAGGGAAGGCTGGGGTGGGCGACCGCCAAAGTTCAATGAACTGGACGGGAAGATTGACCGCAGGAGCCACATGGGACGCTACGAGGTGATCGACGGACTCTCCAGGTGAGTTCGTTACACTCGGTCTCACTCGGACTCTCCCCAGGTGAGTTCTTCACACGCAGTCTCACTCGGACTCTCTCCAGGTGAGTTCTTTACACTCAGTCTCACTTGGACTCTCTCCAGGTGGGTTCTTCACACTCAGTCTCACTCGGACTCTCCCCAGGTGAGTTCTTTACACTCAGTCTCACTCGGACTCTCTCCAGGTGAGTTATTTACACTCGGTCTCACTCGGACTCTCTCCAGGTGAGTTCTTTACACTCAGTCTCACTCGGACTCTCTCCAGGTAAGTTATTTACACTCAGTCTCACTCGGACTCTCCCCAGGTGGGTTCTTCACACTCGGTCTCACTCGGACTCTCTCCAGGTGAGTTCTTCACACTCAGTCTCACTCGGACTCTCTCCAGGTGAGTTCTTTACACTCAGTCTCACTCGGACTCTCTCCAGGTGAGTTATTTACACTCAGTCTCACTCGGACTCTCCCCAGGTGGGTTCTTCACACTCGGTCTCACTCGGACTCTCTCCAGGTGAGTTCTTCACACTCAGTCTCACTTGGAGCGGTCGCTTGCTCGCCTTCACCTCGCGCGACACAGCACGTCTCAGGCGCAGTATTTTTTGCTGGTGTTCGTAAACAAAGAGTGGAGTAGCACGGTGAGCGATTCGTACTTTGCAGTCCAGAGTTCTCTCGTTATTCACGAACTTGCCTGCTGCGATTTTGGCTATCCGCGAATCGCATCTGTAACTCTACACGACTGCATCGAGAGAGAGAGAAAGAAAGTGTTGAGATAGAATGTGATGAAAGAGAAAGTGATGAAAGATACAGTTGTGAGATCATGTTCACGTATTTAATAGCTTATTTTCGTGTTTACTTGCATTCACGAGCATTTCTGGAACGTATCCCTCGCGAATAACGAGAGAATACTGTATACACCCGGTGACCATGAGTGTTATACCCACCTTCGCCAGCCTGCACTGACCAGCTGGTCGAGTATGGTCTGACAACCTCCACGACTGATAGGGAGGTCTTCATCCAGCAGTGGACTGACAAAGGGGTGTAAATGGTTTTAAAGAACCTTCCTGGGTGGCGGTGTGTTTAGAGCAGCACATGGTTCGACACTGGAAGGTGGCGATTTAAAATCCCAATCGTGAGGATCGACTAAGCCAATCATCATCATCATCATCCCTCCAGGGTCAATAAAATGTGTAATTCTTTGTTGAGAAGCCAACAGTGGTTGTCTTGAGGAGTGACTGCCTACCGCCATAGGAATGTGGAGTTTTCCACACCTCAGTGGTTGTTCATTCTGAAACTGTTGATTTAATTTCGGGTTTTCGCCAAATACGATTTGTATACCCCAGCTTTTATTTGGCTCATTGTGTGTTAGCCAGCCAGCCCTGTGTAGGTAGCAAGGCCCGTTTATTATTATTTTTTGCTTGCAATCATCATCTCTCCACTAGGCGAGTCATTATTAACGTCACAATGGCGCGTGTGCTCCGTGCTTTGCCCGTTGTTGGGGGATTTATTTTTCCGTTCTTCTTTGTGCGGCTTTAGCAGGCCTGCTCAAACAAGCCGGTTTGTTTGCGGCCGTTGCTCAAAAGCGGCAGCGGCAGCGTGGTGCGGTTATGAATGAGCAAGCAGTACGTGCTTTGGGTGGGCTTCAGATAATGGCAAATGTCTTGCACACTGTGCCAAGCTCACAAATAGACCTCGCCTGGTAAACCGGAACGGAGAATGGGAACACAAGACGTGTTGTGCACGGCAAACCTGTGCCGAATGTTGAACGCACATTTGGCTCATCTTTCATAGATTGCGTTTTTTGTTGCTAACAAAACTCAAATAGATTGCTTCATTGTCATTTTAAGCATTTGGCTCACTGTTTTGTTGAAACACGTATTAAAGCTACAATTTATTTTTAACAAAAAATATTACATTCAAAATGCAGCATGGGGTGGGAGGGAGGAGGGTGCAGTGGCGGTGTAATGGTGAGTGCACTGCACTCTGAACCTGTGTGGCGAATGATATCAAAACCGGGCCAGGGTTACCATCCCCCCTTTACCAACCCAGAGTGACCAGCGTAGTGAAGTATGGTGAAACATATCCCCCACGGCCGACATGGTGTGTGGTAAGGCCTTCATCTCGCAGGGGATTTACAGAGGGTTGTGATTTTTATCACAATTATTATTATTACGATTTGCGTAATGCAGTTTGGATTACAAAAAAGCATCTAAATGCGAACCTGTCTCTCTCAAGACACTTCGAATACATATAAAGGCTGAGGTTTACCGGCCGCGGAAGGCTGCACAGATGTCCAGATGGGCTTCTTCAAGCATTCTTTAAAATCTCAATTTACGTGCAGTAAATGTGTGAGAAAAAAAAACCGAGATGGAAAGCACTAACAGAGCACGTGGCTTCCATGGCAACACGTTGCTGAATTCCGTACAACGCATAAGTACAGTACATGCATATAGCTTTAGAATTGCTAGTACACATTTGCGCGCAGTCACCTAAGGTGTACAGCTTGGTTAGCACATTTGACACGTTGGTTTTCTTGACCAATTTGATTTGTAATAGATTTTTGGTACAGATTGCGTGGGTAAAATGTGTGTCCTAAATCCCTCCTTTACCCAACGCAGCCAGTTAATAAATAAACTTTCCCAAATGATACTGCTTCAGCATTAGCACACAAACAGTATTTGGGGTACATATAAAAAATAAATCCTTATTTATTTCGGTAAGCGCACCCTGATTCTGAGTCGACTCTTGTCCTATCTGTCAGACTGCCGGTCACAATTGTAATTCTATCATTCATAATTTATTTGGAACTGCATTGTAAGTTTATTTTCAGCCCACAATGCTCTTGTCATACAGTTACAATTGCGTTCTTCATAATGCATTGCAGTCAAAATGTAATTGCACTTTTAGCCAACAATGCTGCTGTATATGTAATGATAATTGGCCCAAGGTCTGTTTGTATGTTAAACTTCTTTCGCACCGTACGTAGCCGACCGTGCTAATCGGAGGTGTAGGGGAAGGGCAGCAAACTAAACACAAAAAGCAGTCCTAAAGAAATTAGTTTTTAATCTAGATTATTTGAAAGTGCATAGTTACAGTGGCTTCCTCATATCGGAAGGAAGAGTGGTCGGGACGGCCGCAGCAGCACATCTGAAAGCGCCGCACGATGCAGTGACCGTCTTTGTTCGATGCCTAGCCAAAAGCCGCCGCTGCTGCTTCTGCTGCTGCGAGGATGACCAAAGTTCGTGTGATGGTTGACGTTCTTTGACGAGATCCGCAGGCTATTGTGGTTGACGAGATCCGCCATGATGGTTATGATGGTCATAACGATGACGATTCTTCCTTGCAGAAACCCGATTGGCAGGACTGGGATTAAGGGCCGAGGGCTCCTGGGCAGGTGGGGCCCCAACCACGCTGCAGACCCCATTGTGACGAGGTGAGGAGAGCCCCCCCCCCAACATCTGCTCTGTGCCCTCCTCACTCGGACGTTGCATTTTTATTGCCACATTTATTTTTTTACAGAAGACCCAACCCCCCCCCCCCAAAAAAAAAACAAAAAAATTGGTGCTGTTATAATTATAAGAACAGGGGTCCCTCCATGGTGATGTGGCCGTTGAATTCCGCTTCTAGAAATAAGCCTATTTGGTGATGTAGTGCGAGCTTCCCGGCCCCCAGGGTTTTTGTGCCGTAATTCGCACATTTTCAATTTGCCCTCCTCGTGCTGCAGCGGCCGCTGGCGCGAGCCTCGCTGCGTTCCCGACGTAGCCGAGATCCCCGGGGGCTCCACCTCGTGGACGGAGGTGAAGGGCTCCCAACTCAGCTGGTGCACCACAGCGAAGTGGCTTAATGGTGAAGGCGGGGGGAGCGTAATACAGAACAACAATGATTGATTTACCGCACTGTTTCCCCCTCCGCTGCCTATCAGTCCCACAGTTATATAGCAGCCTGCTGTTGTGCATGGTGCTCATCCATCCAAGCACTACCCTGGCTGAAACGTGGTTAGCTTTGCAGCTTTATTGCGACCAAGTGCATTTGTGGGTGAATTAAAACTAAAAACTAAACGAGTTTTATTTGACCAGATAAGGTTCACCAAGCTGTGTAGCTCTTTTTCAAAAGCGATCTGGCTGCCAAAAATGATTGCCCAGCAACGTGGCTTGTCATGTGGAAATTCATAGCAGCCAAATAATCTAAATGCATGTTGATGCTCAGTGTGGAGCACCCGGAGAAAAATCCACGTGACCACGGGGAGGTCATGCAAACTTCAAATATACGGGCGTCAGGGTCGGGATCGAACCCCCGACCTCCTGTATACCAGGCGAGGTAGTTAACATCTCATAGCCACTGTGGCACCCAGGGCTATGGAAGAAGAGCGGTGTTATTGTTGCACCTGACGGCGATGACCATTGATAACGCTTCAAACTCGTGTTGCACAGCCTAGGATGCAGAGCCAACATGCAACGTCTACAAGATAGGAGATTCATTTTTGTTTTTTCCATCGATTGGTCTTGTTTCCTAGGTGGAAGCGCGTCGGGGGCGTGGTGGAGAAGAAGGATGGGAAACCCATCCTGCAGTTCGTGGCCATCAAGCGCAAGGACAACAATGAGTGGGCAATTCCTGGGGTGAGCAGTCTGTGTGTGCCCCTGACACCGGATGCACCTCACGGCACCTCAGTGAGGGCTTCTCGGCAAACCAGTCGATCCGCAACGTGCAACGCGCCGCGTTCAGCACAGAGCCGAGACGGAAGCGCAGGTTGCAATGAGAAACGTCGAACTATTAAGTTGAACTCAACGCGAGAGAAAATGAACGTTTTCGGTCTACCGATTGTAGTCGACTACCTGTTTGGTGGTCGATTGCTTGGTTTTCGCTTAGAATTGGTGGCCGCCTCGACATCCTGCCTCCCGAAGGCGGGAGGCTCCCAACAAGCCACGGCCAGCGTGGCGCGACTGATGATGTCTTGACAGCAAGGCCTGGTAGGCCGCCCAAATGCTAAGCGGGCTGATCGCCCTGCTTAGCGTCTGAGATCTGACAAAATTGTGGCGTGTTTGTGGCTGTTTTTACCACGTGCTCACGTGTGTGTCTGTGTGTTTGTGCGTGCGCCACATGCTTTCCCAAGGGCATGGTGGATGCTGGGGAGAAGGTCTCTCTCACGTTGCGTCGGGAGTTTGGGGAGGAGGCCCTCAACTCCCTGCAGCTCAGTGGTGCTGACAGGAAGCACCTCCAGGAGCAAATCAACAAGCTCTTCTCTGCCGGGGAGATGGTGAAGGGATAAGCACACTTTTAATTTTGTGAACGTTTCTCTAAACGGTTGAGTGTGTGTGTGAGACACGTCCAAATGATGTGGCCATCGGTTCAAAGGTCAGGACGTTAAGCTGACACTGATGAGACGCCAGGTTCTAATCCAGGCAGCTGCCTGTGTTAATGGTCTTAGCCCGATCACTGCACAAATAAGCATCACATTAAATGTATTTTTTTAGCATAACAGGGCGAAATTCCAGCTCTTGAGAATGAAAATATATCAGTTTGAATGTCATGCGCCTCTTGGTGACAGGGCAGGTGGGAAAGTGTATACCCTCTGTTGTGTGCACCATAGGTCACGTGAAGGTAACTCGAGAGGGTAGCTATGTGATATCAGCAGGCCATTCTCTAAGCTTAACGGGAATTGCACTGCTCTGGGAGATTTCTGAATGGGTTCTAGATACTTGGCGCCATGTCCTACGGACCGCGACCACATGGGGCCCCACCATTGAAAAACGACGATAAAATAATATTTTAGCCGCACTCATCATGTACCGAAGGGGTGGGGGGGAGAGATATATTTTTTTATTTCAGCGGGCTAAGCCACTTCTGTCACTGCAAGAGCGTCTTGTAGTGACAGTAATGACTGTGGTATGTCTTCATGTGTGGCCTGCGAAAGATACTTTAAAGTCCTACGAGCAGCCCATATGTCCATCGGTCTCTCCCAGCCAGCCAGCAGTACTTTTATTCTTATATAGAGTCATCTCTCTCTCTACCATTCTCTTGCCTTCTCTGTACTCTATATCACAATTCATCTCGATTTCTCGCAATGTTTCTGTTCCTCAATTCCTTTACCATCTCCTCCTCTGCGTCTCCCCCACTTCCCGCCCCCCCCCCCCCCATCGCGCCATTTCCCTTTCCCACCTCTCACCCTCGCTCGCCTCATTCCCACCTCTTCACTTTCCATCTCAATCTCTCCCACCTCTCCCTGATCCTCTCGACCACTGCTTGTCACGTCCCCTCGCTCTTCTCTTTCCATTTTGCTCTCGCTCTTTTTCTCTCCGCTTCATCCCCTTTCATTCTCTCCCCGCCCCTCTCCTCTCCATCTTTTACTTCCTCCTCTATCAGCCTCCCTCACCACCCTCCTCTGTCTCCCTCCCCTATCACATTTGTGTGGAGGGTGGCGGCATTGTGAGACAGTGACGTCAGAGCCATGCACGACCCCCCGCTCAACTGTGTGGGATTTGGGTGACGTCATCGCGTGCAAATGTGCGCGATGACGAGCGTGCTTAGGGGCGTGGCATCCAGACAGTCTGGAATCCACCCAGGTTAATCATCACCCACGCACTTTTAAATCTAGTTTAAAAACTCATTTCTGTCGAACTGCTCTTTTGTGTTTGTTGTCCGTCCCCAGATTAGCATGGTTGGCTACGTGTACGGTGCCAAAGAAGTTAAACTCGCATACGTGCAGAACACTTGTTCCTAGTATAGTATGACTCAACCCTCACTCAGGTAAAAGGTTCCCCACCCATGTGTTAAAACAACAGACCTGACAGGTGCGCAAACCTGGCTCTCTGTGTTACCCTGCTACCCTTTGCATTCAAGTGCGGGATAAGTCGTGCGGCTTTGTCTGACAGGTCTACAAGGGCTACGTGGATGACCCACGCAATACCGACAACGCCTGGATGGAGACCGTGGCTGTTACTTTCCACGACGAAAACGGTACGACGGGCAAACGCGAGGCATCTCCGCGCGAGTGGAGACGCAGGGATGCCAGGGGTAGTACACCGGTCTCACCGAGGGTGGTGTAACGTACCCTCGTCGTTGTTCGGTACTTGTGAAGCCTATTTTGGTCACTCACGATTATTGTTGGTGGCTTTTTTTTTTAATTGTGGTGGTTGTAAGTAACAAAACAAAAAAAAAACAGGCCGCAAATTAATATAATAGAATATTTAAACCGGTCCAAGAGAGACCTCCCTCCACCGTAATACACTGAGCAGCCCGGTGAAGTTGTGGTCAACCGACGCCTATGACCGACACAGTGTTGGTAGACCCTTTAAACAGCAGTCCATTGACAAGCACCTGCAAACTAATGGAACGTGTTTTTTTAAAAATGTATTTATCCATATAGTCTGAGTCTCACGGCTTTTTTAAACATGTATGTATGTTGAACGTCTTTCACACCATACGTAACCAACCGTGCTATTTGAACGTTGCGGGGGAAAGGACAACAAGCTAATCATAAAAATCAGTCCTATAGAAAGGAAGTTTTCAATCTAGATTTAAAAGTGCCGTAGCTCCCAGTGGCTTCCGAATTAAGGAGGCGCTCCTGCAATGATTGCACATTTGGATGTTGGGACGGTCCCTTTCCGTCGAGCCTTTTAAGTGCGGGAGAGAGGCAGTGCCCGGAGAAAAACACTCGAAGGTCCAGGCAAGTGGGCTCACTCACCCCAGCACGCTTTGTTTCCATCCGTCCTCACCATCTCGCAGCCTAGCAGGTCGGGGAGTTTCACATCTCTCTGTGAAAACTTTGTGATACAGCGTCGCAGTTTTATTTAAGACAGTATTTTTGTTTACGCATTGCTGCCTCGCTTGTATTGGCGAATGTTGCGTCTTTTATGCAGTTTAGTTTGCTCCATTAACCTAAGCACAACAGTAGGGTAGCGTCCTGTACATATGCAGCCCTTTTGTCGATAAACGGCAGTATCTATGAACAATTTTACTTTTATTTATTTTGCCAAGTAAGGCCCACCGAAGGCCTCCCCATGTACGAAGGCCCCCCCCCACGCTGTGTGGGTTACGGGGTGCATTTGACCATACTTCAGCACGCTGGTCAGTGCAGATTGGTGAAATCCGGCGCGTCCATGCGGGGGGACATCAGTGCATGTTGCCGCATTGCTATCTGCTGCCCGCGGCGTGAACTCACCACATCGGCATATCGCGCGCGCATAAATGCCGTGAATGGTAGCGAGTCGTTCGCTACGCGCACGATTATTTATCCGTTGAACGCGTGCTTGAGAATCGATCTCGGGTCTACGAATCGACGCTTCGTTGCCCGCAAAACCGGCCAAGCGCCGCCGCCCACCTCGTGCCGTTTTCCCAGGGGAGAACGTGGGCAGGCTGCCCTTCCAGGCCGGGGACGACGCCGTGGGCGTGAAGTGGGTGGACGTGCACTCGGCGATCAAGCTCTACGCCAGCCACACGCTCTTCCTGCAGAAGACGGCCGAGCTGAGGCACGCACACTGGTAGCGTGGTAGCGTGGTAGCGTGGTAGTGTGGTAGCGTGGTAGCGTGGCAGGGGTGCCGTACCATCTCCCACCCACCCACCACTACCCCAACCGCCTGTGCGTCACCGCCCGCTGGGGCTTGTGGCGGTGGGGGGGGGGAGGTGGGGGGCTTCCCTCGTGGAGGCTGTACACAACACTGCAGATTCTTTCATTCCAACGAGACCCCCCGCCCACCTGCCCGTCACAAAAAACATCACCTGGGACTACACCTAAAATAGGCAAGGCTATTTAGGGTACCGTTGTGTATGTCGGGATGTGCATAGCTTCAAAGCATTAAGAACCATTTTGAGGGATTTCAATTGTAATAATTCAATGGTCACCATCTCCCTGTTCAAACAAGCATGGTGGTGGTGATGAGGCATACTCATGTTCAATGGGATGTCTGAGTCGGCAGTTAGAATTCGGCATTGTTATGGTGGGAAGGAGGGGGGCAGCTTATCCATAGGACAAGGCTTGTGTTATTCTCGTTAGTGAGGAGTGGTGGGCGTAGTGGTTAGCTCGCCGTGCTAACTTGGGTTCGATTCCCCATCAGGCACGCCAAGCTTGGCTCGAATATCCCCACCGGATTGTGCATGGGCACAGCCGTTGTGCTAGTCCACTACTGGACGAGGGCCTCGTGGTATGGTTACTGGTCGCGGGGTTATTTTAGTTTTACCATACTTCACCATAATGATCTGTGGGGACTCGGGGGAGGGTTGGTTAAATGCAGGAAGCATAGATGTGCGGGGAAAGCACATTCCAACAATGCAACTTTGCTGCAATGCCCTTTTTTGCCCACATACCACAACCCCACGAGGTAACCCCCCCCCCCCCCCCTAAGTTGGCTTGGCCTTAAATGATTATTACCTAGTGCAGTGTGTAAACATCAGCACTGGGTGGGGGGGGGGGTTGGTTGTACGTGGTGCTCCACACACCACCTGCGCTTAACGCAGGGGGGATCTTGGGTCAACTCTTTAAAATCGCAACCGCTACGCCATCAGACCTCCACGAGTGAAACGCTGCAGTGTCAAAACCACGCGTGCAGCTTGCGCATATCAACTGTGCAACGGTGTGCTCGGCTTTATTAGAATTGTATCGGCTGTGCGTGTTGTGGGGCGAGCAGTCTTGGTTGATTTTCGCCGTAAAGGCATCTTTCACGGCATCAGAATAAACATAGCCTTTGCCCAGTCATGCGTGAATACATTTTGTTTGCGACTAATATATGTACTCAAATACTATTATCCGAATGAAAGAAGCCCAAAGCTGCATGACAACCGAGGCCAGATTTAATAGGTGTAGTCCATGAGCACAAACCAGATATTTGCCTCGTCAAAACCACTGGCATCATTTTAGCAGTTCCACACTCTTCGTGGCCGAGTAATAGTGAATGTGATAACGACTGCAAAGTGAGTGGCGCTGTTAACCAATTCACTCATATTAGCGATTGTAAATAATTTGGTACTGCTCGGGTTTCGCTTTTCTACCCGTGCCCTGGCCCGTGAAAAAGTAGGTGGTTGGTTGTGACAAGTTGGGAATGCAGCGATATTACCGAATACAATCACCCAGAAATGTCTGTCCGTCCCGCGCGTGACGTCAATCCACGAGGCCCACCCCCCTCGTTAATATTCATGAGTGGGTGGATTTTTACACTAACGCAGAGGAAGGTCGAGCTGAATTAAATAATTTATTACGCAGTCGCTTCAAATATGACGTTTCTTTACAGAAAGTGACGGTAAAAAAATAAATATACGCAGCACAGTGCTACATCCGTGCGTGACGTCACTGCAAAAGAGGGCCCCCCCCCTTCATTAATATTCATGCCCACGTGGAAATTTACACTAACGCACCAGAAGGTCGCGCACGCCACATGCCGCACCCCTCCCCTCATTAATAATCATGAGCGGGTGACGTCGTTCCACATGCCGCACCCCTCCACAATATCCATTAGCGGGTGACGTCACTCCACATGGGGCAAGCCCCCCCCCCCCCCCCCCCCCCCATTAATAATCATGAGCTGAACAATTTTTCTATTGAATATTTCAGATGTTCTGCAATATACACCGGGCAAAAAAGCTAGTATCTACTATAGTTTTCTGTGGGTACCCCCTCCCCCCCCATATACTTATTAGGTGATCATTGTTTTTATTTAATAGTAGCTGCTATACAGCTGTTTTTTACATGTTGGTGACCGCAGGGGGAAAAAAAAGGCTGGTACAAAAGGGAGCTGAAATACAGGCGATGAGATCCATTTATGTCTACCCCACTGATTTCTCATCGCCCTGACCTCGTGCGGTTGCGTTTTCGGTTGCAAGAGACATTCGCGAGTTGGCCTGAGTCAAGGTGGAACAATAACGCGGCCCCCTTCGCCCGACATAACCCCCCGGTGGATGTTGTTTCGTGGGGGGCGATCGACAAAACCACACCGTCTATCAAAGACCGGCGAACGTGTCGCCGGAAATCACACCGGCTACGTCGGACTGTATATCGGTCGAGTGCCTAAATATTTAACAGAGTGTATTTATCTTGATTTGAAGCGTTTCGTGACTGCAGGAATCCATACTCTTTGGTTCTTTCGGTAAAGTCACGTGGGTAGAAATAAAACAAAATCAATCGCGACGTTTCGGACGCAACACAAGCATCCGTCTCCAGGTGAAAATCGCGATAGCCGCGATGTCTGCTGCCTTGTGTATTGAGGCGACTGGAGGCTTTGAAATAAAATACTTTGTTATTTTAGTGGCGCATCTATAAATGAATGATCCCGTACACGGTTTGCAGGACGGGACAAAATGACTGAGGCCAGCCTCGACGGCAACAGTTGAACTTCCACCTCCAGCTAAGCACATGACCCAATAGTCCACGAGACTTATTACCTTTGATGTGAACAAGTGTATTGTTTATTGACATTTCACAATCCTAATACTTAATAGTAGTAATTTATGCAGTGCATGTATTTCACCTTGTTAGTTTACACGGCAATATGCTTCTGATAATTAGATGTTAATAATCTACAAATGCCTATTAATAAAAATGCCTTAAATTCATTGTTCACAATTGAGCCCAGTTTTATTTGTCAGATAACCCGTCTACTCAAAGGCTGAATATAAACTTAGAAATGGTACGGTACCCAATGCAGCCTTGGTTAACCTCGATGTTGTGTGAACCTGTATATGTAATTATCTCATGGTGACATGTACGAGCCGAGTACCCGAATAGCTTTGCTCGGTTCACCCATTTTTTTCCAGATTATCTGTTCTTGTTGTGCACGATTGAGAAAAACTGTAAGAGTCAAGTGGTGTAATGGGTTCTATCTATGCGTGTTGAACTTCACTCGCACCAGACGTAGCCAATCACGCGAATCGGAGGCGCGGGCAAGATTAATACAAAAAGTAGTTACATTGCACGGCTTGGATTTGCATCTGTCTCGAAAGACACACTGATCACTCGTAACGTGTGCAATAGATCTGTGAAGGACATGTAATATTCTAAGAAATCACTGAGATGGGACGTGACATTTATTGTTCGAAAGCCACAAAAAAACCGCAGAATGGTGTACATCTTTTTCTCCTGCATTTTATATTCACTTGTACCCAACGCAATCAACGCTTGTATACACTCGCACTCACACGCTGAGCACATTTGCCACAAACATCATTGTACACCACACAAAGTCACGTTAAATTACAGTGGCTACTGCAAGGGGGTTTGTTTATTTACATGAGCTGGTCCTTATAATGAAAGATTAAACACCGACGAAGCAATTCTTGATATAGTGAAGCTATTCGGAGCTTGAGTCGCCTTTCACTGAATTGCCCGCAATGCGGCCACCCTAGTGAAATCTTGAGCTTTACAAAACCACATACACACGCACGTGCGTGTCACTTTTATGACCTGCGCTGTTTTTGTTTTAATTCCGTTACGACTGCTTTTTGTTGTCATTTCTCAGATTTGACTCGTCAGATATAAAAAAAATGCTTGCATGAATGACCACTAAGTCTTTTTAGTTTAACACGTAGTCGGCTTTTGCGACCAATATCATCCATAATATAGTTTTCTTGGGGTTAGATCGCGTAAATATAAGTGTGTAGGTGCAAGAACAGTGGGCATGCATCATGTGCATGCAATAATGTACGTTGATAACCATATGAATAACCCAACCGGCAATGGGTAACCCATTGTAATGTATTTGCATTAATTAATCCCCCCCCCCCTTCTAACTCGAAGGGATCACAAGTGATGTCATCACATCCGCCTGATGAAGCTAGTTATAATTACAGGCGAAACGTCGTACTCGGATTGTAAATGTTGTCGGATTTTCTCTCCAATATACCGGTACGCTGTACTAGTAACGAATTGGCCACCTTCTGTTTACGTGACAACCCTTACCAGTTGGCTGTGGCGGGCTTAACGACAACATTTATTTATTTACGCGATCTAACCCAAACAACCTCATGTAAAATAGGCTTTATAGACTGCTGTAATGTTGTTTGCATCACAATCTATTGTTGTACGCTACTATGCTTTCATGCCTATGCTCCCAGCCTTTCACCCTTCCTGCACAAACCATCCTGGTGAAAAATGATCGAATACCCACCACGCCAGGAGCCCCCGCCAAAGTGTTTCATCTTGGGCACTGCTCCACGCAAGCGCTTCATCATCGTCGTCGTCATCGGTGCGACGAGTGCGGCGGCAGCGCAAAATCAGTGGACGCTGGTCACGTGACCTGCAGCGCGCGCGGCCAGAATGTGGATTAACAAGCCACTTGACCCGCAGAGCGAGACGCCGCCGTCGAGAGTCCGCGCAGTGGCGCGGGCACCACCGTGCCATCGGCGCCCGCCGCGTTCTCCTGCCGTGCCTGGCACTCCTCCCCCCCCCCCCCCCCCCCCCCTCCTCGAATGATTTTGTTCCACCACCAACGGCTGCCTAAGTCTCCGCCCGGAGCACGCCGCGGAGGAGGCGGTAGGCGGACAGGCCCTGCGTGTCACGCGGCGGCAGGCAGGGGCCGCGCTCGCTGCCGTACGCCATGGGCAGGCGAAGGACCCACAGGCCGTCCGTGGGCAGCGTCACCTCGCGCTGCTCCGGAACGAAGATCGGGCAAGGCGCCGAGCCGGGCTGCACCTGACGGGCGCGGGGGAGAGGACACGCGTGTGGAATAAGTTGCACAGCGCAGCATCGTGTTGCGATGGTGGCAACACGGATTAATGAGTGCCCGCGTTATGGTGTGCGTGAACGTGTATGTATGTTTGTTGAACTTCCTTCACGCCGTACGTAGCCAACCGCGGTACTCGAAGGTGCAGGGAAGGACAAACCGAACACAGAAAGGCAGCTCTAAAGAAATAAGTTACGTATGCGGAACTTTTTTTCACACCGTAAATGCGTGCGTGAGTGTACATATGCCAGCATGAATGGGCACACAAGTGCGTGCGCGAGCGTTGTAGAGCCCTGCTTGATCAAACTCGCACGACGCGGGAGTCGGTGCGTGCGCAAAGTTGCACCGCGCGTCGGTGTGAGCGGGCGCACTCGCACGCTGGGCACAATGCCCGCTAGAGTGCGTGTAAGCACGCGGGCGGGCGGGCACGAGCGGTCGCACAGTACCTGCGGTGCGAGGAGCAGGCGCACGGACGCGTCGGGCACCACGACGTAGAGGCGCATGAGCTGAGCGAGCGCCGGCTTGGGCCCGCGGCTCTGCCCCGAGGCGGCCACGTAGAGGGGCATGTCGGCCGCGAGCGCGCGGCTCGCGAAGTCGCGGTAACCGCTGCCCGGCGCCACCTTCATCACTTTGTCCGGCGCAGAGCACATGAAGCGCCGGCCCCGCGAGTCCTCGTACTCGTAGCCGACGTACGCCCTGGCGGAAAGCGGCGACGGGCAAGCGAGTCGCGATTCCGCCGCAACTTACGGTACGCGTGTGTGTGTGTTGAACTGCTTTTTGCACCGCACGTAGCCAACCGTGCCAATTGGGAGGCGCGGGAATTAATTTTAATAATGATTAATAATATTCTTGGTTAAATTTTGATTTAAAGCTTTCGTGACTGCAGTAATTCATATTCTTAGCTCTTTCGGTAAAGTCACGTTGAAGGGAAACAATAAAATAATAAAATATATATAAAACAATAAAAATTCTCACGACGTTTCGACCATAACACAAACGGTCGTCATCAGGTGTAATGATGATGACGACCGTTTGTGTTATGGTCGAAACGTCGTGAGAATTTGTATTTATATTTTATTATTTTATTGTTTCCCTTCAACGTGACTTTACCAAAAGAGCTAAGAATATAATATTCTTGGTTCTTTCGGTAAAGTCACGTAGAAGGGAAACAAAATAAAAAAAATATAAAACAATAAAATTCTCACGACGTTTCGACTGCAACACAAGCAATCGTCATATGTGAAAACCACAGCAAGAAAATTAGAAAAAAGTGGCGTTTTTTTTATAACGTTAGCACCACGGAGAGCGATTTGGCAGTTATTCAGATGGACGAGTCTATCTATGTTCGGAAAAGAGGAGGGGGGAGACGAAAATAATGGATGCGGTCTGAAAGCCACCTTAAGCGTGAACAATCAATTAAGACCCGAAATTGTTTATCAAATCCTTCCAATGAATGCTAAGCCAGAATCCATCTTCTCGGTTGAAATTGTCTCTGTGTTTGTATATGTGGATAGCCTCATGAACGAATCTCTCATGGTAGCCAGATGGCTTGCAAAGAACCTCTGTCTTGGAGAAGTCAATGTCATGTGAGCCTACTGAATTATAACAGTGATCTTCCACGGCCGAGGTGTTGGTCCTACCGTGATTTAGGTCTGCTTTGTGTTCACGAATGCGGTCCGAGACATGTCGTTTGGTTTCTCCAATGTAACTACTACCACAGAGGCAACTTAGTTTGTAGACGCCAGGGTACTGTATGTCCGGAATCACATCTTGTATAGACGGAACCAAGATCACGGATTTTCTGTAATGTGTTGAATCGGACCTGGATCTTGTGTTTATTCAAGATTTTGTAGATCTTTTTTGTGATCCCGGCAATGTAGGGTAAAGTGATGGTTTTGAAAGGCTCCTCAAGAGGGTCCTTCTTTATGGTTGGAGTGATAGCTTTGCGGAATAAACACAAGATCCAGGTCCGATTCAACACATTATATAAAATCCGTGATCTGGTTCCGTCTGTAAAAGATGTGATTCCGAACATACAGTACCCTGGCGTCTACAAACTAAGTTGCCTCTGTGGTCGTAGTGACATTGGAGAAACCAAACGACATGTCTCGGACCGCATTCGTGAACACAAAGCAGACCTAAAACACGGTAGGACCAACACCTCGGCCGTGGCAGATCACTGTTATAATTCAGTAGGCTCACATGACATTGACTTCTCCAAGACAGAGGTTCTTTGCAAGCCATCTGGCTACCATGAGAGATTCATTTATGAGGCTATCCACATATACAAACACAGACACAATTTCAACCGAGAAGATGGATTCTGGCTTAGCATTCATTGGAAGGATTTGATACACCATTTCGGGTCTTAATTGATTGTTCACGCTTACGGTGGCTTTCAGACCGCATCCATTATTTTCGTCTCCCCCCTCCTCTTTTCCGAACTTAGATGGACTCGTCCATCTGAATAACTGCCAAATCGCTCTCCGTGGTGCTAACGTTAAAAAAACCCGCCACTTTTTTCAAATTTTCTTGCTGTGGTTTTCACACCTGATGATGATTGCTTGTGTTGCAGTCGAAACGTCGTGAGAATGTTATTGTTTTATATATTTATATTTTATTATTTAATTGTTTCACTTCTACGTGCCTTTACCGAAAGAACCAAGAATATGAATCCCTGCAGTCACGAAAGCTTTAAATCAAAATTTAATTATTAATATTATTAATTATAATTAGACTGTGTAATTCGTATGGCCTCGCACTGTCCCGACACAACTCCACTTTGCGTCCGACATCTGACAAGCTCGGGTGCTTTCTGGGTGATTTGGTGGAGCGGGCTCGAAGGGATCGCTTTGATTGAGCGGTAGTGTAGCGGCTAGCGCGCCGCGCTAAAAACCCGGCGACCCGAGTTCGATTCCCGTTCACGGCCATCACCAGTGACAATTATCTGAACTGGTCCTGGGCCTCCGCTACGTCGACTCAGCCTCAAATGAGTACCTGGTGCGGTGTGTAAACATCACCATTGGGAAGACAAATGCGGCTGGGCGTGGTGTTGGCCACCCACCACCTCGTGCGCCGTGCCAGCCTTCACAGGTGGTCGCTAATAGCACTTGCCCCAAAAGTCTGTTCAGGCTATACGGGGGATCTTTGTCTTTTATTTTGTCACCCTGGGGCTCAGCCATCAGCCCCGCATTCCCGTGCTGAGACCAAAGGGAGGTTCCACACCTGGCAGTGTTGTCCCCGCGCCTCCAGGTACGCGTCGGGGCAAACCCCCTCCAGGACTCCCCCTCCGCACGCTCCGCACGCTCCGCTCCCTCCGTGCGGATCGCTGGCCACGCCTCCTCCTCCTCTCCTGAAGCACGAATAGCGAGGGGATGCACAAAACTAGTAACAACTATTTTTTTTATTCTACCAGGTTAGGGCCCGCTGCTGAGCGACGTAGCTCTTTTTCAGGAGCGACCTGGCCACAAATGATAGCTGAACTAAGTGGCTTTTTGCGTGGTAATTTATAGCAGCGAAAAACTCTAAACACGTGATTTTGATTCTACATGTGGAGTGGACAAACCGGAGGACCTGGGAGAAAAATATATGCAACCACGGGGAGAGAACATGCAGACTCCAAATATACAGGTGTCAAGGGTCGTGATCGAATCCATGACCTCCTGCATACCAGGCGAGGTAGTTAACATCTCGCCACCTTGGCGCAGCAGCAAAGATGCCGATCGGAAAGTTACAGCGTCTTTTCCCCTCGTCAAACGAGCGTTGCGCAGGGCTCAACGGGCCCTACCTGGTGATATAAAACATAATTAATATTTTAGTTTACTTGCCTTCGTTGGAGCGCCGCGTGCTGGACAGCGGGACGTCCCACGGCATGAGGAAGTGGGTCCCCGGCACGAACCCCGGCATGTCGGTGAGCCCCTGCGAGGGAACGTACGCCTTGGCGGGTCCCAGCCGCACCAGCGACCATGACGAGAAGGAGGGCAGCCGCCCCGCCACCACCCCTCCCAGGTGCACCATCCCCACCAGTGGCTGCTGCTGCTGCTGCTGCTGGTCCTGATCATCCTGAAGCGGGGACTTCTCCTCCAGGTTGGGTGCCGGCCTCTCTCCGGGCTCGAGCTCGCCACCCTCGTTGTGGGCCGTGGGTCCGGACTGGGAACGGGCGCGGCAGGGGTGGGCATCGTTCTGGTCCCCGTGCGTGGCCGGCGCCGGCTGGGAGTGCGCGTGCGCCGGCTGGGAGACGGCGGCGGGTGGCCGGGAGTGGACGTGGCCTAGCCCGGGCTGCGACTGCGCCGGGCCGGCCACGGCGGCGGTGCCGGCCTGCAGCTCGGCGAGCAGCCCCCCGGGCGTGCCGGCTGCCTGGCCCAGGCCGTGCGGGAGGTCCGGGCTGCACTCGGTGCCGCCCGTGGCTTCGGGGGCGTCTTTGTAGAGGGCGTCCTCTGTGGACACGGGAGCTGGGGCCGCGTTGGCATTGAGCGAGTTCTTGCGGCTGACTCCCGTGTCGCGCCCGAACGTGGGGAAGGCGAAGTGTTCCAGCTTGCCGCAGTATTTGTCCTCCATCGTCTGCACGGAGTGATTCGCGGGGGAAGAGCAGGTGAGCACAATGACGTTATCCAAACTGGTGCCACGCCTTTTATACACTCTCAAACGTTTGTCAATTAAAGCAGGATTTTTTTTTTAATCTCACACCTAGAACTTTTCCAAAATGGAAAACATTATTTAACGTGATCGTTTTTTGTGAGCAAGTTTAAACTATCAAACTCACTACACTTGAGAATCTGGTTGCATAAAAAGCTGCTAAATTTCATCACACGGGATTCTCAGCACCTCTGGAATGCTCCACGCCCTATGTACCAGCGACGTAGCTATCAAGTGTATTTTCCTCCGGGTCCCCCTGTTTTTCCCCTCCACATTTCAAAACATGGCATTTCCAGTGTTTGGCTGCTATAAATTTCCATATGATGAGCCACTTCGTTGAGCTATTATTTGTGGCCACGTCGATTCTGAAAACGAGCTGTATAGATAGCTCAGTGGGCCTTACCTGGTCAAATAAAAAATCGTTCAATAGTTTCATTGTACACTGGGACAGAGGGGCCCAGGCGCCAGAAAGGGGGCCCCCCCCCATTTCACTCCTTGCAACACTGCTCATGTGAATCACACTCCACCGCTGACATTACGCCGCTGACACTATGCCACTGCTGCCATACGAACGTATTTGCGGTACACCTGCGGGGTGGTGGTGCGTCAAAATCAGTTCTCGTGATGTCAAAGCGGTCGGAAGACGAACGATGTGGAGCGGCTGAACACGAAGCGTCACAGTCTGTTGCCGAATAGCAGCACCCAGCCCTGTTGACGATTGGCTGGCTCCGTGTTTTGACTCGTGGCCTAGACAGATTTGATTTGTGCTATAGACTTGGTCGGACGGTTAGGTTAGGGTTAGAAAAATATGATCACTGACCTTTCAGGAACAATTCTACCTCTATTGGAAATAGCATTTGCAAGTCTCCGTAGACTGAATAAACCTTCGTATCGCGTCAAACTCGGTGACAGGCGACAATTAAAGACTGAAAAAAACAGACTTGCCGATGAAAGTTTTGCTCTCAGACTGTTTTATGAGGACCGGTGTGTGTTATGCTGCACCGGTGTACCGCCAATACAGCCACAATATCTAAAGCGAAGAACCTTCAGCCGGCCCACTCCACACCCAACACGTGCCTCGTAGAAGGTGAAGTTGGCAGCGCGCAGGGTGAAGGGGTCCTCGCGAGTGCCCTGGTGCGAACCGCAGTTGCAGGTGCTGGTGGCGCGGGAACGGCTGCAATGTGGGACCACTGGTGGCACTTGGTCTGGGTCAGCAAGCTCTCCTGAATACACACATGCATATACATACACACATGCATATACATACACACATGCATATACATACACACATGCATATGCATACACACATGCATATGCATACACACATGCATATGCATACACACATGCATATACATACATGCATATACATACATACAGTGAGGGAAAAAAGTATTTGATCCACTACTGATTTTGTACGTTTGCCCACTGACAAAGAAATGATGAGTCTATCATTTTAATGGTAGGTTTATTTGAACAGTGAGAGACAGAATAACAACAACAAAATCCAGAAAAACGCATGTCAAAAATGTTATAAATTGATTTGCATTTTAATGAGGGAAATAAGTATTTGACCCCCTCTCAATCAGAAAGATTTCTGGCTCCCAGGTGTCTTTTATACAGGTAACGAGCTGAGATTAGGAGCACACTCTTAAAGGGAGTGCTCCTAATCTCAGCTTGTTAGCTGTATAAAAGACACCTGTCCACAGAAGCAATCAATCAGATTCCAAACTCTCCACCATGGCCAAGACCAAAGAGCTCTCCAAGGATGTCAGGGACAAGATTGTAGACCTACACAAGGCTGGAATGGGCTACAAGACCATTGCCAAGCAGCTTGGTGAGGTGACAACAGTTGGTGCGATTATTCGTAAATGGAAGAAACACAAAAGAACTGTCAATCTCCCTCAGCCTGGGGCTCCATGCAAGATCTCACCTAGTGGAGTTGCAATGATCATGATAACGGTGAGGAATCAGCCCAGAACTACACGGGAGGATCTTGTCAATGATCTCAAGGCAGCTGGGACCATAGTCACCAAGAAAACAATTGGTAACACACTACGCCGTGAAGGACTGAAATCCTGCAGCGCCCGTAAGGTCCCCCTGCTCAAGAAAGCACACATACATGCCCGTCTGAAGTTTGCCAATGCACATCTGAATGATTCAGAGGACAACTGGGTGAAAGTGTTGTGGTCAGATGAGACCAAAATGGAGCTCTTTGGTATCAACTCAACTCGCCGTGTTTGGAGGAGGAGGGCTGCTGCCTATGACCCCAAGAAGACCATCCCCACCGTCAAACATGGAGGTGGAAACATGCTTTGGGGGTGTTTTTCTGCTAAGGGGACAGGACAACTTCACCGCATCAAAGGGACGATGAACGGGGCCATGTACCGTCAAATCTTGGGTGAGAACCTCCTTCCCTCAGCCAAGACATTGAAAATGGGTCGTGGATGGGTATTCCAGCATGACAATGACCCAAAACACACGGCCAAGGCAACAAAGGTGTGGCTCAACAAGAAGCACATTAAGGTCCTGGAGTGGCCTAGCCAGTCTCCAGACCTTAATCCCATAGAAAATCTGTGGAGGGAGCTGAAGGTTCAAGTTGCCAAACGTCAGCCTCGAAACCTTAATGACTTGGAAAAGATCTGCAAAGAGGAGTGAGACAAAATCCCTCCTGAGATGTGTGAAAACCTGGTGGCCAACTACAAGAAACGTCTGACCTCTGTTATTGCCAACAAGGGTTATGCCACCAAGTACTAAGTCATGTTTTGCAGAGGGGTCAAATACTTATTTCCCTCATTAAAATGCAAATCAACTTATAACATTTTTGACATGCGTTTTTCTGGATTTTTTTGTCGTTATTCTGTCTCTCACTGTTCAAATAAACCTACCATTAAAATTATAGACTGATCATTTCTTCGTCAGTGGGCAAACGTACAAAATCAGCAGGGGATCAAATACTTTTTTCCCTCACTGTACATACGTAGAGTAATAGCGCTTGCTGCTGACTGAAAGTGGTAACTACAGTGTGCGGCAGTACAACGCGTCAGCAGGCGACAGTACACACGGGGGGAAGACGACCAGGGCAGAGTTCATGGTGGGGTCCATCTGGAAGCCCCGGGAACCTGCTAGGAGGTTCGAGAATGGGGGCGTGGCCAGGGCGGAGCAAGGCCACGCCGGCAGGATAAGAGGGGGCCCTCAGCGAGGGCTCGGCGCTGAGGCTGTAAGTGGATCCCCTCGCCGTGCTGTCATCTCGCCACCGTCGCCCCCGCTGTCTTCACCATCGCTGGGCGCCGCTAGCTAGGCAGCCTGCCGACTGTTCCCGCTAGATAGCGCCGCCGACGATGGACGGTTCTGTGCGAGATATATATAGTGTACACCCATGTAGGGTGCGTTTAGTCCCCATTGTGTGTGGAATAAAGAAGGTGCTTCCAATTACTACTGTCTCCGAACTGCGTCACTACACATACAAAGGCAAGGATCCGCCCTATAGCATTAACACTTTTGGGGCATATGCTTTTAGCGAGCGCCTATTAAGACTGGCACACACACGAGGGGGTGGGTGGCCAGCACCATGCCTGGCCGCCTTTGTCTCCCAAGTGGTGATGTTTTCACACTGCACCAGATACCCATTTTTTTATGGCGGAGATGGGTTAAGTGAAGCCCAGGACTGGTTCAGATAATCGCCACTGGTGTGGGCCGTCAGCGGGAATCGAACTTGTGTCGCTGTGTTTGTAGAGCAGCGTGCTAACCGCTGCACTACCGCTCCCCCATCTTTGTCTTTGTGTTCACGAGCGCCTGTGAGTGCCTGTCTCTATGGGTGCATGTGCTTCCGCGAGTGTCTCTGTGTTCTGTGTGTAACTGTGTGCATAACGGCCTGCCATGAAAGCTGTGATGATGTAACTGCCATTTTGCGGAGAACGGCAGCTTCTGCTTCTGCTGATGTATCTATGAGTGCCTGTGTGTATCATCGATTGTCGCGCTGCACTACGAACCCGGCGACCTGAGTTCAATTCTCGCTGACGGCCAACACCAGTTACGATTATGTGAACCGGTCCTGGGCCTCTCCTAGGTCGACTCGGCCTCAAATGAGTACCTGGTGCGGTGTGTAAACATCGCCACTGGCGAAACAAGAGCGGCAGTGGCCGCCCACGCCTTCGTGTGCTGTGCCAAGCCTTTTGTAGGTGCTCGCTCACAACACTTGCCCCTACAGTCAGTTACAGGCTATACGGGGGATCTTTGTGTGTGTGTGTGTGTGCACGTGTCACCGCGTATGTGCGAGTCTTGGCCGTTACCCGCTTTGGGCAGCAGGTGGTACTTGTGGATGCAGTGCTGGTCGGTGAGGCTTCTCTCCTCACACAGTTGGTGGCCGGCCTGCCAGAAAGCGTGGCAGTCCTCCTGCAGCTTGAGGAGGTATGCCTGGTAGGCCGGCCCGCGAGCATGCTGCCTGCAGAGCACAGACACACAGATGACAACACGCAATACATGTTTTAACCCTCGAAAAACGTCTTCAATATCTATTCCTGCAAAACAATGTTTTTTTTATTTATTTTACCAGGTAAGACCCACTCAGCTACGTAATTATTTTTCAGAAGCGAACTGGCCATCATAAATAATAGCTCAGCGAAGTGGGTTATTACGTCAAAATTTCCAGCAGCCAAATAACCCTCTAAAACGTGTGATGTTTGAAAATGTGAAGAGAAAATTCGGTGGATCTGGAGAAAAATTCACATGATCCCGGGGAGAACACGCAAACCCCAAATATACAGCAGGCACCAGGGTCCGGATCAAACCCATGGCCACCTGCATACCAGGCGAAGTAGTTAACATCTCCAAGCCACTGTGATAATGATGATGACAGAGAGACACGCAAACTCTAAATATACAGCAGGCGCCAGGGTCGGGTTCGAACCCATGACCACCTGCATACCAGGCGAGGTAGTTAACATCTCCTAGCCACCGTGATAATGATGATGACAGAGAGACACGCAAACTCTAAATATAAAGCAGGCGCCAGGGTCGGGATCAAACCCATGACCACCTGCATACCAGGCGAGGTAGTTAACATCTCCTAGCCACCGTGATGATGATGATGATGACAGAGAGACACGCAAACTCTAAATATACAGCAGGCGCCAGGGTCGGGATCAAACCCATGACCACCTGCATACCAGGCGAGGTAGTTAACATCTCCTAGCCACCGTGGCATTGTCAGGCTCTTCTTTGTAGCAGTCCACGGTGGCGGAGGTGCACTCCGCCGGATCTGCTGTGCAACTTCCTGGCACGCGCACCTGTAGATGGAGAGTGCGTGCGCGAGCTGGCTCCGGTGGTAGGCGCTCGTGTAGTGGTGTGGCAGGCCCGCCTGGTACGCGCTGTGCGCCAGCGGCAGCGCCTTCTGGCAGCGGCTCTCGGAGAAGCGCGTGTCGGCGTCCAGGAAGCCCTCCAAGCACTTCAGCTGACTCTGAACCTGTGCGGGTGTTGCCAAGGGGGGGGGGGAGTGCCGTTAGCACGTGGGACCGCGGGCGGCAGTGGAAGAGAGCGGCTATTCCGTGAGTGAAATTAGTTGTACGCTTCGGCGTGGGGAAACCTCTTTCCCTTACCAGGGGTTGAATATGACTTTAAAATACCTTTGAGCAGGGAGACATTTATCTTCTGTCATTATTGTTGCAAGTTATTGGAAAGTAATGCATGGTACTAAAACAAATCAGACTCAAGTGAGGTTTTCCTGGACAACGCACAGCATTACTATTATTACTGCATTACATTTTTATCAATGATATTATTTGGCGGGACACGTGAACACACGATTCACAGTTCATTTGGTCACTACAAGAGGCCTTTGCAGTGCCCAAAGTGATTGAGTGTGCCAAAATAAGAAACACGTTATGAATTTTTCAATTTAGAAGCAGCCCCTAAATCGAAAACTCATTTCCTTTTGAACAGCTTTTTTGTGTTTAATTTGTTGTCCTTCCCCCGCACCTCCGATTAGCACGGCTGCCTACGTACCGTTGCGAAAGAAGTTCAACAAACATACGTAGATAAGAGGTCAAAACGTCTTCCTCTCTGCCACCTAATTAGCACAGCTAAAAGATGCTTGCAGTGACAGAAAAATATCATCGGTGTGCCGTTTCAAAGTGCCTCAGGCAGTGTCAACTGAAGTGGTGGGCTATATCCACCACTTCAGTTGACACTGCACTGCATCTCACCAGATTCAGAGGCAATGAGCACTCAATGATTCATGCAGCAGCCAGAGGTATAAGCATATGAACACACATACACCCTTTCACGTGCAAGCTTAATATCTCGAACACGAGGGCGATTCAATCATTACATAAGCTACGTCAGTGGGATTTTGGAATAATAAAAAAATTATTGAGTAGTGAATGGGGCATGACCCTGGTGCTCCTGAGTATGTCTGGTCAGTGGTGACTGTCAAGTGAGGGTCAGGTGCTTGTCCAGCGAGTGTTTGATAATGGAACAGCGAGACCAATGGGGAACGTGTGGGGCTGACGATGGAGGGCAGGGGCCGAAGGGGCTAATAGGGCAGAGTTAAAAATGGACAGAGGCCGGCAACAAAAATAACAAGAGGAGACTTTTTGTTTCGAATTCGTTAAAAAGAAAAAGCTCGATATTTCAGAGCCGCGATGCGTGTGGTGAATACGAGACGGTACTCGTGAATAACGTCACGAAGCGGTCCTGAAGCATGCGGCTCCGGAGCTGCGCGTTGCCGACCCCTTCACGTGGCCAACACAAGAGGAAGATTCACCCCATCCATAGCATGGGCCGCCCTCGAACTACAACACACTGAATTACGATTTAAAGCTTTCATGACTGCAAGGATTCATCTTCTTTGGTTCTTTCGGTAAAGTCATGTAGAATGAGAATAAAATAATAAAGTAACACAATAAAATTCTCACGACGTTTCGGCCGCTTGCGTTGTGGCCGAAACGTCGTGAGAATTTTATTGTGTTATTTTATTATTTTATTCTCATTCTACAATACACTGGTGGTGAGTCTAGCGGAACGAGGGGCAGACCTTGGCATGGACGCTCACTGGATCGGCCGGCGTCTTCCCATCCACACCGTCGTCACCGCCGCCGTCGTCCTCCTCCTCGTCGTCCTCCTCGTCGTCGTCGTCCTTTCCGTCCGAGACCTCGGCGACCTCCCCCCACGCGCCGCTCGACGTGCCGAGCAGCGCGCCGCTCAGCCGCCCGGCCACCGCGGCCCAGTTGGCGAGCGTGGGCAGCTCGAAGTGCGCGGGCTGCGGGTTGCGGCCGACGCTGTCGTCAAATCCGCGGCGCGCGAACACCAGCTCGGCGTGCTGCCACACAAACTCGCGCAGCGTGGGGTCGGCCGGGAGGGAGCCGCTCGACTGGGACTCCAGCGGCGGGGGCGGGGCAGGGGGCAGCGCCGACGGCCGCGCAGAACGCCGCATCAGCTGGTACCTGTGAAGGGCGCGGGGCCGTGCGCCGGGGTGTCGGCGTTACACTTGGTAAAGCAGGGATTCCGGTACCGACATTTTACGGAGTGCCAAGGCCACCCTCACCACCGATGCCATCTTCATAACGACCACCATTACCGTCGCCGCTATTATCACCACCACACCACCACCACATTGTAAGGACACCGCCGCTACTCCTATCCCTACCACCAGGATTTTCATCATCACAACTCTTACCAATAAACCACCACCAATGTCATCACGAATGTCATCAGCTGCTTGGGCATGCGGTGGCTGGGCATGCGGGATACATGACCCAACCAACGCAGTCATGCCTGCTGGAGGAGCTCACTGATGGAACTATGTTCAAATCTTTCAAGGATCTGTGAGCTCCTCACACAATCCATTCTGGTTAAACCCGGGATAGATCATAGGCAGGCCAGCCTGAATGTTTCAAAACGGCACAGATGTTCATTTAAAGGGGTCCACGTTTCGCAAGCATAGAGAAGGGTGGGCATAACTGTGGCTGCAAAGATAGTTTCCACGCAACGTTACACAGCTGATGAAAAGACAATGCCACTCGACTGATTCGGAGCGAGACCTCCGCTGCCAAACCAGAGCCGGTCATAAGCACACTGCCCTGGTATGGACACTTCTCCACTTTCTTCGCAAGTGCCCCACCACCAATGGGGAGTGGAGGGGGGTGGAGTGTACGATGATGTGAAATACCCAGGCACCACACCACCACCACCACGACCGTCAAAGCGCCACACCTTCGTGGTCCGGCGTTTTGGCCATCGCCCTCCTTGAGGCTGCAGTTGCTGCGGAGGCAGCGGATGAGCGAGCCGACGGGATCGTCGGGCGGCTCGGCCATCACGTACACGAAGGCCTGGTTGGCCGGCACGGTGAAGAGGCAGTTCACGCTCTGGTTGGTGAGCAAGCGGCTCTTGCGGAACACGTGGTAGATCTGATCCTCGAGCGCATGCTGCAGGCGCCGCTTGGGCGAGTGGCGCTTGAGTTTGGTCGCAGCGCCCGCGGCGGTGGCGGGGGAGTCGCCCTCGCGCCACAGCCCGGCATCCGAGGCTCGGAGCGCCCCGTTGAGCTGGAAGATGAAGAGGAGGCGTGGAGGGCACGGCCGGCAGTTCAGCTGCCACTCCTTGCCCACCGGGCAGTCCTGAGTGTGGGAGAGCGGGAGGCGACATTGTGACCCCGCCCGTGGTCTTTGTCGCGCTGCAGTAGGAATTCTTGTTTCTTAAGAGTTAAAGAAAAAAAAGTGATGTGCCACATAGCGCTCGGTTACGGACCTAAACCGTGGACGTCACTCTGCAGGCCTATCAGGGACTCCTGCAATGTTCATAGATCATATCATAAGATTTGTCATTTAAATCTTACATTTTTGATATCGCTGTACGTCGTTGTTTTTCGTTGATCAACATCTCGTTTCTTTATCGTTAAACGCAAAAAAATGACAACGAGATAGAAGAGTGTAAGAACCAGGCCAGACAATGAAGTGAGGGACCCACGATCACCGCCCTTCTCCTTGCATGCCGTGGTGGGTGACCCCGTGCACCCCGTGACACGGCGGTGCCGTCCTCGTACCTGCAGCAGCGCCCTGAGCTGCGGCTGCAGCTTCTGCCGGAGCTGGTCGAGGGCACGGAAGAGCCGGTCGTAGGTGATGTCGAAGGTGCAGGTCGGGTGCTGCAGCAGCACGATGTGGCTCACCGACAGCACGAACAGCATGGCCAGGCAATGCTGCTTCTCGGCGCGGCGCCAAGCCGCGTGCGTCTCGGCGTGCCGGTCCCCGGCGGTGACGCTGGCGCGCAGGAGCCCGGCGGGGCTGGCGGACGACACCACGAGGTAGACGGTGCGGTTTTCCCGGTCGTAGTGCGCCTCCACCGGCGCGGCGACGCCGGCGGCGGCGGCGGCGGAGTCGTGCCACACGGGGAAGACGAGGCGGTCGGTGAGGATGTTGACGATTGTGTGGCCGTAGTTGCTGCGCGAGGGAGAGGCGAGGCCGCACACCCCGATAACGCAAACCTCGTCGCCGGCGTCGTCAGCGCCCGCCGCGGCGAGCAGAGACTCCAGCGACGGGGGATGCATCGTGAGCTGTGGAGACATTCATTCGCTCGCGTGACCCTCACCGTTTACAATGCTGCAGCCCCACGTTACCTGCCTCGACCATAATAAGACGATAGAACTGGAAGCAAAATGTAATAAGCATCACGGTAATAACACCGAGGTTCGCCATCCAGGAAAGCCCCATGTCTAGTTTTTACCACGTACAAAATAGAAACCTATACAACATGCACGTCCCTTCTCATGTAAAATATTTGACATCTACAGCCCTTTGGAAATCCTCCACTTGATGAGGGCCATCCCACACGGTGTGGATTGTTTGACCTTAAAAATTCGACCACGATGGTCGATGCAGGATGATGAATGGGAACATAGACGTGGCAGCACAGTACTGTACAACGCGGTGTCCTTCTTCCACATTCCCGTGTGGAATTTCCACCGGCCACTTTGTGCTCTGGGGCCTCCAAGAGACGAGGCACCGTCCCCCAAATACTTGCAGGGAGACATTTGACAATGTCGCGTCACTGAACATGAATGAATGGTACAAAATTAAGACTCAGTAAGGTTGTCCTGGACAAAGCACAGTATTGCTATTATTACCGTATTACACTTCCATCAATGACATTATGCTTATGGCAATGTACCAATAACACAATAAATATCCTGTTTTCGATCTACTGCTGGATGAAGGCCGAAGCACGCCGTGTCGGTGGTTTTCTGACCCGCTTTCACGGATTGGTGCAAGTTATAATAAAGGGGGCCCAGGACCGGTTCGGATATCATTCGCCACTGATGTTAGCCGCGAGCAGGAGTGATTGAACGCCGTAGAGCCAGGTTCCTAACCAACCAGCTGACACATTCAGGAGCTAGGATTTAATCAATCTTTCCTTGGCTAAAGCGCAACGTGAGTATGACTCTCTCGTCATCATCATCATCCACTGCTGGATGAATTCCTCCCAAAGCCGCCGCCATATCTCATGCTCCCGATTGTAACAATCCACCTCAGACGCCGACGATTTCACTGCTCCATCTCCTGCTTATCGTGCCCTATAAAACTGCTGCCGCTGCTGTTGTTGTTACTAACGTTGGCCTAGAGTGGCCAAGTTCGCATGGCGGGACCGAGTACATCCTGAGGCGTGTGGGTGCTGGTAACGATGCCGGGCTAGGGCCGCGGCTTCAACTGCGCACAGTTCACATTCACACTGTACGAGGCGCACTGTAACACCCCCCCCGTAGTGCGATCATTGCACTGTACAGGCGATACAGTGCAACAATCGCACTGTACCCCCCCCCCAAAGTGCGGCAGTTGCACTGTACGCGTGGTACAGTGCGGCGCGGAACTGTACGCGGCTACAGTACCGCGTCGCACTGTACCCGCATACGTACTGTATGCTAGTACAGTGCGGCTGTCGCGCTGCGCAGTGCGATAGCCGCACTGTACCGGGGGTACAGTGCGACGCTGTACAGTGCTATGCTGCACTGTACACACGCAGTGTTCGGCTGCGGTGCTTGGCGCCAACTCACCCGCCTTTAACGAGGAGGAAGATGATGATAGCGATGATGATGTTATCGATGATGCTGATGATGATATCGACGCAGGCGCTTACAGAGGGAGGCTTCGCGATGGGAATTTCCACGTTCGGGCCCCCGACCCGCCGTGGGTGACGTCACGGGGTCTCGGTGACGTCACGTCACTCGGGGGTTTGTTGCGTGACGTCATCGTCGCCGACAGCCATTCTCTATCCACGGTTGGATTCTTATTCAATCTTGATTTGAAGCTTTCGTGACTGCAGGAGTATGTTTTATACCTACGTGACTTTACCGAAAGAATTAAAGAGTATGGATTCTTATTGTCGTGTGGCCGCTGTGTCGGGTGGTGACGGGTTAAACGAAACATTTTTACTTACACGACCTAACCCCTACTAAAACAACAACAACCCCTATATATTAAACTTACCGCTGATGTTAGATGCAGAGCAGCACACAACTACAATGTCACATTGAGGTGGTCAAGCCGAGATAACAGCCGCGACAATAGTAGTAGTGTAGTATGTAGGGTAGTAGTAGTGTAGTAGTATAGTAGTAGTGTAGTATTAGTAGTAGTGTAGTAGTAGTGGTGTAGTGTAGTAGTATAGTAGTGGTAGTGTAGTAGTAGTAGTGTAGTATAGTAGCAGTCGTGTAGTAGTGGTGTAGTAGTCGTATAGTAGTAGTGTAGTAGTAGTGGTGTAGTATAGTAGTAGTGGTGTAGTATAGTAGTAGTGGTGTAGTAGTAGTATAGTAGTAGTGGTGTAGTGTAGTAGTATAGTAGTGGTAGTGTGTAGTAGTAGTAGTGTAGTATAGTAGCAGTCGTGTAATAGTGTAGTAGTAGTGTAGTAGTAGTAGTACTGTAGTAGTAGTGTAGTAGTCGTGTAGTAGTAGTGTAGTAGTAGTGGTGTAGTATAGTAGTAGTGGTGTAGTAGTAGTGTAGTAGTAGTGTAGTAGTAGTGGTGTAGTAGTAGTGGTGTAGTAGTAGTGTAATAGTAGTGGTGTAGTATAGTAGTAGTAGTGTAGTAGTGGTGTAGTAGTAGTAGTGGTGTAGTAGTAGTAGTAGTGGTGTAGTAGTAGTGGTGTAGTAATAGTGTAGTAGTATTAGTATAGTAGTAGTGGTGTAGTAGTAGTGTAGTATGTAGGGTAGTAGTAGTAGTGTAGTAGTAGTGTAGTAATAGTAGTGTAGTACTAGTATAGTAGTGTAGTAGTAGTGGTGTAGTAGTAGAATAGTAGTAATGTAGTAGTATAGTAGTGACTTTAACGTAGCTATTTCTGTGACCAGTTACAAGCTAATCACTCACCTATTTCAATGCTAAATTCTATGCTAATTCCTTTGTCAAGGCGCTTTGTTTCCTCTCACACAGCTTAAAGGTCGTGATCTGAACGTGGCTCTTTCACTCCAGCGCTGTCCTACCAGACAGTCTCGTCCCTTCACCTGATGAAGGCCGCTTGTGTTGTGGCCGAAACGTCGTGAGAATATTATTGTTATTTTATTTTATCAATTTATTATTTTATTCTCATTCTACGTGACTTTACCGAAAGAACCAAAGAAGATAAACACAACGTATAAGCAAAAAAAAGCGTTTATTTGTTTACAAGCATTAAAGACAGTTTTGGTAATGAGCTGCGGCGGACACCCGATTGTTAAATGACCACGAAAGCGTCTGCTAACCAGCAACAGAGCACTCTTCATTGTGCAAAAATAAACAAAAACCCCACCCACAGTATCTAGGTGTCCACAAACCGATGACAGCCGTCACGATATTTAGTACAAAGGTAAAAATTCAGAGTTTTGCCCACCAGTAGCTCGTCTCATAAGACTTAATCGAGGGGATCAACATCTGGTTTTCACGGGCAGTGTTTGGGATGCACGATGGCCGGTGGGGGAAGACAATATGAAATAAAATAATGGTCATCACAAGACAATATTACATTAATTTACCCGTAAATCTTACGAGAAACTGCAGTAAAAACACCGTTCACGAAGTTGGCGACGAAGCTTTTATCAGCGACTCCCCAAGTGGGGGGGGGGGGGGGCATTGTTTAAATGATCGATTGAAACCCTCTCCCAATGATCTACATTTTCGAATATTGTAAAATAATGAAGGCCCCCACGCCATGTCTGCCATGCGGATTGTTTGATCGTAACATCACCACGCTGTTCAATGTGGGTTGATGGTGCGGGTGGGGAGTGCCCAAGGACCCATTTGGATCAATTGCTGCTCGATGTTAACACCTGAGTGAAATTGACCTAAATGTCCAGTTCACCGAGCAGCGTGACCACGAGCGACCTGGGACCCAGACTTAAAGGTGGATAAACACAAGTTATCATTTTACAGACCTGGGCTCATGATAAACGAGAAACGATTAAAATTATTAGAAAATAGTAGTATGGCTTGACCGGTGTTAGTACAAATGCATTCAACACAATACCAATAAAACCATGTAGAAGTGTACATTATATAGACAACATCAGAAATGGCAAGTAAACATTCGCTGTATTAGTAGACAAAAAAAATGCAACCATTTATGTAGCTATACATCGTTGGAATTGTTCCCATTCCAGCGCTGAGCATGAACACTCCATTCAGTGGAGTGGTAAAATGTTACTTAATTCAAACACTCTTCCACTTAGTGCAGCAGCACCTTGACGAATAGGCCACGACCAAGCCGTTGCCGTCGGGAGAGGTCTTGCCCGCATCGATGGCAGCGATTCTCCACAGAACCCGCACACCTAAAGCTCTGCTCGTTTTCACCGCGCCCGGCCGCTGGCGTGCAGCAAGTGGCCAATGCGATCACGGTCCACGTGTCTTACACCGCAGGGGACTGTAGATTGACACAATGTGCAAAGCAGAGCGCGCGCAGCGTATGGGACCAAGAAGATTGACAGCGGCATTCCACAAGAACCAAAAAGCATTGTATTTCTCTCCTTGGTTCTTTCGGTAAAGTCACGTAGAATGGAAATAAAATAATAAAATTATCACGACGTTTCGGCCACAAGACAAGTGGCCCTCGTTAAGGGAGGGGGCTGGGAACACAGACAAAAAAAAGAAAACCAAGAGAAACAGCCAAGGTGCGCTGCAGTGTCCCGAGTTGCATTATGACTATGCTATAAACTGGACTACTATATATGAGAGATTCGTTCATGAGGCCATCCACATATACAAGCACAGAGACAATTTCAACCGAGAAGATGGATTCTGGCTTGGTAACCATTGGAAAGATGTTATAAACCATTTCGGTTCTTAATTGATTGTATTTTACGGTGACCTTCAGACCGCAGCCCTTTCACTGGCATTGCCTCTTAATACCTCTCGCACCACGGTTAATGATATGGTTTATAACACGTAGTATAATAATTAATAGTATAACATTGTAATGTTTAACATACCTCATAAGGCAATATATAGCATCGTAATTGCAGTGAATATACAGTAGTGTGGTATATAGTTGGGTTCACAGAATAAGACAGTGTAATGTTACAAGTATAATTTTATAGTCTAAAGTATAGGGTAGTGTAAAGTAACGCACTGTAAAATTGAAATGTGGAATTTGTCTTTGGATTTGATGTTATACCATGTAGTTTAGATTGGAAGGTATAACATTGTATTATATAGTAGTCCAGTTTATAGCATAGTCATAATGCAACTCAGGACACAGCAGGGCACCTTGGCTGTTTCTCTTTTCCTTTTTTTGTTTTCCCAGCCCCCTCCCTCCTCCGCTCCGGAGGTGGGGGGCTGGTAACATGCTAATTCATGTGTTAACTCCGCCCACACAGCTTTAAAAAGACTCGGTCCTTGCTTGACAGCGTTCATTCAAGCTCTGTCTTCTGGACAGACCTGTTTCTTCACCTGAAGAAGGCCACTTGTGTTGTGGCCTAAACGTCGTGAGAATTTTATTATTTGATTTTTATTATTTTATTTCCATTCTACGTGACTTTACCGAAAGAACCAAGAAGATGAATCCCTGCAGTCACGAAAGCTTTAAATCGAAATTCATTGTATTTCTGATTTCTGCCCATTAACACGAGTAGCCCAACCAGGAAAAATAAAATTCTCTCTGTTGCTGCTGGAAATTCCACATTCCCATGACGAGGGCCAGTCTCCACGTTTAGCAAAGACACTGAACGCAAGAGAGAACTCGTCCCGTGATCGATGTCGAAAGCGTTTCAAAGCTCCGCGTCGTCCGCCCGTGCGCGTGCGGCGGCACCGATGTCCTGCCGGCGCCGGGAAGCGCGGCGCAAGGTCCCCCCCTACTGCATCAGGTCTTCAAAGCTGTTGTTGGGGGAATACTTCCCAGCAGGTGAGGGGCTGCGATCCGCGTGCAGCGACTGTGAAGTGGCCAAGACTCCGTTAAAGCAAGGCGACCATCTGCCCGGCACCGGTGATCTTGTACAACATGGATTGGCTTATTATCCCCAGGTGGCTAATCTCCGAACCCATTTCCCCCCCCCCCCCCCTCAGTAAACCATGTTAAACAAAAAGAGAGATGAGGTAGAGATGCTGAAAAGTCTAAAGGGTGCAATTCACAAGTTGATGATCATTTAAGCTTGGTGGATCACACCGTCTGCACCGAAATATCACCATGGCCTCCCACGCAATAAACACTCAAAAGAAGGTTTTTCGTAAACATTCCCAGGCAATTTATATTCTATGAATAACATAAAATTCCCACCAAATAATATATTTCAAATTCATGTGCATTTCAAATGAACGAGTTAATTTCACAACGATTGGCTATAACAAAGCTGTGAAACCCACCATTTGAATTCGCAAATAACAAAAAGATGTGCAGAGTAAATTGAATGTGCAATTTGTGCAACCAGAACTCTTTTTGACGCTCTCTTACCTTAAACTTCTTGCGCAAAGCTTGCGTCATGATAGGGGTGAGGCCGGTTCCGGTCTCCCGGTTCTCCTTGTCATACATGGGGGTGCCCCCAGGGCTCCTGCACGTCAAACACAGCGACTTGTACGTCTCGTACACAAAGATCTATGGACGTATTACAGTGGTACCTCGGTATACGTCGTTAATTCGTTCCTGAAGGTAGGAGGGGACTTATACCGAAAGTGACGTCTACCAAACGAATTTTTCCCATAAGAAATCAAGGGAAAGGAAATAATCCGTTCCAGAGTATAAGAAATTATATTTTATATGGCATATTATACATTAATGGGGTTGTATAATATAAATGTAGACACTACTTATTATTACTAAAATGCATACGTAAATTAAAATAAATGCATAAATAAATTGAAATAAAAATAAAATATAACATCACTTTACCTTGCTGAGAGGAGTTGAATGAATTTGAAAAAAAATTCACGTTAAAATAACAAAAAACACGTGAAAATTCACAGTTCTAGCAAGGGCTGTGCACTGAACGAGATCTACAGGCAGACTGAGGAGCGGCGCTTTGTTTCAGTCGCGAACGGGGTCTACGAGGGCACGCGGCGACTCATCCCGACCCATACAAGTTCTAGCAAGCCCGTTGTATCCCAAGCAAGACATCGTATCCCAAGACATTTTTTTCTCGTCAAAACACGACGTGTACCAAATTCGACGTATTCCAAAGCGGTTGTATACCGAGGTATGACTGTAGGTATGTAGACATTCTTTCGCACTGCTAATCAGAGGTGCAGGGAAGGACAACAAACTACAACTTTGTATGCAGCAAATGTGAAGGAAAGATCTCACCTGATTATGTCCACGCGTTTTAGAAGTCCCCGTAAATTGTACGGCGTTTTGTTTGGCGTTTGCCTACAACGTGAAGAAATAGCACGTGGCGTTAAAAATACATAACACGATACCAAAGACTTGTCTATTATCGACTAACAACAGAGCAGACACAAGCCCAGTTGAAGGCAATTTTGTTGAACCAGTTGAGAACTTCAAGACAGACGGTCTCATTGGCAAGTGACTTGGGTCACCCCAATGATAATAACATAAACGCACGTACAACGATGACACAGAAATCAGAGGGAAAAAAATAACCAAATAGAAGTTAGAGCAAGACTGGCCGTAAAGAAACCAAAAAACACTGAACGTAAAAAAAACATTTTTAATTATATTTGTCGGTTAAGGTTATCATGAGCAAAAGCTTTAAAAACACAGATCCTCCCCAATCACCACAACTGTGGTGGTCTATGACAGATCGCTGTCGCTTAAATACAAGCGCAATTAGGACTGAACACAAAAGTTGAATTGCACAAGAGTGGGGCATTATTTTTGTACATCCTGACCGGGCGACGAGCGCGGAAACATTTCACGACAAAGAGCAGCCTGCCGGTTGCGAGCACGAGGACACTGAATGAAGGAGGTGCGCACGCGAGGACCAGGCTCACCCACCGGCAGCCCCTTGGGGAGAGCATCGTTTGCGCGCACGACTCGGACACGGTGCGGCGCAGGCTCACGGCCTGCAGGTCCCTCACGGTGACGAGCGCCTTCTTCCACTCGCTCGCATCCTACCCAGTCAACAGCACGCGCAGAACCTCGGTGTGCACCGGTGCCACGATTCGCCCCCTCGCGTGAGCCCGCGAGCCCACGCCGTTTCATCGAGGGACTACGACTGTGTGCTTTATCACAATCGGAATATTTATTTGTACTGGGAGCGAATCCGATGAGCTATAAAGCTCTTTTTTTTACAGATGTCCAGTTTCTTGGTGTGGTCTAGGGGCTGTATTTTTTTGTTGTTATTTTGCTGCCTTGCCCAAATCTTGATAAAAACAAGTTCAAATATTTACTTATATTAAGTGACTCGCTCAACATTTTCTCTATTTTGCACCTCTATCGTGTTTTTATTTAGTTTTCTGTTGTAACTTTGCTGACCCCGCCCATACTGGACATCTGTGAAAAAGAGCTTTATAGCTCATCGGATTACCTCCTCCTGCTGGAGTCTAAACAAAGATTCTGATTCTGGAGTTATCACCAATCAGGGTCTCAATGCCATCCCCTTTTCTTACACTGGTGCATGCTCATTCAACAGCGGTGGGAAAAATATCTAGGATCTGCAGTGGCGCCAATCTGTATAATCTACTGTGGTATGAATGTATATAAATTAGTTACATACAGCCCTTTGTTAATCCACGGCTGGACGAGGGACTCCACGTGGTGTCAGCCGTGGGGGTTATTTAAGGACACGTCATCACGCTGGTCGGTATGGGTTGGATGAAGGCAGGCAGTGTAGATGTGGGAGCATAGAAACACAGTACTGTACAATGGACTTTGCTGCACTGACCTCTAGTCATGCACAACGCCTATTGGACTATAAAAAAAAATGACAATTCATAGGAATTGAAAAGGATTCGTTGCGATGCACACTCTGCGACAAGTGCATCGTGAGCATCAGAATACATTTAAATGGTTTGTATCAGAGCATTGCCACACCACCGATGCGCTTACACTTTTGTTCCATTTTGTGAACGCGAATAGCAATTTAAGTGGCAGTCACATCGTGGCTTAAAAATGGAATGATACGTGAAGTGAAAATTCTGACGCGGTTCAATTACAATGCTGAACAACAATCGATATTCTTAGTTCTTTCGGTAAAGTCACGTTCGACCATAACACAAACGGTCGTTTGTGTTATGGTCGAAAGCGTCGTGAGAATTTTTATTGTTTTATATATTTTATTATTTTGTTGTTTCCCTTCAACGTGACTTTACCGAAAGAACTAAGAATATGAATTACTGCAGTCACGAAAGCTTTAAATCAAAACAACAATCGAGTTGTGAACGCCACCCTCTTACCCGCTTCTCGTCTTCAGCCTCGGTGGAGGTTTTGCGCAGCTTCACCCGCAGAAGATCCTTCACAGTTACCACCGCCGTGCAGTCCCTCTGGGTAGGCCGCTACGCAGACAAGCGCGCATGCAAGGGGATTTCAATTTTTAAAAATCGCGGCACACGCTGCACGAACACAACGATGGACTCCTATCAAGAGTGCAGCGGTGGTTTTTGCACACCAAGCTATGAGCTCAATTCCCAGCGATATCCAGCTACGTTTAACATCAGTAACGAGCGATATCCAGCTACGTTTAACGTCAGTGACGAGCGATATCCAGCTACGTTTAACATCAGTAACGAGCGATATCCAGCTACGTTTAACGTCAGTGACAAGCGATATCCTAACCAGCCCTGGCAACCCCTCTTTACCAACCCAGGTCTGCACCCCCGATTAGCACGGTTGCCTACGCACGGTGCGAAAGAAGTTCAACATACAGCACGTAAGCTGACCAAGCGTGGTGAAGCAAGCTCAAACAACCCCTGTGAATGACACTTTGGTTGACCGTTTCCCAGGAAGGACAAAGGCATAATTATGTTTGAAGACAAATAAATAATAAACACATCTATGTGTTCAACATACAGCACGTAAGCTGATCAAGCGTGGTGAAGCAAGCTCAAACAACCCCTGTGAATGACACTTTGGTTGACCGTTTCCCAGGAAGGACAAAGGCATAATTATGTTTGAAGACAAATAAATAATAACACACATCTATGCTGCTATTGTGCAAGCCAATGCACCGAAGCATATGAACATAACTCTGACAATGCACTGAAGCATATTACGTGAACATGTATGCAGCTTCAGGTGTCGCCAGAAAGTCAATGACACCGCTGGGGAGCTGTGACATCAACGCATGGCAGAAACCGATTTTAACGCTTATTTTTCTGTTCTACTTGGAGCACTTAGAATTACTTTGCATTCCACGTCCCCCCCCTGGCAAACAATAACAAAAAAAGTCTGCCTCATTCTGTTCTCTCCTTGTTATCAACTTCACGATAGAAAATTACGAGTTAAAATTGTTCTACCCATGCATGCATGCATAGAGCATACGATACAATAACATACATACAGCATGCCACTGTACTTATGGATCAGTATTCATGCCAAAAGCTCACCAAAGTCAGATTAAACCAGATATAACTTTGTGTTGGTTTAGTATTACCGGTTGTGGCTCAGAGGTGTCAGACTGAGGCACCTTTAGGATACTAAGCAATAATTTTATGTCTGGGGCTCAGAGAACTATTTTCAAAAGTGGCATAGTAGAAACATAAATTTGCACAATCTGTTGCAGGAAATTAGGAAAAGGCAATTGTGCATCCAGGCCCCTGGTTCAAGAGTATGGATGGATCCTTTAAGCGTATATGATTTATCCAGGTGAGACCTCAATGGACCAACGTAATCTCATTTGCAAGTGACGGGGGGGGGGGGGGGAAATCACAAAAATTACAGAAGCAAAACAAATAAACTACAACGCCCAAGCCAACAGAAAAATCACACGTGCGAGCACTTGAGTGGTGCACACACTGCAATGGCTAGACAACGAGACCCCCCCCCCCCCACCCCCATGGAACGTGCCTGCACCGCCGCCTTCCTCTTCAGCACGAGCCTGGGCTGAGCTGTCGGCGGTGGAGGCAGCGGAGGCGGCGGAGGAGGCGGAGGAGGGGCTTGCGGAGGCAGAGAGGATGAGACGAGGGGTGGAACAGCGCAGACAGGCGGCGGGCACGGCACGCACACCCCTGCGCACTTGGGGCACAGGCCTTCGCAGGCCTGGTGCGTACCATCCTGTGGGTCAGGGCCCGTTAGCTCTCGACAGACTTGATGGCTACCCACCACACTCCACTCACTAGACTTGATGAACATTTAATTGTCACTGAAGGCACCACAATGTAAATACTGTCACAAGCTGCGAGTCAAATTAAATATTAGACACAACATTCTCCCATCGTTGCAAATTCTCGTCTTCAAAAATGATGCCTCTGGACTGCTTACGTTTCTGTTACAAGACAATGCTAACGACAAGTGCTGAGATTTTTTGTTTGTTCTGTGCAAATAGAGAATTGGAAATTACACTTTATATGAACGTGCAATACAATTCGAGACGTCATGCACATCAAACGACATATATACCAATGGCTGCACAATTCACCCAACTTTATGCATAATTAATTTTGTCTCCAAACTACACGCGTAGCGTTGCTTAAACGGCAGAGAGGGGGGCCTGCAGTAAACTCAAGAATCTACTGGGCCACTCCCAATTATGAATGCAAAACAAGCATATAAATGCAATTTATCCTGGAAAGCCTCACTAAGCCAAGACTTTTATTGAGATGTTCGGTTAAGGAGTGTTATATCTACGGAAACCTCTTTTTCATCATTGCGGAGTATCCATTTTTACGTGGGGAGAGAACCCGGGAAAAACCCCATACATAAGAAGGAATACCTCACAAAGGATCCGCTGTACTTCACCTCTTGGCCACCTTCACAGCCTCACCTCTAACGTGCTGGGTTAAAGAAGTGCGCCACTCCACACCCAGCATTCTTGAAAATAATAACGAACAGCACTCTGCGAGTCCACTTCTTGCTTATACACTGGCATGCGTGTGTCTTATCGGGAGCAGTAGTGGAGTGCTTAGCAGACTGCGCTACGAACCCGGCTACCCAAGTTCGATTCCCGCTCATGGCCAACACCAGTGACAATTATCTCAACCAGTCATGGGCCTCCCCAAGGTCGACTCAGCCTCAAATTAGTACCTGGTGCGGTGTGCAAACATCGCCACTGATGAGACAAAGGCGGCCGGGCGTGGTGTTGGTCACCCACCCCCTCGTGTGCCGTGCCTGCCTTCATAGGTGCTACTCGCTAACAGCACTTGCCCCAACAGTCTAGTTAAGGCTACATGGGGGAATCTTTGTTTGTCGTATGCAGCAGGGCTCACTCGAGTGATGCGCTTGAGAGCCTGCAGTTCGGCCTCCAGGCTCGTCAGGCGCCGCAGCGTCTGCTGCAAATCCTTCCGGTAGGCGAGCTCTGGCGTGAGCCAGTCTTTGGCCAGCACCACTCCCTGCCGTGCACGGAGGGCCACAACGCAGGTGTTCAGCTCCCCGATTGACGTCGACATGACATCACATGACATCACTCGCACGCAAAGACACGGGTATGGATGGGCCAACAGTTCTTATTCTTGTTGTTTCTTTTTGACTGCTTGTGTTGTGGTTATTGCAAAGATGATCCCTTGTATAAAGGTGTCAGTTTTTGTGCCAGCTAAAAGGGTAAAAACTTATTACTAGTTCTTATTCTTTTGTACAGCAACAGGAAAATAGAACAGTTTTCAAAAAGCATAATAGTCGAATGCTACATCTGAGGGCATGTACAGCTCACTGCTGGATGGATGGGGAGTGGGGGAGGGGGGGTATTTGATCATACTTAAGTGTAGATGCAAGAGCATAGAACAATTGGTTTTGGAATTTTGTTGTACTGCCCTCAACGTACCCCTGAATCTTATGTAAACTAAAACTATTGTACAATAAAACTATTTTGTATTTCACTGATAAGGCCCAGTGAGCTACGTAGCTATGTTCGGAAACGACCTGGCCACAGACGATCACTCAACAAAGTGGCTTATCACGTGGAAATTTATCGCAGCCAAATACTCGAAAAACACACGTTTCTAAAATTAGAGGGAAAACACAGGAGGGTACTGAGAAAAATCCACACGAATACGGGAAGAGCATGTAAACTCCAAATATACAGGTGTCAGGGTTGGGATCGAACCCACGACCCCCCCCATATACCAGGCGAGGTAGTTCACATCTCATCACCATGGCATCTGTCCGATGCAAGGTGGTCATCCAGCTCCGCACTACCCATTCTCACCCCTGCTCATGCCTTTGAGATCCAACAATATATGGGGCACATGCCACGTAATGTGCTCCGGGTTCTTCCGCTTTATCCCTCCACCAATTTAGAATCGACATCACACGTCCCGAGTTATTTGGCCGCCACACATTTTCACGCGATAAGCCACTTTGTCGAGCTATCATTTTTGGCAAGGTCGCTTCCGAAAAAGAGCTAAATAGCTCAGGTGTTCCTTAGCTGGTACACATTAAATGCTGCTTATTCACCTGCAAGATGCCACAAACGAACATCCTTGAAAGAGCAAAAGCCTGAAATGAACGCACTTCATATAAACAGTTGTGATATAAGCAACATATGCTTACATTGCACTAGCGGTGGGGGAAGCGAAACTCCTGAAAAAAGCACACGACTTCGGATATAAATCCCAGCCTTTTCACGACGGCGATGTATCCTTAACCACACGTACATTCACTCCCTTCTATAGCGCAGCGAAGCGTTCCTCTCCCACGTTGAGCAGTTTGCGGCTTCACGTCTGCCCAGCGCCCTATTCGTTGTGCAAATAAATAGTACGCGCCCGCTCAATCACCTGCAAGATGCCGCTGCTGCACCAGTGGTAGACGTGAGACACGGTGCCCACCAACGAACGGACGGCACGAGACAGCCCTGCCACCGCGCCTCCCTGGCATGGCTCTCCCTCCACATGGGCCCTGCCGTCACACTCTGGGGACCTGGGACCAGTGCCACGCGCAAGGCAAACACAATCGGAAATATTTATTTGTGCTGGAGGAGGAATCTGACGAGCTATAAAAGCTATTTTCTCAACAGATGTCCAGTCAGGGCACGGGGTCAGAACGTTACAACAATCCACTACAGTGTAGATGTACAGCGCATTGTCAATCCACTGCTGGATGAGGACCTCCCCTCGCTGTGCTGGTCTTGGCGGGGGAGGGGCAGTGCGGGGGGTTTGGACTATACTTCACCAAAATGGCCAGCATGGGTAGTGGAAAGTTACTTGACTGTATCGCACCTCCGATTAGCACGGTTCGCTACGTATGGTGCGAAAGAAGTTCAACGTACATACTTCACCATGCTGGTCAATGTGTATTGGTGTAGGCGGGGAGCAGACACTGCAGCATGGTACTGTACAACAATGGGATTCCTCCAATGCTCTTGGATGGCAGCGTATGACACCTCTTTTATGCACATGATGGTCACACAATCGAGGAGCACCATCCCGGCTCAAAACCCAGTTTAGCTTTAGAAAGCTTTCAGGTGATTTGGTCACGGCCTTTGCTCCTCAAAATGGTTAATACGGGAAACAATCATTATGCAACGATTACACGGTAACCTTGGACAACCTGTGACAAGCGCTCCTCTAAATAGTGACAGTTCTGTGAACATTCTTGAAATTGCACCACCAAATAGTGACCGTCACTATTTGGTGGTGCAATTTCAATAATCCTTTTCTCTTTCGATTGCATAGCCCCATTTGGTACACGATCATAAACGTAACATATGCACATTTCTGCAAAATATTCGTAAACATAAGATGGAATGTATGCGAGGATAAATACATATTTGAATCGATAAATTATCCTTATGGCGGGACCCCGGGGTCCCATAAGCCCCCGGCTCTCGCACAAACATTATAATATAATGTAAACATTACATGGGCTTGAAGGAAGTTGGCAAGTGTTGTCTTGTTAAACTACGCCTTTAAAACTGAAAACTACTTACCTGCAGTAACTCTATTTAAATACACTGTCGAAAAAATAATTTACACCCCTCTGTCAATCATCGTGTTTCTCAGTGTGGATTTGTGAACACACTTTGTAAACAGTACGTAAAATAGTACGCGTTTTCAATGCGCTGTTCATATTGTAACAAGCGTTTATACCAATATTACTCTACAGTGTAGTGGGTCGCCGCTCCTCTTATCCGCATTGATACGAGCGGTATGTGGGGGGACTATGGCTTAACCACAAAAAAAACAACCTATCTGCACAGATGCACACGGAGAAGAGAAGTATGAATGATCAAACAGGCGGAATTAACAGTGCAACGCGTCTCATCTGTTAAATATCTGCAGGTAATAGGATCGTCACCGATTGATCCTGGCTGCAGGTCACAAATAATAATGAAGATAAGAGAGCAGTTTCACGGTATTATTATGCATACCGTGATGACAAAATAGAAGGACTTCGGTCGTGTAGGCGGTTTGAGCAGCTTTGGATAAGACTTGTTATGATCCTGCCCGTACCCGAGCATGGAGTGCGTTCACATTCGTCCTCACTGCTGCTGCTGCTGCTGCTTGGACACGATTTGTCTGGTTGCCGCCTGATGATGCTCGTAGTAACTACTGGCAAAACGTCGTCCTCGCATTGAAAACGCTGTGGGTTTACTCTCCAACACACAGCGGTGTTTGCTGTACTAGCAACGAATTGGCCACGCGTCGGGTGGTGGCGGAGGGTTTGACGACACAACATTTATTATATTTACGCGATCTAACCCAAACCCCACCACCCACCACCACTCGATTACGGGAAAGAAAAAAACCACAACGATGAATGAGAAACAACACACGAAAAAAACGTGCTGCACCTTAGCACCGGATAAAGGTAAAGGTACCGAAATGCGGCCCGCTACGAAGGGGCCCGCACGTCGTTACCTGGCCGCCGGGCACTGACGCAGCCGCCCGGCCGTGGGTCGGCCCAGCGGCCTCCCGCGGGTGCGCTCGGTCTTCCACCTCCGCCTCCTGCTTTTAGACATCTTCTGTTCGCCTACGACGAGGAGAGTGGTGGAGAGAGAGAGAGGGAGGGGGGCAGACACATTCTGAATACAGTACTGTTGTATTGCCATTGAATGCAAACAAGAACACAGTTTTCTTTGAACGGTCAGGTTGTGATTGGCTTCATTGAGACGATGCAGTTTCAAGTAAGCACCTTCCCCGTTGCGTCTTGCCACGGTTGGCTACGTACGGTGCGAAAGAAGTTCAGCATACAAAGGCACACGACACACAGTAACACACAACACAGAGTGACACACAACACACAAGTGACACACAACACAAGTGACACACAACACACAATTACACAACACGCAGTGACACACAACACAGTGCTACACAACACAGAGTGGTACACAACACAGAGTGGTACACAACTCTACACACATTGACACACAACACACAGTGACACAACACACAGTGACACACAACACACAGTAACACACAACACTTATACAACGCTACGCACAACGCCTCCGCCAGCCACCGCCTCGAGCTGCCTCGATTCAAACTGCGCCTTTAAAAGTCGCCCCCAACCAACCAACCAAGGACCCCCCCCCCCTCGCCGCTGTAGCCAATGAGCGGTCGCATTTCATTCGCTGCCCCCCCCCCGCCCTGCGATCGCTCTCTTTCTCCGCCAATCAACGTCGTCCTTACGTGCGACGACCAACCGTCGGGGTAACACCCCCCCCCCCCCAGTAAGAGCTTCTAGCCAATCAACGAGCCGCTTACATCGCGCGCGGCTGGGCCGGTCCTAAGAGAGAGAGGGGGGGTGAGTGGTGGGCGGATCCCCCCCCTCCCTCCCCCCCCCAAAAACCCATTTCGCGCTTTTCCATTGGCGCAGCGCGAACGGGGCGTGTTCCAGCGTCCGGGGCTTGTCCAATGGGCGGGCGGCTTACGTCGCGCGCGGCCAGATGCCGATTAGCCCCGCGCGGCCAATGGGAGGCGCGCTTACATCGCAAGAAGCCTCGCGCTGATTACACGCAGGAATGTAAACTATTCAACATGGCCGCCGCGATGGCCAGCCGAGGCGGTGGTAAGGCGCAAATAAATTTATTGTTTGGTTAAGTGCAGTTAAATTTTAGAGATTTGTGCGCGAAAGTGGGTGGGGAAGCCTCGGACGCAAGTAAAAAATATCGGAAAAATTGTTGTCATTCTCGTGTACGCGTTACTTGGGTGCAAAACCGAGGCAGGGCTGAGCGATAAATGGCGACTAGGCCGAGAGGCAGCGTCGCCTCAGACGCCGTTGACAGCTGGCGCGGGGTGGGCGTGACATAGACGAACATTAACATAATTTATGCGGCTCGGTGGTTGCGTTTATTATGTTAATTATGGAAAAGGGGTGGTCTGATCCGCGCATAAATCTAACCCTTAAATTAACAATCTGTGCGCCACTGGTTGGATAAATGATGATGATGAACTGCCTTGCTGCACGTGAATGCGCCGAGCGTGTGGCATCGTGTGGTCGGCGATTCGGTGTATCTCTGTCCTTTTTTTTTCCAGTTAATTTTATTGTTTAAATAAGTGATGGGGTGGGGGGGGTTATAAAACAATTGCAAACGTGTTCAGGATTGTAGTAGGATTGTACGTGCAAAAAAAACGTATGATACGACCAATATTACAATTATACTTGAAATTGCAATCATTTTACTCGAGTTAAAATAAATGTACCCTCTCTCGAGCTCGCTCTGGTGGAGACCCTGAAAGCCTGCAGCGGCGTGGCAGAGGCATTTCAGGGCTACAGATTTCGCTTGCAATCTGTTTCCAATGAGGACATTGATGCCCCAGCGAACAGACCATATAATTCAGTCACAGCTCCAGTCGTAAAGAAGCTACGGTGAACATCACACGTGCATGGCGAGGGCACTAACGCCTGTGGCTCTCCGCAAGCGGTCAACATCGTCCACGATTTTTGCGACGTTCGCAATCCGTCCCCGTGTTTCGCGCGAGCCGATCTTGTCGCTCCGTTCGCGATACTTTTGTCTTCATTCTGTTCTCATTCTGCTCCCACTCCTTCGTTGGTCTTGACCTCCCAACCGTCGGTCATACCTTCAAGCTATAACATGTGCAGAGGTCGCTGGACAATCTTAGAGGGCAACGGGACCAGTAGCCACATCCTTGGATGTTTTGTTGTTGTGTCAGGTGCGTGAATAATCTTCGCGTCGTCGACCTGGTTAAAAAAGAATCCTTGCTGATTCTGATAACGAATATCAGAATATCCCAAAAGAGTGTGTGGGCAAGGTCGGAGATTACAAAAAAATGTGAGGCCCTTGAAATAATGCAGAATACTTTTGTTTCATAAGTATGTGCTGATGTGATTAGTAGAACAAGAATACTGTAATTTTTCAGACTTGTATATCCAGTAATATATATAATCAAAAATAATTGAACATATTCCATGCGGCACAGCCATGCCATTTGGGTCTGCAAATTTATCACGGAGTAATTTATCCAGTGGTCACGTGCCTGTACTTTTTTTGCGAACGTAAAGAAATTCTTCCCTTGAACTCCGTGCTGTATTAACCGCTGCAGGGGTCACTGAATTATAATTTGCTTCAACAATACAAGAATGTGACATGCTCAAGAGCTGTGCTCATGCTCTTTCTCGCGTGTGCGCTAACAACACAGACAGACATGTGGCGTTGACAACGGTGGAAGAAACAATGAAAACAAATTAACCGGTTATTTTGTTGTTCTCGTTGCAGATCCGGATCATTGGTCATCATCGCTACTTCACGACGCCTTCCTGCGTTTCCTCCCTGACAAAGCACCTCCCATTAATTTACAATTATGCCATAATCACGTAAAATAAACGTTACAATTTTACTTATATGTCTTCAGGAGGTTTAAATGCAATGTTTCGAGAAAATATTGCAATCGTCCGTTAATTTTACCATAATTTTCTTTTTAAAGTGTGGCTGTTTTGAATAATCAACTTTTTCCAATGGGAATGGCATTTTAATGGCTTACTATAAGTATTCTGTTGTTACATGACAAGTGTGCAGCACATAAAGAGGAGAGATCTTTGGTGGGGTCACATAGGTACCACCTTCGCGAGTTCAATTCATTTTAATAAATAAAAACATTGTAGTAAGTATCCGTTAGGATTGACGTTTTCCTTATCTCTCTGAAGGGTTCTCAGAGGTTGTCTTGGATGTTGTTTGCCGTGACGTCCAAAGTTGTTGCTGCATGTGCCGGGAGCTTCTGCAGGGAACCGAGTTTTGAGTTCGTGAAGAAGTTCCCAGCACGAAGAGAGCAAAAATGCCGAACATGTTGAACAACACGCGGCACAACCCTGAAACGCTTCAGAAAGCTAGACAGCGCAACTGTGACACCTATAATGTTACTTGTCTTAGGCCGAAAGTCAGATTCTTCAATAGGAGATTTCACAGTGGATTTCGTATCATCATTACAACACTCACTTTTTCGACGGAAGCTCAGCGTCCCCCCGCTGTCCTTTTTATATTGTGCTACTGTGTCCTCTGCGAAGTAGTGCAATGTGAAAAGGGCATTGGGGAGTCGCGCCTTTCGCCTGGACTCATCCACTGCTGCCTTGGTCGTGTGGCAACTTGCAAGCCCCTGCTGGAGGCTCTGACACCATTGCACTACTGTACGCAATGGTGAGCAGTGCAATTGTATTGTCAAAGCTTCCGTCGGTGAGCCCATGCGAGATTCCATTGGAAGCTATCATCACTCGCCTTGGTCAATCCACTGCTGGGTGAAGGCCTTCTGCCGCTACCACCATCCTTCACGATCCTGCCATGCAACAATCTCCTTGACATGTGCGCACGAGCCGATGTCATTACCCCAATCTCGGATGATGTTTTCTTGGACACACTCCTCTCCTTGGTGGTCACTCCCATTATTTTTGAACCATCTGCCATCATGCCTTCATGGTCAACGCGGTTCTACCATGGCCCCCCTGAAAGCTAAACTTCTACATTATGTTTTGCACAGCTTCGCTGTGTTTGTGGGCACCTCTTGCTTATACTATTTCTGATTAGTAGGCCATAATCCTGCTGATTAGACTCAATAGTCAAAATTAGGCAAATTTTGTGTAAACAAGCTTTTGGATAACTGGTCCAGAAGGCACGATGTTTGATTGATGAAGACCCTACTCTACTTATTGTTAATATAACAGCAGCTGTTTCACATTTTCCATGGTGGTAATGTTATGGTACAAAAACGAGCATATATCATGATGTGCAGAATTATTGCCACCGGTAAGGCAAATTTGATCTGGTATGCAGAAAAAAACCTGATGAGGTGGAGAGAATGAAACCACGGTAAAAGTCGTCTATAATCTCCCATACAATGCGAACATCTTGTTGAGCATGTGAGTATATTTGATCCCATATTAAAACTTGTAAAAGGCATTGTAATTGCAGTTATGAGTGATTATTTTCTCATCCCTTGCACCAAGGCAGACAACTCGCACACGTGGGCTATGTTACAATATCAGCTGCCATGTCACGGAGTGTGACATGAACACTGTGCCAGGCTAGGTGTAATAGCGAAAGTTTACTGGATGGTGATGGGACAGGTCTATCGTCAGATAACCCAGGCCTTTAGTGTTTGACGTGAAAATATTGAGTTTTAAATGGGAAAAATAAAAAAAACAAGTTTCATGACGTCTGCTCGATTCATATTTGCATATCCTTTATGTATTTCTAAGATGTCATAAATGAGAAATATATGCGTAATTTGAATCGTGTGGAGATCCAGTCATTGACAAATATACTTTTGATTTAAAGCTTTCGTGACTGCAGGGATTTATATTCTTGGTTCTTTCGGTAAAGTCACGTGTGAAAACCACACCTGATGACGATTGCTTGTGTTGCAGTCGAAACGTGTGAGAATTTTATTGTTTTATAATTTTATTATTTTATTGTTTCCCGTCTATGTGGTGACTTTACCGAAAGAACCAAGAATATAAATAAATATACGTTAGTGTGTTGAGCAATAGTCACAGAAGAGGGAAGTCCACTCAAATGTGTGTAGGTGCTGAATGCATTTTAGGATGTGTCGTTAACCACAGTTAAATCTCACCTATAAACTTGTAATCATTTTCAGAACCGGTTACCGGTTCTGATAGAACCTGGCAATCATACCCAGTAATGGAGGAAATATTGATGAGTTAGTGATGGTGGTGATGGTTTAAGTGGTGATGATGATGGTCCTGGTGGCAAAGGTGACGGTGGTGATAGTGGAAATAACCCTAGAAATTACGATAATTGAGGGAGTATGACATCTATGATTAAGGTGGTGCTAGTGATGTTGACGGTAGAGGAAATAGTGATCCTGATCGGAGTGATGCTGTCGATTATGGAGGGGCTGATACCAATGGCGATATTAGAGGAAAAAGTGACTAGCGATAGATAGCGATTACAACGATAGTCATTGTAATAATAGTGGAGGTGATCATTGTGATTGCGATGATAGTGGAGGTGATAATAGTGAGTTTAACACGTAGGCTATCACAACCAATATCCACAATATATTTTTTAGTTAGATCGCGTAAATATATAAATGTGTCGTTTAAACCCACCACCACCTGACACAGCCAACTAGTAAATACAGATATCCAAATTTCTGCTGATAAGGGCCGATCAACTGTCGTGATGCCCCGTGAGGAATATGATAATACAATCAAAGATTTACTCGATGAAGGTACCTACCTTAAAATTAAGCGAGACCCAACCAGCACCTTGGAACTTAAAACAATGGCAATCATTACAAAGTCATCAATTCCCAAGTAAAATCAATACCTGATCAAACCAAGGGCATCAAAACCACCAAGACTTCATGGGCTACCAAAAATTCACAAACCTGATGCCCCATTAAGACCCATAGTACAATAGGCTCTGCCACGTACAAATCAGCACAATACGTAACGCAACAAATACAGCCCTACATCGGTATAGGACCTCTTCATAAAAAATCTGAATATCTCGTAAATACAATTTAAGATATAAAGCTGAACCATAATGATATTCTCGTAAGTTTGGATGCGACCTCTCTGTTCACAAGGGTTCCGGTCAACGAACCAATTAAATTACTCGACACTCTGGTAACGAACAAAGGTTTAGCCAAAGATATCCCACGACGAGCTTGAACACTGTCTAAAGAACACTTCTTGTGGCAAGATGACTTCTATAAACAATAGGAAGGAGCAGCAATGGGCTCTCCTTTGTCTCCTGTGATAGCGAATTTGTACATGGAAGATTCTGAAACAAAACAATAGCTTCAAGCACACCAAAACCATCTGCTTGGTTGAGATATGTGGATGACACATTGGTGGTCTGGCCACACGGCAAAGATACACTGAACGAATTTCTAAATCATCTCAAATCGCAAAACCCATCCAGTTCACCATGGAAGTGGAAGCTGACAGAACTCTACCATTTCTGGATATTCTGCTCGGACGGGGTCGAAATGGTAAAATAACACACGGCGTTTACCGAAAGAAAACGCACACTGACTACTATCTGAATGTAGAGTCACACCATCACAATGCACAGATATCTGCTCTTATCAAGACGCTCATTCATCGGATGACTACCGCTTGTGACACCAGTGTCAGATGGTGACTGTGTGAGAAGTGAAATTCAACATGTTAAAGAAGCGCTGCAAATGAACGGTTACAATGATGCACAAATCAACAGGGCATTGAATGCCAAAACCAAATCAAATAACACGAGCATTAAAACAGCCCAAGTAATGAAAACGATCAAAATATCGTACATTGCGGGAGGAACTGATAAACTGGATGTTTGGAAAAACAAAACATCCGAGTCAGATTTGGCACGGTACATAAAATACAGAAATTTATATCTGGTACAAAACATGTATTACCGAAGATATCAACAGAAAGTGTGTACAGGATTAACTGCACGTGTGGAAAATGTTACTTTGGGCAAACAGGACGAATGATCAGCACGAGACTAAAAGAACATCAGAGAAATATTAAATTCTCCCAAATGCAGCTGTCAGCAGTAGCAGAACACGCGTGCCAACAAGGACACTCAATTGATTTTGATAATGTTGAAGTTCCGTACAAAACTAGCTACTACTGGCCAAGAATGATGAATCTATCGAAATTTAAAGAAATAAAAAATATATTTAAACCGTTCGACTAGCTACCCCCTTAGTGCTGCGTGAAAGAGAATCATCAAATAATGCATCATTTAAATGCACGCCTATAAAGGGCACCATACTTCAATAGGGATTACAGTTGGTACGGCGATTTTAATACACACAATGGACAGGAAGTACAAAATCAAAGGGCTCGCATAATGCACATGCATAATGTACGTTGATTCTAGATTTGAAGCTTTCGTGACTGCAATGATTCATTCTCTTTGGGTTTTTTTCGATAAAGTCACGTAGGTAAAATAAAATAAAACAATTAAATCACGATGTTTCGGAGGCAACACAAGCTTCCCTCTTCAGGTGGAACAGTCACAGCAAGACTGTTCCACCTGAAGACGGAAGCTTGTGTTGCCTCCGAAACGTCGTGATTTAATTGTTTTATTTTATTTTACCTACGTGACTTTACCGAAAAAAAACAAAGAGAATGTACGTTCATATTCTTAGCTCTTTCGGTAAAGTCAAGTTGAAGGGAAACAATAAAATAATAAAAAATATATAAAACAATTTTATTATTTTATTGTTTTCTTTCAACGTGACTTTACCGAAAGAGCTAAGAATATGAATTACTGCAGTCACGAAAGCTTTAAATCAAAAATAGAATGTACGTTGACTCAGTAATCCCCCCCCCCCCCCCCCCCCCCCCCCCACGTGTTGCAAGAGTGCAGAAGCGTGGTCACCACATCTACGCCTCTATATAAGGAACTAAACAGGTGGTTTTCTCCACAAATCTGGCTGTCGCCTGATGAAGCTAGTTGTAATTACTGGCGAAACGTCGTACACAGATTGTAAATGTTGTGGCTTGTACTAGTGACGAATTGGCACGTTCTGTTTACGTGACAACCCTTACTAGTTGGCTGTGTCGGGTGATGGCGGGTTTTAACGACACATTTATATATTTACGCGATCTAATCCAAAACAAAACTATATTATGGGTGATAATAGTGATTGTGATGATAGTGGAGATGATAATAGTGATGCAAGAGGAAATCGTGACAAAGATATTGGTGACAGTGGAGGTTGTGGTAGTGATGGTGGTGATCGAGGATCATAGTAGTGTTGATCGATATCGATATATAGACAGACAGTGACTATTGATATATGATTATTAGAATGGCGATGATAGCGATTGAGATGATAGTGATGGTAGTAATGGTGATGCAAGAGGAAATAGTGATAAGTGACCATATTGATGGTGGTGAAAGATGTGATGGTGTTGATGTATGATCCATTGCTGTCCCTTAATCTCCTAGCCTCCTTGCAGCCATCTCGACCACCAGCATCTACTTTTTTCTATTCCTGAGCAGTATCCCATTCAAAGACGTGCAGTCAACGAAGACACATCGCAGAGCCAGGGAAATCCCCGCTATCTCCATCAACTCGCACCCTGGATTGTGATGATATTGATGGTGGTGGGGGAGGTGATGGTGGTTGTGCAGCGGTTAGCGCGCTGCACTACGAACCCGGTGACCTGAGTTCGATTCCCACTCACAGCCATCACCAGTGTGCCGTGCCGGCCTTGATAGGTGCTCGCTAACACTTTCCCCACCAAATTGTTTTGGTTATACGGGGGATATTTGCTTGTATTATAGTTGGTAATTGCAGTGCTGGTGGTAAACCAGATGAGGCTAATTATGATTATTGGGATGCTAGTGATAAGTAGCTTTCGTGATAATGCTTACAATGATTGTGGTGGAGATCGCTATTGTGATGATAGTGATGTTGACAGAAATAGCGGTAAATTTCGATTTAAAGCTTTCGTGACTGCAAGGATTCATCTTCTTTGGTTCTTTCGGTAAAGTCACGTAGAATGAGAATAAAATAAACGTCGTGAGAATATTATTGTGTTATTTTATTTTATCAATTGATTATTTTATTCTCATTCTACGTGACTTTACCGAAAGAACCAAAGAAGAGAAATAGCGATGGTGAGGTTCGTGAAGATGGCGATAGTTGAGGTCATGATCGCGATGGTGATGATGATGGTCCTGGTGGCAAAGGTGACGGTGGTGACAGTGGAAATGACCCTAGACATAACGATAAAGGGGCCGTCCATAAATGACGTCACGCACCTGGGGGGGGGGGGGGGGTCAGACATTTGTGACGATGTGTGACGAGGGGGGGGGGGGAGGTTTAGAAATGTGACGTCATATCAAAATTCTCAACTTTAAATAAATATAGACAACATGTTCTACTTAATTAAATAGACTTTTTAATAAATGTTTTCTCCTACAACATCAGAGTGCAGCGCCACATTAAATACGCACTACAATGACAATAGTTTAAAGCGATTTGAAGCGTGTTTTATATTTTTTGGGGGGGGAGTCTGACTTTTTGTGAAGCCGTGTAATGAGGGGGGGGGGGTGGTCAAAATCGTCCAAACTCGCGTGACGTCATTTATGGACGGCCCCAAAGGGAGTATGTATGGTGGTGCTCGTGACGCTGTTGATAATAGAGAAAAGAGTGATGGTGATCTTTGCAATGGTAGTGATTGTGGTGATCGTGGAGGTGATGGTAGTTGATGGTCATGGTAACGGTAATGATATAGGACACAAATGCTATCCTGCACCGCAACTCCGAGGTACTTCCCGCTAGTCCCTAATAAACTTGAAAGCAGACAGCGATCATGCTTGGGATGCGGGGCTGCACGAAACTGGTGACCTATTGTGGGGTTTAGAGGCATAACAGTGATTGACGTCACGACCCAACAACTGGGGCATCTCCATTCACATTCACTTACACCGGAATTTCCTGAGCTCCACAGAACGATTGGTCAATGTCCTTAAGCTATCAAGTTGACGAGCGTAATGTGATTGTTGATCTCGCGGAAAAAAATGCTACAATTCTAGACTTGAAGTTTTCGTGACTGCAAGGATCCATACTCTTTGGTTCTTTCGGTAAAGTCACGTAGGTATAAAGTATAAAATAAATTAAATCAAGGTGGTTGAAGGCTGTGGTTGAAGGCAATTGTTTCTTGCTGTGGTTGTCCCCACCTGGTGACGGACGCTTGGGTTGCGCCCGAAACGTCGTGATTTAATTTATTTTATATTTTATTCCTACGTGACTTTACCGAAAGAACCAAACAGTGCTACAATGTTTTCGTGGAAGACCAGCGGGAGTAGAGACTATCAACTTTTTACAATAATCATTATGAATGATATGAATAATATTGGTCGCGAAAGGCTAGGGGTTAAACTGACCATGATCCCTGTTGTCATGACAAACCCCTAGGTCTGCTTGTCTATGAATCTGATTTTAAACAGGATAGTCTGAATGGGATTATGAAGGGGGTTTAACGTCTATAATATAAATTTCGATTTAATAGCTTTCGTGACTGCAAGGATTAATCTTCTTTGGTTCTTTCGGTAAAGTCACGTAGAATGAGAATAAAATAATAAAATAACACAATACAATTCTCACGACGTTTTGGCCACAACGCAAGCGGCCGTCTTCAGGTGAAAGGAACAGACCTGTCGGGACGACAGAGCTTCAATGAACGATGTTAAGATTCGTAGCGACTTTTAAGCTGGTTAGCCAGCTGAAGACGGCCGCTTGCATTGTGGCCGAAACGTCGTGAGAATTTTATTGTGTTATTTTATTATTTTATTCTCATTCTACGTGACTTTACCGAAAGAACCAAAGAAGGTCTATAATATAGTGCGCACATATACATACCTTATCTTATACTTTTAAATAGCGCCTTAATCAAGGCGCTGCTGTGCAGTGAACTCACAATGTACAAGGTGATTGGCAAGATGAAACGAGATGAGTAGATGGGATATACCTAAAACGAGGTGGTGGTGGTGGTGACGAAGATGTAAATGAGATGAGTGGATCGATGATGGGTGACGATGGGGAGTTGTGTACATTTGGCTGTGTGACGCTGAGTTATATTCTGGCGCTCTCAGGGACAAACTCAAATCCCAGTTTGTATGACCACCGTACTCTTTGTCCTGACACATTTACTGCAATTTTTGTTGAATATATTTTGTTCATAACGAGCAAAATCATAATGAAACCCACGTGTGCATTTGCAAAGTCACTTCAATAAATGAGACTATTTTAATACGTGCATATCTGTACAACAAATATTGTGCACATCCTTACTGTTAATGTATACACAACTCAACAAACCTGTCAACAACACTGCCTGACAACAACAACGTTTATATAGAAAATACATTTTACATTTTTAGGTACATTACTCTTATGTGTACTACACACATAATTTATGTATGTGGTGCAACTATGTAGCGTTGCACTTTGTGTTTACCACAACCCACGAGGACCGCAGCTGCATGGAGCGCCACGGTGGGAAGATGCTAACGACCTTGCCTGGTATACAAGAGGTCAATCCCGACCCTGACTCCTGTATACTTGGAGTTTGCATATTCTCCCCGTGTTCGCGTGGATTTTTCTCCAGGTCCTCGGGGTTTTCCCTCCACATTTATAATGAACATCTTCCGTTTCGAGTATTTGGCTGCTATACATTTACATATGATAAGCCACTGCGTTGAACTATCATTTGTGGCCAGGTCGCTTCTGAAAAAGAGCTACATAGCTCAGTGGGCCTTACCCGGTAAAATATTTGTTTAAAAAAACAGTATATAGATTAGTTCATGAATAGTTTTAGTTTGAATGCAATCCAATGCAGTGTCCGTTGACTGTTGCGTCACTATTCACCGGGCTTAGAGCACGTGGTCACTTTCCGGATGTGCGTCACGATGACGTCACCAGCGCGTAATCATTCCGGGACCCACCTAGTGGCGAGCACTCGCGCGCTCCGAAGCTCCTCAGACATTTACGTTTAATTTAACATTTTAACGTAAATATTCGACAATTTTTTATATTTTCTTATTCTCATCAAGCAAGTGTGGGTTTTCCTCACAATTTCGGAAGGAAAGCAGGACGCTTTTGTGAAAAGTATCCGAGACTCTGAGGTGAGTGATAATTTGCGACCTGAGGCAGGCTGCTAGGATATTGAATATAACTAAAAAATAATGTATATTTGATTTGAAAACGTATTTTTCAACAAAGTACACGTTTTTTATGGTCTCCATAGGGCCTTGGGGTACAATGATGTTGATGATGGTCGCTTTGATTGTTGATTGTTGGAAAGGTTTTTATTTTGGTGATGACGAGTGTTCAAAGTGGTGGTGGTGGTGATTGTGGTGTAGGCGGCGATGGGGGGTGGCGAGCGGTGGGACACCGGTTAGGGGACATCCATTTAGTAGGTTCACAAAAATCTGTCAAAACTTGAACCCTCCTCCCCTCCCAATACGCAAGCGTACGCATTTGGGTTAAGGGGCCGTCCATAAATGACGTCACGCACCTGGGGGGGGGGGGCGGTGAGAGACATTTGTGACGAATGTGTGACGAAGGGGGGGGGTGTTGAGAAATGTGACGTCACATCAACATTCGCAACTTTAAATAAATATAGACAACACGTTCTACTTAAATTTTGATTTAAAGCTTTCGTGACTGCAAGGATTCATATTCTATATTCTTGGTTCTTTCGGTAAAGTCACGTAGAAGGGAAAGAATAAAATAATACAAAATATTGTTTTATATTTTTATTATTTTATTGTTTCCTCTCTACGTGCCTTTACCGAAAGAACCAAGAATACGTTCTACTTAATTAAATAGACTTTTTAATTAATGTTTTCTCCTACAACATCAGAGTGCAGCGCCACATTATATACGCACTTCAATGACAATAGTTTAAAGCGATTTGAAGCATGTTTTATATTTTTTGGGGGGGGCAGAGATTTGTGACGTCATATTTGAGAGGGGGGTCTGATTTTTTGTGACGCCGAGTGACTAGGGGGGGGGTAAAAAATCGTCCAAAATCGCGTGGCGTCATTTATGGACGGCCCCTAACCCCCTCTCCCCCCTCCATGCGTACGTACCAAATGGATGACCCCTAAGCGCTACGCTGCACTTACAAACCCGGCGACCCGAGTTCGATTCCCATTTACGGCCACCAACAGCAGTGACGATTATCTGAACTGGTTCCGGACCTCCCCTAGGTCGACTCAGTCTCAAATGAGTACCCTGGTGCGGTGTGTAGTAAACATCGCCACTGGGGAGACAAAGGCGGCCGGGCGTGGTGCTGGCCACCCACCCCCTCGGGTGCCGTGCCAGCCTTCATAGGTGCGATTCGCTAACAGCACTTGCCCCTACAGTCTGTTAAGGCTACACGGGGGATCTTTGTCTTTTGGTATAATTGGTAGGGGTAGTGCTGGTGGTAAAGGAGATGATGAGGGTGATTACAATCATGGGGGCGCTAGTGATAAGTAGCTTTCGTGGCATCGCTTATAATGATGGTCATGCTAATAGGTCACTGGTGCTGTACTGCACTGACGCTATTGTTGTTGTACTGTGTTGACACAATTAGTACACATTTTTGTTGCCTGTGAGGTTAATAGTGGTCACCCTATGTAAATTCTGAACCCGCCAAAGGAATGTGGAATTTATATTCAAAGGACATCCACTCCTAAGCTTTCTATGACGTGGTATATTATCAGCCCTAAGAGATAATGGGCTTAGATGACTGTCCATTGAGATTTGACCAAACAAAATGTTAATTGTAACTTAAACTTCAAGCGATAGCAAAACCTGCCCGAGATCTCTCCTTTGCTGACGAGTCTCAGTAGGCTCTCAGCTGGTTAAATAGTGAATATTGCACCTCCGATTATCACGGTTGGCTACTTACGGTGTGAAAGAAGTTCAACATACATACAGTACATATTTAAATGGGTTGGGATTTGGGATACTGTGCTTATTTGGATGAGGGGACATTCTGACATAATGTGTGCTGTTTTGACAGAACAATCCCTGGTTATGGCTGAAAACAAAGATACGAGTGTGCCTGGCCAGGTAAGTGTTTATACCTGATACCTGCTCACCTGATAGTACAATGCTACAAACTCACATCTCAATACAATGACACAAACCCAATTGAGAGCATGGACACCAATAGATCACATCACACTATACACACACAGATACCGGTCGCTTCAAAGTAATGTACAATCACTGGTATTAGTTCGCCACAAGACAATGACACAAGCTCTCTGCACAGTACAGACACTATTACAATCTCTACAACAGAAAAATTAGTTCCAAGGCCAATGGATGGCCACATAAAACACATTAAGTGATCACCTGCCCTCTTAGCTCATACCAATTTAGATTACGAACTAAGGGAAATGCCACCTAAGTGTTTAAGCTGTCCACTTATACAAAGTTATATATTACGTTTGTTTGCCCAGGTAAGGATCACCGAGTCTCACGACTCTTCGACAAAAGAGCCTTGTCATCATTTTCCCAGGAGGGTGGGAGGGGGGCGATGATTGCTCCTATATTGTAGTTGTGTAATTTCATAGATTTGGATCACAACGCCAGCATCCAGTGGCCTACTCCTGCTAATGGCATCGCGGGATCTAGACGTGCACTCTGAAGCAGACGCGTATTTGTCCCATAAATTATATCAGGGCGGTCGCTCGAATTGAACCGTCAGCCTCTTCTGCAACAAGCGACGAACGCACGGCCACCAGGCCACGTTGCCGCGCCGGGAGTTGATCCTCCAGGCTTGATGGCCCACAACACAACGCACGCTCGTGTGCGTCGCGTTGCACGTGACGAAGGTGTTATTCATATATCTGTGCGTTTGTGTTTCCACGTGTAATTCGTGTGCGACGAGCAGGCGTCGCCAATGGATGAAACTATCGTCTTCGCAGAGGCAGGGATGTGCTGCACGCCTGCCGGTACTGCTCCACTCACTACAGTATAATATTAGCGCCCGATTCACCACTATATCTGTGCATCTAACACACCTTCCAAAACGATCACCATGACCTCATGAACCTGTGATGTAATAGACCGAGTGTAAACCCATCACCTTGACCTCACGAGAATCGTGATGTGATAGACCGAGTATCTGTACACGGGCTCATTTCATTGCTCCATTCACATTCGGAATACTGTACTTTCCCAGATGTGTTGCTGATTTTGCTTCCACTCCATCGATATTCTCAACCATCCGCCATAAGAGTTAATCCCTCAATTATTCTATACCTTTATAAAGAGCACAGTATAAGAGGTTAGGCTGAGCTCTTGTAAGTGATGCTTCCGTCCTTGATGCTTGCTCCATTTTACAAGTGTGCACGTGTGCCTGGTATGTACGTGCGTGCGCGCGCAGATGTCCTCGTGAAATTCCGAGAGAAGATGACGGAATTTGAGTGTGATGAGATCCTTACATACAAATGGATATATTATTTCAAGATGCGTAGTGCGACAGAAGGTGCCTCCAATATCGGCTACGATGATGAAAATAACCACTACATACCGGTACTACCCTTCAACATGTTCCACGTGCTCTGTAACCAGTTCACATCTCAATGCAAATGCGAAAACCCTTACACACAACGCGCTTAATGCCGTTGCTAATGCTTGTCAGAGTGTTGACTACTGGAATGGTATAATGCAAATTGAGTCATTTGTGGGTATTTTTTATTTATTTGGGAACTTTGGACCCTGACACCTACCCTTTGCGTAATGACATCGTTCACTGTGAACCTGACAGCACGTGTAAAAAAAAAAAATGGTTAGTGTACCAGCAGTAACAATCGGGACATCCTCGGTAATATTCAGGAAAAACAGATGATGAAGGTGGCGTTAATCGTGATCCTCAGTAACACGTGGCGAATGCGCTACCACCAGGCCACGCCACCACCCTGAATATGTCCATTGAGGTGCGAGGTGGCTTTGATAAATCATGTCCGTCAATGCACTTATCTAGAATCTGTAAGGTCTTCGGTTTGAAACCAGCGAAGTCATCTGTGATAAAAACTAAATTCTTGTATAAAGCAGGATTGATGGCCTCAGCTGATCAGCAATGAATGCTGAATATGTGCCGGTTTTTTTTTCACTTTAGCCTTGCTCAGTTTGCAGGGTAAACAATGATACTCATTACGATTCATAATTGATTGATTTTGGGTGTATAAATGTGTGTGGTAAACCCTTCAGCCCACACCACCAATTCATAAAAGTGTCACGTGAATAAACTGCGCCAAATTCAGTTTTGTGATGAAATATTTTTTATTACGTTTCGTGATTTTAAACTATCATTTGTGTTATAACATTATAATTATTTATATTTGCACGCTATTCTCTCTGTTATCCCCTTTACACTTTCTCATTGATATAATGGATGGCTGCTACAATTTTACAAACCAATTGTGTTTCTTTACCTCAACCTTAAATCACAATGTGTATTTTGGGGGGTCCAAAATAAAAACTAACTAAAATCGTAGTTTTTGGATTGTTCTCATTATAAGCAATTACTCAGGGCTCTATGCCAAGGTCATTCACATTTCCCTCATTTCAGGTGGCCCTAATGGCCGCAATTTCTTTCAAGATGACAAATCTTTCTGCGCAACACTCGGGATCTTTTATGTAGCCTGAAAAATATTTATATATATGTCCCATCAAGTTTGGTTAAGGATTAAAGCTGCTACAGTGCTGATAGATGGATGGGCAAACAGAAATAGTGGTTCCAATACCATTCATAGATTTAATTGGAAATATAAACGTGAGCAGTGATTGAGCTCCGGTTAAATGAGTGCTAATTTGTTATTAAACTGACCAAACGATTGAACTGTGTGTCAACCAAACTCTTCTATTATGTTACAGGTCATCGATGAGCATCTGGCATATAGGTACCAAGTACTGAAGGTACTTGGAATAGGAGGTTATGGCCAGGTGCTCCAGTGCCTGGATCATAAAACGAAACAACAAGTGGCTCTTAAAATGTTCAAGCATGATTCAAGGTGAGTTTGGACAACAGCTACACGTATATCTGGATTTGTGAAGAGAAAAGTAACTTCTGAGAATACTAACTTGCGTTGTGTAGACTGTAAGTAGCATAGGCAATGCTGTATCATATAAATCGGTGGTTCTTAACCTTTACTGCAGCCTCATTTGATTCTCAATCGTGAAAAAAATATATAATGCTAATAGATACATAGGTTTGATGAAACAAAGTAGTTATACTTACGTGCCTGTGCTTAATTTGTGTTTCAAATAAATCTGGCATGTCCTGCACCCCCAGAAAGGACATCTCGCACGCCTAGAGGGTGCGTTTACCCCAGCTTAAGAGCCACTGATCTAAAAAGTGATCCGAATAGAATTATAGCTCAAACATCATTAGAAACTCTTTGTAATATGCGACCACCTTTTATATCTATGGTACCTGTATTTTTTTGGGAATTTCTATCTCAGGGCCTCCCCGATGGGGATGAGTGCTGCCCAATTGAAAGTTTGAGCGGATACAGCGTTTTGACTTGGACTCGCTGATCCGATAGCATAACTGCCACCTTGCTGTGATGGGGGACTCGGTCACTCTCTCGTGTAACAACAAACTGACAACGTCTCTGCCAAACGACGTAAACCGGGATTGAGCGCTCGCAGCCTTGACTGATGCTCGATTGACTGAAGCATCTCGGGCCTTCACGCGTCACTCTGCCTTTTTGAATGTGCGAGCACTAAGCATGTGGTGAGACTCATTCGTGCTTTCTCTCCACAGCATCGTCCAAAATACGTACAACCCGGAGAGGGAAATCCTAAATGTCTTGAAGTCGGTGGACGGCAATAACATCATCAGACTCCTTCAAACCTTCAGATTCAGGGGCCACTATAATATGGTTCTTGAACTTGTCTTGTGAGTAGAATTTCATCCGTCTAAGCAGTTGCATTCGTGTGATTGTGCGCACTGGTCGCTTCCTTTCAATGCTTTATTGTTACTTTTGGTATCTCATGGAATATAAAACAATACACATGCAACTCCTTCTTTGCACGTAACTATTTTTGACACTTTTTTTGCTTTACTAGATGCCTTTGAGCTGCGTGGGCTTTTTAAAATATAGCAAATAAAAAAACCTCAAAAGTTTCTCCCGCCCCATATTTCCCCACACCAGTCATCGTGGTTTGAACGGATTGTTGTTGTTGTGTTTAGTTTGTTGTCCTTCCCCCGCACCTCTGATTAGCAAGGTTGGCTACGTACGATGCGAAAGAAGTTCAACATACAATATTTAGTTGGTTACAGCACATCAATAAAAAGGATTCTGCCTTTATTATCATTCATACTTATGGTAAACGGTAGCGCTTGTTTCGCTGTAAATAAAGTTGCTGCCGACCACTGGGCCGTATCTCATCAGCGTGTGGAATATTTGTGAAGAGCCTCATTTTAAGGGGCGCCACGGTGGCGAGATGTTAACTACCTCGCCTGAGATACACGACATCGTGGGTTCGATCCCGACCTTGACGCGTGCTGTATATTTGGAGTTTGAATTTTTCTGTAGGTCCTCCGGTGTCTTTCTCCACATTTAGAAACATGATGATAAGTCACTTGGTAGCACTATCATTTGTGGCCAGGTCGCTTCTGAAAAAGAGCTATATAGCTCAGTGGGTCTTACCTGGTATAATAAAGAAATATTTTTTTGTTAAGCCAAGATCATATTCCCATGGGAGAGATTACAATTGGATTTTGGTATCGGGAAAATCCCGAGCCGCAGTCAAACCGTGAGTCCTGTACATGGAGCCAACCCTACGCAGTGGCCATAAAGAATAAGGGACTTAACCGATAATATTGTGCTGTCTTGCAGAGGAGGAACCCTGAAAGAGGAACTCTCAATCACCTGCAAGGTTGATTTACCCAAAATCAGGCTCTACATGAGATCCATTCTGAAGGCCCTGGTGAAACTCAAGAGTGAGGCAATCATTCACGGAGATCTGAAGCTAGTAAGTGAATATCAACATCCTCCTGCTTCGTTCATGCATTCATTGATTTTCTGTTTGTATTGCCTATGAGGCAGTTGATGCCAAATACGACTCCCTCATGATTGAACGGTAAAGTATTAAAACTCTTTATCTATGAGACATGTCATGAAGTCATGAGGCAGCAACGGAAGGTGCCATTGCAGCATACTAACACTTGTTTGCAACAATCATGAACGTACACAAACATAAATATGTCTCTTTTTTTAAACATGTGCTTTTGAAATCCAAGAGTTCCTTTAATCTAGGATTTTATGTACATCTACTTGCTATAAACATTGGGATTATTGGAAGTTGCATTACAATGACAATGCTCAAAGCAATAACTCATAAAGGTTTTTAGGTTATATCGCATAAATATAAATATGTCGTTAACCCACCCTCCACCAGACAGCCAATTAGTAATGTTTGTCACATGAACAAAACGTGCCAATTAGTTACTACTTCAGCACACCGGTGAATATTAATTGCGAAAGCTTATGTGTTAAATTGAAGCAACAGCTGTGACTTGCAATGTTAAACAAAGTGTTGAATTGAGCAAAACAGATTCACGATATATATAAAAAAAAATCAAACCTCGTTATTAAACGCGTTGCCGATTGGTGTGAGCACTGAAGTAGAGTGGCACACCCAGGACTGATTCTTAATGAGAGATCCTCCTTTGTCTTCTCCAGGAAAACATCCTCGTCAAAGACCATGACACCGGCGATGTCAGGCTCGCAGATTTTGGCCTCAGCGTTCGCGAGCGTCGCAATTGTAAGTGAGCTCGTCTGTAGGTGTGCGCTTGTTTTACATGTGTGTGTGTGTGTGGCACAGGTGGTGCATCGCCAGTCATCTCAGTCAGTCAACCCATGGCACCTGCAGGGTCTGTCCCGTGACCTGCTGCCAACGGGCGTTTGACACTTGACGTGGCCTTAAAGTGCACATAGCCTGGCACAAGCGCCGTGGTGATGTCACCGCCACTAAGTAGCTAATGGCAGTTGTTGTGCTTATTTGAGTGTGGGGGGGGATAGTGGTGGAACAGTGATTTGCACGACACCAAACTTCCAGTTGTCCAGTTTATTTCTTCGCTATGCACAACACTTGCAATTGGTATTGAATAGGTCTACCCTAAGTAAACTTGGAGCAGTAGCTGCTACAGTTCTGTGTGCTACACAATAGGTGCTCACAAACAATATTTGTTCTAACAGTGAAAGTATTTTTTTGTATATATATTTTTCTATATTCTGTTGTTTTGTTCTAGTTTATGTATGATTGTTTTATTTATCTACGTACATTTCTCTGCATGGTAAATTTCTGCCATTGCTGATCAGCTTTAGGCTGGACACGTGTGTTGAAGAGCTTCATCGCTCATCAGATTCTTTAGGCTTAAATATTTCGTCAATGTCTAAGCATGAGGTGGCACTCATGTCCGTTGTTGGTTCTGAGCCAATGGTGGAAATTCCACGTGCCTGTTGATGTGGATGTCTATTGCAATTACAAATTTTAACGTCCCCTTAAAAGAGTACAGTTTACCGCACCACGACCGGGTTTTTAACTTTAAATCTCCTAATGGAGTTGAGTGTTTCTAAACACAGCAACAATCGGTATGAGGTGAAATTAGATATTTTCCCTACGTACAACTACATGTATGTGTACTGTGCATACTTTATTTGGGTACACTTGAAAATGTAAGCAAGCGGTAATGCGATGTCCCACATGCACGATTGTGCCTGTCTCTTGTGTGCGCACGTGTTGCGAGTGGTGACGCAACCGTTAACACGCTGCGCTACAACGCCCATTGATCCATGTTCGATCTCCAGCCATGGCGAACATCGGTGGTAAATACATAGTGGATTCGAATTAGGTGCACACACAACTCCTTGGGAGGCAGCACTTATTTTATTAATGAACACAACAGTTAGCTCTTACGTTACGCATAGGGTGGTGACCACCGACCTACTCTAGCTAACACACACTTCTCAGATACTCTAGCGTGACCCAGCCAGGTGGGCTACTGGCAGGTCCGCTGACTGGAGGCTTGACTCTTCTTGGCGTCTTCACGATGCATCTTCGTTCTTGATACGGGCAGCAGCCTCGAACCTCCTGAGGAGGCTGCTTATATGGGCCTCGACGTGCCCGGGCCCCGCCCCGGCCACTCCTCCCTTCCAGAACCATCTCGAAGCCCCCCCCTGCTGTCCATGTGCCACCCGAGGTGCCCCCTAGGCCCCCGGCCCCCGCTGGGGTCCACTCACATGTCCAGCCGGGGTCACAGAGAGTGCCACGACCTCACACCACCCTCGTGGCCTCCCGAGTCCAGAACCGGCCCTGACGTCATTCCCGCCTCCAGCCGGGATGACGTTATGTGTGTGTGTAGACCCGCGTGGTCGTGACGCATAGTGACGTCACACATGTGCGTGTGTACGCAGTAGTGATGCTACCATCACTACAAATATATGAACCGGTCCTGGGACACCCTTAGATCGACGCCAGCCTTAAACAAGCACCTGGTGTTGATAAATATCAGCCCTGGTAAGACGAAAGCAGCCAGACACGGTGTCTGGCCTCTAAAACCCACCTCAGATGCCGTGCTAACCGTAATAGGTGCTCGCTAACAGCGGCTACCCCACCAGTCTGTTAAAGCTGTCCGGAAGATGAACGTCTTTGTTTGTGTGTGGCGAGCAGTCTTCACGCACCGCGGCACCAAGGGTTACATGGCCCCGGAGATGTACCTCAATCTCCCGGTCACGTGCTCAGTGGACATGTGGTCCCTGGGTTGCATCGCAGCAGAGCTCGCCACCGGGAGCCGACTCTTCACGAAAAAGCAAATATATCATGTTGGGCGCATCATACAGGTACGTGAAGAACAGGATAAAAAAAACCTCAGCATGGACAAATAGATATATTTTAGAGATCTAACCAACCATAGACCCTGCAATCAACGAGAGCATTGTTTTAGTTGATGGTGGGCGATGGCACGTTTAACAGTACGAATGGCAAACAGATTTCTGCGCAATTAAGTGTACGGTCGTTCTGTGGCGATGGTCCAAATTTTCCAAAGTTAAAAAATTACCCACAAGTCACTACTTTTTTTTATTTGTACATAACAACCATCGTCTCCTGCCGAAAACTTGCCGGGACCTCCTGTGAAATAGTCAAGAGACTGAGACTTTTTAGGGGTAAACAAACGTCATATTATTAATTATAATATTCCTTTTAATTATAATAATTATTGTTCTCTGGGTTATGGTTGCCACCTTTGGGCTCGTGGGTTTTGTGAGTTGCACAATCATATAGCACTCAGGAAAATGCATTTATGTAGTACACATCTCATTCATCGGGTTTCATGAGATTTTTTTTATTATACGTCCCAGTTTTTTGTACCTCCAGAGGTGACAACCCTACACCATATTCTTGGTTCTTTCGGTAAAGTCACGTAGAAGGGAAACAATAAAACAATCATTGCTTGTGTTGCAGTCGAAACGTCGAGAGAATTTTATTGTTTTATATTTGTATTATTTTATTGTTTCCCTTCTACGTGACTTTACCTAAAGAACCAGGAATATGAATCCCTGCAGTCATGAAAGCTTTAAATCAAAACCCTTCACCGGGATAATTCCCTTGGTAAATACATCCTGCTTCTGCTTGTGCACAGGTGCAGAATTTACATCGTTATCGCGTGGCCAGATGTCAGGTGCACAAGTAGAATTGGGATTGGGGCTCATTATTACCAGACTCACACACACACACCCTTAGCAGTAATAGGGTTCATGTTATATTGATGCACTGCCCTGTAATATACACCACGTAGACCCACAACCACCTGCGGCAATCTGGTCTGTGTAGTGGTCACCCTATCCAAGCACTATCCAGGCCAAACCCAGCTGACTTCTGAGATCTGATGATACTGAACGTTTTGGGGGTGATTTGGTCATAGGCAAATCAACCGGATGTATGTAATCACGTGTGCATTTACAACTGATCCCGCCCACGTCAACTCATTGCCACTGTGGTGTGCATGTGTACATATAGGTGCTGGGGCTTCCGCCAATGAACATCGTAACAGCCTCGAAAGTCAAGATTATTCGCTTTGGTGAGTGGAGGGGAGTTACTACTTCTGCTGTCACTTTTCATCGAGCTGTGGCCATGCAGCCAGCGATATTGTGCTCTGTGTTAATCTGGTTGTTTTTTTTGGTCCATGAGCCAACAGTGAGACTCCAAATGCAAGTGCATCTTGATTTTGAGATTTAAAAAATTAGCACGTTCAGATAGCACAGTATATGAGAAAAAGCCATAGTTAGGTGCCATCTAACAGCGCTAAATATGCGCATTACATCGATTTACAGACACTAGTCTTTCAAACATATAAACATGGCCTCGTTGAATATTATTGCCAATAATGTAAATGCCAAATGTGTGTCAGGTGTATGCTTATCAGCGATTATCAGTACAGCCGGCCATGCTATCTTACATGACAACTGTGCTATGGAAATACTCCTCGTCACACCTTTGATTAAGCGAGGTTATCTGCAAATATCAATGCTAAGCGTCTGCTGCTGTTCAAATGAGAGCATCGGGGAGTGCTCCTCTCCGTTGGTAGTCCCCAAGCCAATCGTGGAACGTCCAACATTAAACTATCGCGGGCGCCAAGCTTTCCACAGGACAACCCGCTGATGACCTGCCACGATAGGATGCTCCTCTTTGTTCAGCCTCGAGGGATGTTGAGCTGAGTCAACTGGAGCCCGGGATTTGGATTTGCACCATTCAGTTTGTGCCTGAAGTACGACTGCATGTATGTCGAACTTCTTTCGCACCGTACGTAGCCGACCGTGCTAATCAGAGGTATTGTAGTCTGCTTCACCAGTACTAATTCCCCGTGTTGCTTCTCTTTCTCTCTCTTCTCTCTGAAAACAGATGATGAAGGTGGCGTTTATTCCAACGGCAGGAAAACCATCCCGGGCAGTGACCCCCTCGACAAACTGCTTGGGATCGAAAATATTCATTTCCTCCACTTTGTCAGAAGATGCCTTGAGTAAGAGACAAATCACTGACTGCGCATCATCTCTTTTGGGTAGCCATCGAACGAAGATGGTCACCGCATCGCTCTTACCTTCCGCTATTAGGAAGCCAATGGAGCTGTGCACTTTTGAATCTAGATTTAAAACTAATTTCTTTAGAACTATCTCCTCCGACTAGCACGGTTGGCTACGTACGGTGCGAAATAAATTCAACATACATACGTCTGAGTAAATCATCGAAATTCAGATTTCCCATTGACACTCGCTGGAAAAAAGTGCGCTTACCTGGTGGAGGTTGGGCAGCTTTATACCTTTTCAGGGGAAAATTGCTCTTCCTTGCACCTTCTTCAATTAAATACAAGATATGCTATGGCAGAGGGTAAAAATACCTCACACCCACTCCAGATTTGAAAACGAATTAAAAAATATTCTTGGTTCTTTCGGTAAAGTCACGTAGAAGGGAAATAATGAAATAATAAAAATATTGTTGCGTTTTATTTTTATTATTTCTCTTCTACGTGACTTTTCCGAAAGAACCAAGAAGATGAATCCCTGCAGTCACGAAAGCTTTAAATCGGAATTTAGAAATGTTGCCGGCCTTATATTTGTTTCCTTGGTTTTTATTCGCTTGCCAGATGGGATCCTATTCGGCGGCTCACACCCCAACAGGCCCTGGATCATCAGTGGATACGTGGCACCTCACCCGACCCGGCTGTGGTGCCTCAGTCGGTGGTGGCGAGCCCATCCCTAGACCCAGCAGCACCAGTGCCTTCTGACGCACACGAGACAACTTATCTCACTCCTGGCAATTGCGGAACCATTTCTGGACCATCCGATCCAGAACCCGTCCCATCGCTACTGGCGTCCACCAACACAAGGAAGTCGTATGTGACTGCTCTTGAATCAAATTGTGAGCTACCGGGGGACGTGATCTCCCTATCACTACCAACATCCATCCACGCCCAGGGGCAATGTGACGAGTGGTCGAGCGGCACTCAGTGGGGCCTCTGTGAAAACATCGGCGGTGAAGAAATTGAGTCGACCATGAGGCAACAGTGAGTCTCCGTGTGCAAGTGCACCTTTGGTGAACGTTTTGGGCTGGCTGGGTTATTTAGTGAAAGTCTCCCTTTCTTCAACTGGCGTAGGGAAATTTCCATCTCCAATGCGGGGACACTGAGAAATTATAGTTTATTGTAGACGGGGCCTGTCTGTACTACAACTGTTGTAGACTCCCACAGAGCGCTATTGATTTATGGTGTATAGGAATTAAATGGAAACTGTTGAGCAATATTAAGATAACCTCAAAGAGATAATGGTTCTGTATTCGATGAGATTAATATTTCGTATTCGAAGAGATTAGGTTTCTGTTTTGAATGAGACATCTACACTGACTTAAAATTAAACTGCTCCATTGACATGACTCAAACACACATGAATGTCCCCAAGCCACTGATGTATATAATCCCTCATCTCCTAACATCCTCTGTGCCAACCTCCAGCCAATTGCAGTTACGCCCATGAAAAATACAAACTTTTATTCAACTGTATCCCACCGAAAGCTTTTGAGTTCAATAACTGTTCACGTATCAACAGTCCCCATCATCCCTTTGGGGTATCGTAAAATGAACAAAGTTTAGCCCTGTCATAGTACTATAGAATTTCCTCCACTTTCCTCAGGTCGCCAATGGAGATGAGTACCGGACGCAAGAGCGTAACGATGGGACGCGTTGTTTCTGTGCCAGGTGGGAGCCTATTCGTTGCCCCAGCAAGGAACATCACGATGAGGGGAAGGAAGATGCCGTCACCTTCCCCAGGGCAACGCAAGCGAAGGGGCCTCGGCGGAGATTCCCACGTGTGAAGAATGGCTTCCGGGCACTTCTTTGCTTCATCCGGAAGTACTGCTGCTGCGGTGTGGGCCTAGTAGGCTGAAGGCCCAGGCAGTGAAGTACAGGGTAGTGAGTGTGGGGGGGTGGGGGGGGGGGGAATTAACCCCATGCCTTGCGAATTTGTTGTTCCCCTAGTAGCTGCTACGTGACATGGAACCCAGCGGCAGGAGAGGCGACGGCAGAAACGCTGAGGACTCGTCACGGACTTGGGGAGTCGTCTGGTGCCAGCAGTGCGCGGAGAAGACCGGGCGAGCCAGGGGGAGTGTAAGATGGCTGCCCATCATCACACCGCAGACGCATGGGACTAGCCCTGATGAATGGCCCCTCACAATCGGACCTCTCCCCTGGGGTTTTCTTCCCAGGCAGCCTAGTGTGCGAACTCAGCCAAGGGTTTCCCAGAGGGGAGAGATTTGGCCAAAGTCCGATGTGAGTTGGGAGCCCCGGCCCCTGTGACGAGAGTGAGTTTGCCACGAGACCACCTCCAGGAGAGTCCGGATGACAGAAAATGGACACATGATAACCGTGTTGTATGCTAAGAAACACACAGCACCCAGTGTTTTTCGTGGTTAGTTGTCACCGGAGCCTTTAGTGAGTCAGCTAATATTGCATTCTCTCACCCGTCCGTGTCTATGTCGAGACCCGGCCGTGACTCGTGTGCATTTGAGATGCGATCTTAGTGGTATCCTGAAGCAAGTTAGAGGCCCGTGTTGACCGTGCATTCCATTGGCATTTTGTGTACCCAAAAGTTTCCGATTTAATAAAAATAATGAAAAGTTTATCCACGAGCAGTGTCTTCTGAATGAGTGTTGTAAGAAGAGTGTTGGGTGGCCAAGGCGCGACACCAGGCATAGGCGACGGCGTGCCAGTTTAATCTTCCCCAACAGCGAGTGGCCTGTGCGGCCGAGGGGAACCTCTGTAAACGCGAGTTCTTGCCGACTTGCATCGTGGGTCCGCACGGTGTTCAGCGAGCGGAGGAGGAGGTGGGAGTGAGTGTGTTTGCGAATTTGGGTGTCGCTGCGCCCGCAGTCTTTGAGACTCGCGGCCATGGGTGGAGCGTGAAGATTTCGGGCTGCGTGAGCAGGTCGAGCCGCATGGCAGAGGGAGGGGAGGCAGAGACTTCCATTGTGCACCACCGTGCGCCACCGCCACCGCACACCACCGTCAATGTGTACCACCGCCACTGTGTACTACCACCACCGTGCACCACCGCCAATGTGCACCACCGTCACCGTGTACCACCACCACCGCGCACCACCGCCAATGTGCACCACCGTCAATGTGCACCACCACCGACGCAGCAGCGTCACCAAAAAAAATCAATCCCACATCGGTTTTGACAATTTTATTACGATAAAAGGATGGTTTAACACATCTTTACATAGCAATGAGCCATAGTTAAACACCTGACGATAAAACATAGACTGTACAGCAAAAGGATAATCATTTCTATGACGACGCGCGCACACGCATAAGCGGCTACAACAATCGCGCGTGCGGAATGAGGAGCGGAAAGTTAAAATTACAGCAGCCCGGGTGGCGAGCACACTGTCCCATCCTGCTTTAAACCCAGGAGCACAGAGTTCGGAACTGAAGTCCGCCGAGTTTCTTGTACACCCCCCCCCCCCACTCACGTCGCAGTTTGTGCTCAGTACCGGGCTCCTGTTGAAATAATATAAGAAACTAAAATATTAACAAAAAGTAAAAAAAATCACAGCAGCCCGTGTGAGGGTTCTATTGCCAAAAAAGCAAGAGGCAGAATGGGTTCAGCACGCAGGAGGATTTCGCTACCAATATTATCCATAAGAGGTTTTGGGTTAGATCGTGTGCTGCATTAGTAACAAATTGGCATGTTTTGTTTCCGTGACAAACCTTACTAATTGGCTGTTTCGGGTGGTGGCGGGTTTAACGACGCATTTATATATACGTGATCTAACCCAAAAACCTTCATTATCCGCAGAATGATGTTTGACCGATTTCGGATCTGCCTGTAAAACACACCAGATGCAATAGAACTCGTCTTGCACGAAAACCCGAGTCATATCATGGAAAAGAGGAAGAATAATAAACTAAACTATTAAACTATGTGTTTTTTTATTTTTACCAGGTAAGGCCCCACTGAGTTATGTAGCTCTTTTTCAGAAGCGACCTGACTCACAAATGATAGCTGAACGAAGTGGGCTTATCATCATCGTCACCATCGCGTGGAAATTTATAGCAGCAGCCAAATACACTAAACGCGTGATGTTCATTATAAATGTCGAGGGAAACACCGGAGGACCCGGAGAAAATTACACACGACCACGGGGAGAAAACGCAAACTCCAAATATACAGCAGCTGGCATCAGGGTCGGGATCAAACCCACGACCTCCTGTATACCAGGCGAGGGAGATAACATCTCCTAGCCACCGTGGCACCCCAAAAATATCTCACGAAACCAGACGAGGGGAGAACTGCGCAGAAACGCATCATCTCCAGTGGTTTATTGTTACGCAACTGACAAAAAACCGGGACATTTCAGGGGAAAAATAATATCTCTATAAATGCCCACGGAAGACTTACAGATTTCCCAGGAACGCTACCCCAATAAGAGAACATCCTGGAAAAAAAAAACTAGGGCAGGAGGCGACGCTGGAATACACGTACAGCCCTTGAGCTAATCCACTCAATGGATGAGGGCCCCCCCCCCCCCACCATTCGGTGTGGGCCATGGGGGTTATTTGACCAAACTTTGCGTGGGGTTCCACAAATCGTGGATTATAATCCACTCCCCAGGTCTCGCCAGGACGTACTGTAGGCCACCCCAATTGCGGAAACACTGCGCCGCTTGCTAAGGTGGGTTTTACTGGTGAGGATGAGATATTACAGACCGGGTCTCGATTCGCCTTCTCGCAGATTGTTTGGCAGGCAACAGCCGAGTTTGTTGCTTGTTTTCAGACACGGTCGGCGGACAGCACATTTTCACCACGAAATAAAAGCGGCCTTAGATTTTGTCTCCATCGATGTCTGGACATTTCAAAGTGGCGGTGAGAGTGCAGAGAAGGTCTGTGAAACATTGAGATGGAAAATCTCGTGGGAGACACCCATCAATATACGCAGAGTTTAGAGCTCAGCCCTCGATCAGTCCAGGGCTGAGCACTGGAAAATACTTCTCGATTCCTCCCTCGCTGGTCGGGGAGGTGGGGGGTGGACGTGGATCTGGGGATTTGGGGTACCACGGAAAATATACCATGAGGAATTAAACCCTGATTCCTTAGAGGAATTAAATCATGATTCCTTAGAAAACAGTTATTCACCGTTCTTACCGCACTTTTTTTTAAAACCAAAAGGTTCCAAATAATAAAAATGTGTTTGTTTGACCCACACATTCCTGAATGTTCAACACCTTGAGGAAGCCCTGCGTTTGGAGGTTTGAAAAAGTCTTAATAATTTTTAAAAAAATTTTGGGACAAATCCTATGCATGCAAGTTTGCGCCGTGTGAACCACAGCATGTCCCCAACATACTGTCGGCAGATACACCACGTGAAGCATATACAGTGAGGGAAAAAGTATTTGATCCCCTGCTGATTTTGTGCGTTTGCCCACTGACAAAGAAATGATCAGTCTATAATTTTAATGGTAGGTTTATTTGAACAGTGAGAGACAGAATAACAACAACAAAAATCCAGAAAAACGCATGTCAAAAATGTTATAAATTGATTTGCATTTTAATGAGGGAAATAAGTATTTGACCCCTCTGCAAAACATGACTTAGTACTTGGTGGCAAAACCCTTGTTGGCAATCACCGAGGTCAGATATTTCTTGTAGTTGGCCACCAGGTTTGCACACATCTCAGGAGGGATTTTGTCCCACTCCTCTTTGCAGATCTTCTCCAAGTCATTAAGGTTTCGAGGCTGACGTTTGGCAACTCGAACCTTCAGCTCCCTCCACAGATTTTCTATGGGATTAAGGTCTGGAGACTGGCTAGGCCACTCCAGGACCTTAATGTGCTTCTTCTTGAGCCACTCCTTTGTTGCCTTGGCCGTGTGTTTTGGGTCATTGTCATGCTGGAATACCCATCCACCACCCATTTTCAATGTCTTGGCTGAGGGAAGGAGGTTCTCACCCAAGATTTGACGGTACATGGCCCCGTCCATCGTCCCTTTGATGCGGTGAAGTTGTCCTGTCGCCTTAGCAGAAAAACACCCCCAAAGCATAATGTTTCCACCTCCATGTTTGACAGTGGGGATGGTGTTCTTGGGGTCATAGGCAGCATTCCTCCTCCTCCAAACACGGCGAGTTGAGTTGATGCCAAAGAGCTCCATTTTGGTCTCATCTGACCACAACACTTTCACCCAGTTGTCCTCTGAATCATTCAGATGTTCATTGGCAAACTTCAGACGGACATGTATATGTTACCTGTATAAAAGACACCTGGGAGCCAGAAATCTTTATGATTGAGAGGGGGTCAAATACTTATTTCCCTCATTAAAATGTAAATCAATTTATACCATTTTTGACATGCGTTTTTCTGGATCTTGTTGTTGTTATTCTGTCTCTCAATGTTCAAATAAACCTACCATTAAAATTATAGACTGATCATTTCTTTGTCAGTGGGCAAACGTACAAAATCAGCAGGGCATCAAATACTTTTTTTCCCTCACTGTAGGCAGGAAGGCAGGAAACAGCCACGCCCAGCATGGCGCGGGTTCACGCGACACTCCGCTCATCCTCACAGCAGCGGCGGCTTTTGGCTCGGCCATCAACCAAAGACGGACTTCACCGCATTGCACCACTTTCAGATGCGCTTCTGCGGCCGTCTGAAGCGCTCTTCCTTCTGATATTAGGAAGAAGCCACTGGAGCTATACAATTTTAAATATATATTGAAAACCCATTTCGTTAGAACTGCTTTTTGTGCTTAGTTGTATGTCCTTCCGCAGCACCTCTAATTAGCACGGTTGGTTACGTATGGTGCAAAAGAAGTTAAACACACGTGCATATAATGCCAATAGCATCACCGATCTCCGCCCATCATCTCCCATCCAGCGGCATATGTGGCGTGCAGAGTTTTATTTATTTAAACTTTTCCCCCACCACTGCGTTGATGTCAATCGATTCGTTTAACAGTCGAACCGATAATCAGTGTAATAATACTCGGAAACGCAGCACTAATTTTAACCCGATCGCAATATCAAAGACTCAATATATTGTAGGGATCACTCAACTTGTAGGGATCACTCAACATCTGTTTGCCGGAGCCACACAGGCCATTGCATATCCCGGCGGACATTAACTTCAGAATTTCGGTTCATCATCACACGCAGCTCTCGCGGCTAAGAGGAATCAAAATCCTTGCTCCAAAATTCGGGCCATGCCTCCCAATTAATTTCAGGACGTGTCAACCTGTCACCTTGTCCATCCCTCACCGCCACCCCCTGGGACTTTCTCCCCCCCACCCCCCCCCAAACCTCTACTTGGTTGTATGGGCCTCTTCCGGCAAGGTCGGCTGACTGCAAACGGCCGAATTTTCTCCTAGCTCCTTCGCCAGCCGCCGTTGGTAGTAGAGGAGGTAGAAGGGCAGGCCGAGGCTCAGCACCGAGACCGCCAGCAGGAGGCCGTTCACCTGTTGCAAAGACAAAGATCCCCCCTGTAGCCTTGACCGACTGTTGGGGCAAGTGCCGGTAGCGAGCACCTATGAAGGCCGATACGGCACACAGGTGGGTGGCCAGCACCATGCCCGGCCGCCTTTGCCTCCCTAGTGGCGATATTTACACCGCGCCAGGTACTCATTTGAGGCCGAGTCGACCTAGGGGAGGCCCAGGACCAGTTCAGATACTCGTCACCGGTGTTGGCCGTGAGCGCGTTTTGAACTCGGACCGCCCGGTTCGTAGCGCAGCGCTCTAACCGCTACACTACCGCTCCGCATAGATACCACACACACACACGCACACACAGATACCACGCACACACACAGATACACACACAGATACCACACACACACAGACACTACACACACAGACATCAAACACACAGATACCACACACACACAGACACCACACACACACAGATACACACACACAGATACCATGCACACACACAGATACCACACACACACGCACACACAGATACCACGCACACACACAGATACACACAGATACCACACACACACGCACACACAGATACCACGCACACACACAGATACACACACAGATACACATACATGCACACACACACACAGATGCCACACACAGACACCACACACACACACACAGATACCACACACACACAGATACCACACACACACAGACACACACACAGATACCATACATACACAGACACCACACACACACAGATACCACACACACACAGATACCACACACACAAACAGACACACACACAGATACCACACACACACACATACCACACACACACAGATACCACACATACACAGACACCACACACATACACAGACACCACACACACAGATACCACACACACACACATACCACACACACACAGATACCACACATACACAGACACCACACACATACACAGACACCACACACACACATACCACACACACACAGACACCACACACATACACAGACACCACACACACACATACCACACATACACCACACACACAGATACCACACACACACATACCACACACACACACCACACACACACAGATACCACACACACACATACCCAGAGTGCGCTGTCTGCCAGAGTGTCGTCCACCAGGACGAGGTGCAGCGGGTGTTGCAGCAGCGTCACCAGCGCACTGGCGAGGAACTGGACTCCGTTCAGGTACCCAAAGTGCGACTCGGGGAACCTGCACACAGAAGCGGGTTCTGCTCTCAACGTGCCGCACCGCGTTTGCGCGCTTGAACCCGAGACGACATGTACCTACACACAGAGAGAAGACATGTACCTACACACATACAGAGAGAAGACATGTACCTACACACACACACAGAGAAGACATGTACCTACACACACACACAGAGAAGACATGTACCCACACACACACAGAGAGAAAAGACATGTACCTACACACACACACAGAGAGAGAAGACATGTACCTACACACACACAGAGAGAAGACATGTACCTACACACACACACAGAGAAGACATGTACCTACACACACACACAGAGAAGACATGTACCTACACACACACACAGAGAAGACATGTACCTACACACACACAGAGAGAAGGCATGTACCTACACACACACACAGAGAAGACATGTACCTACACACAAACACACAGAGAGAAGACATGTACCTACACACACACACACAGAAGACATGTACACACACACAGAGAGAAGGCATGTACACACACAGAGAGAGAAGGCATGTACACACACAGAAGGCATGTACCTACACACACACAGAGAGAAGGCATGTACCTACACACACAGAGCAGACATGTACACAGAGAGAGAGAGAAGGCATGTACACACACACACACAGAGAAGACATGTACCTACACACACACACAGAGAAAAGACATGTACCTACACACACACAGAGAAGACATGTACCTACACACACACACACAGAGAAGACATGTACCTACACACACACAGAGAGAAGACATGTACCTACACACACACACAGAGAAGACATGTACACACACACAGAGAAGACATGTACACACACAGAGAAGGCATGTACCTACACACACACACAGAGAGAGGGAAGGCATGTACACACACATAGAGAGAAGGCATGCACACACACAGAGAAGACATGTACACACACACAGAGAAGACATGTACACACACACAGAGAAGACATGTACACACACACAGAAGACATGTACCTACACACAGAGAGAAGGCATGTACCTACACACACAGAGAAGACATGTACCTACACACACACACACAGAGAAGACATGTACCTACACACACACAGAAGACATGTACCTACACACAGAGAGAGAAGACATGTACACACACACAGAAGACATGTACACACACAGAGAGAGAAGACATGTACCCACACACACAGAGAGGAGGCATGTACCCACACATAGAGAAGACATGTACACACACACACACAGAGAAGACATGTACACACACACAGAGAGAAGACATGTACACACACAGAGAGAAGACATGTACACACACAGAGAAGACATGTACACACACAGAGAAGGCATGTACCTACACACACACAGAGAGGAGGCATGTACCCACACAGAGAGAGAAGGAATGTACCCACACACACAGAGAGAGAAGGGATGTACCAACACACACACAGAGAGGAGGCATGTACCTACACACACACACAGAGAAGACATGTACACACACAGAGAGAGAGAAGACATGTACACACACACAGAGAAGACATGTACACACACAGAGAGAAGGCATGTACCCACACAGAGAGAGAAGACATGTACACAGAGAGAGAGAGAAGACATGTACACACACACAGAGAAGACATGTACCCACACACACAGAGAGAGAAGGCATGTACCAACACACACACAGAGAAGGCATGTACCCACACAGAGAGGAGGCATGTACCCACACGCACACATAGAAGGCATGTACCCACACACACACAGAGAAGGCATGTACCCACACACACACAGGGGAGGCATGTACCCACACACACAGAGAGGAGGCATGTACCCACACACACAGAGAGAAGGCATGTACCCACACACACACAAGGCATGCACCCACACACACACACACAGAGAGAAGGCATGTGCCCACACACACACACACAGAGAAGGCATGTACCCACACACACACACAGAAGGCATGTACCCCCACACACAGAGAGAGAAGGCATGTACCCACACACACAGAGAAGGCATGTACCTACAAACGCACAGAGAGAAGGCATGTGCCCCCACACACAGAGAGGGAGAGAAGGCATGTACCCACACACACAGAGAAGGTATGTACCCACACACAGAGATAAGGCATGTACCCACACACTCACACAGATAAGGCATGTACCCACACACACACACAGAGAAGGCATGTACCCACACACACAGAGAGATAAGGCATGTACCCACACACACACAGAGACAGAAGGCATGTACCCCCCACACACAGAGAGAAGGCATGTACCCACACACACAAAGAAGGCATGTACCCTGTTGCGTAGCAATGCGTTCTGTCGTCACAAACGCCCCCCCCCCCCAACACCTCCGATGAGCACGGTTGGCTAACGTACGGTGCGAAAGAAGTTCGACATCCTGTACGTACAAACGTACAGACGTCCTTCCACCCCCCCCGCCCCCTGACGCACTTTCAAAAATGTTCCTGCACGGTATCCATGCCGCAGCCTGCATCCTTCCCCCCACACTCAAAGACTTTCGCACGACCGCCCCCCAGCGCGGGCTCGTTATATACTCATCTATCTACAACATACACATATTGTCTAGTTATATACTCATCTATCTACTACATACACATATTGTCTAGTTATATACTCATCTATCTACTACATACACATACACAGATTGTCTAGTTATATACTCATCTATCTACAACATACACATATTGTCTAGTTATATATTCATCTATCTACAACATACACATACACAGATTGTCTCGTTATATACTCATCTATCTACAACATACACATATTGTCTCGTTATATACTCATCTATCTACAACATTCACATACACATATTGTCTAGTTATATACTCATCTATCTACAACATACACGTACACAGATTGTCTCGTTATATACTCATCTATCTACAACATTCACATACACAGATTGTCTAGTTATATACTCATCTATCTACAACATACACAGATTGTCTAGTTATATACTCATTTATCTACTACATACACATACACATATTGTCTAGTTATATACTCATCTATCTACAACATACACAGATTGTATCGTTATATACTCATCTATCTACAACATACACATACACAGATTGTTTAGTTATATACTCATTTATCTACTACATACACATACACATATTGTCTAGTTATATACTCATCTATCTACAACATTCACATATTGTCTAGTTATATACTCATCTATCTACAACATTCACATATTGTCTAGTTATATACTCATCTATCTACAACATTCACATATTGTCTAGTTATATACTCATCTATCTACAACATTCACATATTGTCTAGTTATATACTCATCTATCTACAACATTCACATATTGTCTAGTTATATACTCATCTATCTACAACATACACAGATTGTCTAGTTATATACTCATTTATCTACTACATACACATACACATATTGTCTAGTTATATACTCATCTATCTACAACATACACAGATTGTATCGTTATATACTCATCTATCTACAACATTCACATACACAGATTGTCTAGTTATATACTCATCTATCTACAACATACACAGATTGTCTAGTTATATACTCATTTATCTACTACATACACATACACATATTGTCTAGTTATATACTCATCTATCTACAACATACACAGATCGTATCGTTATATACTCATCTATCTACAACATACACATACACAGATTGTCTAGTTATATACTCATTTATCTACTACATACACATACACATATTGTCTAGTTATATACTCATCTATCTACAACATTCACATATTGTCTAGTTATATACTCATCTATCTACAACATTCACATATTGTCTAGTTATATACTCATCTATCTACAACATTCACATATTGTCTAGTTATATACTCATCTATCTACAACATTCACATATTGTCTAGTTATATACTCATCTATCTACTACATACACATACACAGATTGTCTAGTTATATACTCATCTATCTACAACATTCACATATTGTCTAGTTATATACTCATCTATCTACAACATTCACATATTGTCTAGTTATATACTCATCTATCTACAACATTCACGTAAAAAGATTGTCTCTACGCCCGTCACGTTCCATAACCGCGGGGTTCCCCTGAGCGGGCGGCGAGGAGGGGGGCCCCCCCGACCCCCCCCCCCAAATCCCTCCCCCCCCCCCATCCGGCGTGCGACTTACACCGCTGTGTAGAGCTCGTTGCATGCCATGGCCACGGCCGCGCGGTCCACGGTGTGCAGGATGAACGTGGCGATCTGAAACCCACGGGAGAGGGCGCGGTTACGGTGGCGGGCGAGGTCTCACGTCGAGCGGTACAAATCCACGAGAACACTTGACAACAACACAATCTCGATGTCAATTCACATCGAAAACCCGTCCGGATTCACGTCGGAAAGATGCGTCGTAAATCGGTCCACGGTGGCATTGTATGAACGTCGTGAATGCCTTTGCTATAATTCATGTTGTGCCCATGCTGCTGGGCACGTGTTGCCGTGAGGCCAGGTGTGGTGAGACCTGCAGGTGAAGGTTGGGCACCAGGCTCGTGATGCCGAACGCCAGCAGCAGCACACTGGTCGTGAAGAAGACGCACATCGCTCTGCGCACCTTGGTGATCTTCCTGGACAGATCCCGCTCCTCCTCGCTGCACGACACGGTCACGGCCTCCGTTAGCGGTCCGTCCGCGTGGCCGGGGTGGTGGCACTGAGCGGTGGCACTGGGGCGGTGGCACTGGGCGGTGGCACTGGGGCGGTGACACTGTGGTGGTGGCACTGGGCGGTGACACTGGGCGGTGACACTGGGCGGTGGCACTGGGCGGTGACACTGGGCGGTGACACTGGGGTGGTGACACTGGGCGGTGGCACTGGGCGGTGGCACGGGGCGGTGACACTGGGGTGGTGGCACTGGGGCGGTGGCACTGGGGCGGTGGCACTGGGGTGGTGACACTGGGCGGTGGCACTGGGGCGGTGGCACTGGGCGGTGACACTGGGCGGTGGCACGGGGCGGTGACACTGGGATGGTGGCACTGGGGCGGTGGCACTGGGGCGGTGGCACTGGGGTGGTGACACTGGGCGGTGGCACTGGGGCGGTGGCACTGGGCGGTGACACTGGGCGGTGGCACTGGGCGGTGACACTGGGCGGTGACACTGGGGTGGTGACACTGGGCGGTGGCACTGGGCGGTGGCACGGGGCGGTGACACTGGGATGGTGGCACTGGGGCGGTGGCACTGGGCGGTGACACTGGGGTGGTGACACTGGGCGGTGGCACTGGGGCGGTGGCACTGGGCGGTGGCACTGGGGTGGTGACACTGGGGCGGTGGCACGGGGACGGTGACACTGGGGCGGTGGCACTGGGCGAACCGACCCTACCTTTCAGCGACGGCCGGGTCGGCCCTGGAGGCAGCTGTCTCCCGCATGAGCAGGTGACCCAGCAGAGGGCACACGAGCAGGCAGAGCGGCTGCAGCAGCCCAAACACCGTCACGTAGAGCTCCGTGTCTGTGAGCGGCCACGCCGCACGACAAAGACAAAAATCCCCACCGCCACCAGTATAGCCTTCAACGGACTGTCAGGGCAAGTGCCGCTAGCGAGCACCTAGTACCATACTACTACTATTTTTATTTTTACCAGGAAAGGCCCCACTGAGCGATGTAGCTCTTTTTCAGAAGCGACCTGGCTATCACAAATGACAGCTCAACGAAGTGGGCTTATCATCATCATCATCATCGTCACGTGCACATTTATAGCAGCAAAATGCTCTAAATGGGTGACGTTGATTCTAAATGTGGAGGGGAAAACCCAGAAGACCATCACGGGGGGAGAGACACGCAAACTCCAAATATACAGCAGTAGGCTCAAACCCACGACCTCCTGCACACCAGGCGAGGTAGTTACCATCTCCTAGCCACCTCGGCTTGAATTTCTCAGACTTCTCTGCCTCAAGAAAACACTCCCATTGGTTTTGTCTTTGTATTGCTTTTTGTAACTTGCTGACCCGCCCCTACAGGAAATCTGTGAAAAAGAGCTTCATAGCTCATCGGATTTCTCCTGCAATCTAGATAAAGATTCTGATTCGGGGGGGGGGGGGGGGGGTGGGGGAGTTAAAATTCCTATTATATAAAAAGTGTATTGGGTCCCACGAATGCATTGCTTGTGCATTTTCCCCCGAAATGCAACGTGCCAGCAACGTATTGTCATTTTGACTTCAGTAAAAATGAGTTTATTCGGAAGTAATAAACTCATTCATCTCAACCGCGGTTGAGACATTTGTCACCGATGTTGGCCGTGAGCGGCAATCAAACTCGGAGGGCCACCGACTTCGAAGGGCGGTAGCGCTAACCGCTGCGCCACCGCTCCCCGGCACGCTCGGAGTCACGCGGCTCTCTCACCCGCGGGCCCTCCGGGCAGGAGGCTGCCCAGCGAGCCCAGGTAGAAGGTCAGGTGCAGCTGGGTCACGGCCATCGTGACCATGCTCCACAGCATCACGGGGGTGAAGATGCTCCTCATGAACGCCAGGCTGCCTGCGGACGCACGACAAAGACAAAGATCCCCCGTGTAGCCTTACAACGGACTGTTGGGGCGAGCGCTGTTAGCGCGGGCCTATGAAGGCCGCCACGGCACACGAGGGGGTGGGTGGCCAGCACCACGCCCGGCCGCCTTTGTCTCCCCAGTGGCGATGTCTACCACACACCGCACCAGCTACTCATTTGAGGTTGAGTCGACGTAGGGGAGGCCCAGGACCGGTTCAGATAATCGTCACCGGTGTTGGCGGCCATGAGCGGGAATCGAACTTGGGTGGCCGGGTTTCATAGCTACATCTACACAACGCCTGGGCACGTGTACATATAGCTTCTGAAAGTTGAAGCTTGTACCTGGTAAAATGAAAATAAAATAGTTTAGAGAGAATCACCCCTGCCAGAGGAATGAGGAATTTCCACTACCGGCTCCGGGGGGGGGGGGGGGGGGGGGTGGGGGGGTGGGGGTAGGGGTGTTGGCTGTTAAACCAGACATCACTTTGAGTTACGAAAAAAAAGTTTAAACATCTTCTTGAACGCGATAATTATTTACGGGGGAGCAACGCACGCTCGGTGGAGGTGCGGTCAGCGGACTGCAGCAGGGAGTGCTGCTCGCGAAGGTCGGGCCGCAGACGGTAGCCCATGGCGGCCATCTGAGCGTAGAACTCCTTGCCCTGCGTGCCACGCTGCGAGCCGCGAAAACTCAGCTTCAGTCGGATGCTGCACGCGGGGGCACGCGCACACACGGGTATAACAAAAAAAAAACAAAGATACAAAGATCCCCCGTGTAGCCTGTAACAGACTGTAGGGGGCAAGTGCTGTTAGCGAGCACCTATGAAGGCCGGCACGGCACACGAGGTTGTGGGTGGCCAGCAGCACGGCCGGCCGCCTTTGTCAGCAGCGTCCTGCTGCGTTTAAAACTCACACGAGGGAGGGGGCAACACTCTATCCCCGCACCAATGGAAACAGGTGGCGATTAGCCCGCTCGCTGGACGGGGAAGCCAGGGGTTCGGCTCCACCGCGATGAACCACGGGAAGGGAGATTTTTCAACATTCATGCGGTGATCCGCCACCGCTCGCTGCCTCCGCAGTGCTGGATTGGAGGCCATTTGCATGGCGGAGCGTAACCGCCGGCCACTGGCTGGCTGATGTTTGTTATTGCTGTTTGTTATTGCTGTTTGTTGACGATCGACGCGGGTCTACTCACGAGTGGTTCATGTGCGCGGGGCCCGTCATGGCTTCCTCGGGCCAGCCGAACATGGCGTTGAGGAAGATGACCACGGCCAGCAGGGCCCAGCCCAGGCAGATGTAGATGAAGGGGACCCCGGCCTCGTACATGACCTGCGGCGTGAGCAACGCGGACGACTCTCGTCACCCTCCCTGCCTCTCCTCTCCCCGGACGTGCGGAGAGGCACAGCGGCACCTCCTCGCACTCCGGTCCCCTGCGACAAACCCGAGGCTCGACGGAACTGGCCCAACGCTCCGGAGCGTGAACCTCCTGGAAAGAACGCGTCTTCGGCCGAGCCGTCGGACAAAGACGGCGGTCGCCGCACTGCGCGGCGCTTCCGGACGCGCTTCTGCGGCCGTCTGGAACGCGCTCTTCCTTCCGATATTATAATGGCACTGGAGCTATGCATTTTTAAATCATAATCTTCTCGATTGACAAACTAATTTCTCTGCAACTGCTTTTTGTGTGTCAGTTTGTTGTCCTTCCCCCGTACCTCCGATGAGCGCAGTTGGCTACGTCCGGCGTGAAAGAAGTTCAACACACTTGTACATATACTACACTACTATACACGACACCATACACACTCCACTACAATACACCACTATACTACATTGAAAACTAATTTCTTTAGAACTGAATATTGTCTTTAGCTTGTTGTCCTTCCCCCGCACGTCCGATTATCACGGTTGGCTAGGTAGGGTGCGAAAGAAGTTCAACATTCATACGTGCATAACTCCGATTAGCGCGGCCGGCGACATACAGTAGATGCATCCATGCGCAGTGACCGGGACAAGTGTGGGATCGGAACCGCGAACCTCTGTGACAAGCGCACGGACGTACCACCGACATGGCCGGCGTGCCACCCACCACGTGACGAGATCTCAGGGCGTGCCACCCACCACGTGACGAGATCTCACGGCGTGCCACCCACCACGTGACGAGATCTCAGGGCGTGCCACCCACCACGTGACGAGATCTCACGGCGTGCCACCCACCACGTGACGAGACCTCAGGGCGTGCCACCCACCACGTGACGAGATCTCACGGCGTGCCACCCACCACGTGACGAGATCTCAGGGCGTGCCACCCACCACGTGACGAGATCTCAGGGCGTGCCACCCACCACGTGACGAGATCTCAGGGCGTGCCACCCACCACGTGACGAGATCTCAGGGCGTGCCACCCACTACGTGACGAGATCTCACGGCGTGCCACCCACCACGTGGCGAGATCTCAGGGCGTGCCACCCACCACGTGACGAGATCTCACGGCGTGCCACCCACCACGTGACGAGATCTCACGGCGTGCCACCCACCACGTGACGAGATCTCAGGGCGTGCCACCCACCACGTGACGAGATCTCAGGGCGTGCCACCCACCACGTGACGAGATCTCAGGGCGTGCCAGCCACCACGTGACGAGATCTCACGGCGTGCCACCCACCACGTGACGAGATCTCAGGGCGTGCCACCCACCACGTGACGAGATCTCACGGCGTCCCACCCACCACGTGACGAGATCTCAGGGCGTGCCACCCACCACGTGACGAGATCTCACGGCGTGCCACCCACCACGTGACGAGATCTCACGGCGTGCCACCCACCACGTGACGAGATCTCAGGGCGTGCCACCCACCACGTGACGAGATCTCACGGCGTGCCACCCACCACGTGACGAGATCTCACGGCGTGCCACCCACCACGTGACGAGATCTCAGGGTGCTAACCTCACAAGCGCGAAACGCGATAGGCAGACGGTCGTGTGTGTGTGTGTGAGATGAGCCGTGTGTGTGTGTGTGTGAGATGAGCCGTGTGTGTGTGTGTGTGTGAGATGAGCCGTGTGTGTGTGTGTGTGACCGTGTGTGTGTGTGTGAGATGAGCCGTGTGTGTGTGTGAGGTGAGCCGTGTGTGTGTGTGTGAGGTGAGCCGTGTGTGTGTGTGAGATAAGCTGTGTGTGTGTGTATGAGATGAGCCGTGTGTGTGTGTATGAGATGAGCCGTGTGTGTGTGTGTGAGGTGAGCCGTGTGTGTGTGTGTGAGGTGAGCCGTGTGTGTGTGTGATGAGCTGTGTGTGTGTGTGTGAGATGAGCCGTGTGTGTGTGTGAGGTGAGCCGTGTGTGTGTTTGTGTGTGACCGTGTGTGTGTGTGACCGTGTGTGTGTGTGACTGTGTGTGTGTGTGTGACCGTGTGTGTGTGACCGTGTATGTGTGTGTGACCGTGTGTGTGTGTGTGTGTGACCGTGTGTGTGACTGTGTGTGTGTGTGACTGTGTGTGTGTGACCGTGTATGTGTGTGTGTGACCGTGTGTGTGTGTGACCGTGTGTGTGTGTGACCGTGTGTGTGTGACCGTGTGTGTGTGTGTGACCGTGTGTGTGTGTAACCGTGTGTGTGTGTGACCGTGTGTGTGTGACTGTGTGTGTGTGTGACCGTGTGTGTGTGTGACCGTGTGTGTGTGTGTGTAACCGTGTGTGTGTGTGACCGTGTGTGTGTGACTGTGTGTGACTGTGTGTGTGTGTGACCGTGTGTGTGTGTGACCGTGTGTGTGTGTGTGACCGTGTGTGTGCGTGTGTGACTGTGTGTGTGTGTGACCGTGTGTGTGTAACCGTGTATGTGTGTGTGTGTGACCGTGTGTGTGTTTGACCGTGTGTGTGTGTGTGACCGTGTGTGTGTGTGACTGTGTGTGTGTGACCGTGTGTGTGTGTGACCGTGTGTGTGTGTGTAACCGTGTGTGTGTGTGACCGTGTGTGTGTGACTGTGTGTGTGTGTGACCGTGTGTGTGTGTGTGACCGTGTGTGTGTGTGACTGTGTGTGTGTGTGACCGTGTGTGTGTGACCGTGTGTGTGTGTGTGTAACCGTGTGTGTGTGTGACTGTGTGTGTGTGACCATGTGTGTGTGTGTGACTGTGTGACCGTGTGTGTGTGTGACCGTGTGTGTGTGTGTGTGTAACCGTGTGTGTGTGTGACTGTGTGTGTGTGACCGTGTGTGTGTGTGACCGTGTGTGTGTGTGTAACCGTGTGTGTGTGTGACTGTGTGTGTGTGACCATGTGTGTGTGTGTGACTGTGTGTGTGTGACCGTGTGTGTGTGTGTGACTGTGTGTGTGTGACCATGTGTGTGTGTGTGACTGTGTGTGTGTGACCATGTGTGTGTGTGTGACTGTGTGTGTGTGTGACCATGTGTGTGTGTGTGACTGTGTGTGTGTGACCATGTGTGTGTGTGTGACTGTGTGTGTGTGACCATGTGTGTGTGTGTGCGATGAGCCGTGTGTGTGTGTGACCGTGTGTGTGTGTGTGTGACTGTGTGTGTGTGTGACCGTGTGTGTGTGTGTGACTGTGTGTGTGTGTGACCGTGTGTGTGTGTGCTCGTGTCGCCAGGTGTGCCCCCACCTTGAGGATGGTCATGGTGAAGGCTGCCGAGCAGAAGGAACCCAGCAGCAGGGCGGAGAACACGTTGGATATCGTCTGGAACATTTCAGCCAGCTGGGGAGGGGGCACACGGTTACACACACACACACACACGGCCACACACACACACACGGTCACACATACACACACGCACGGTCACACACACACATGGTCACACACACATACACGGTCACACACACATGGTCACACACACACAGTCACACACACACGGTCACACACACACACGGTTACACACACACACGGTCACACACATACACACACGGTCACACACACACATGGTCACACACACGGCCACACACACACACACGGTCACACATACACACACGCACGGTCACACACACACACGGTCACACACACACGGTCACACACACACACGGTCACACACACACACACGGTCACACACACACATGGTCACACACACACACACGGTCACACACATACACACACGGCCACACACACACACGGTCACACATACACACACGCACGATCACACACACACACACACGGTCACATACACACACACGGTCACACACACACATGGTCACACACACACACACAGTCACACAAAAATACAAAGATCCCCTGTATAGCCTTAACAGACTGTAGGATCAAGTGCTGCTAGCGAGCACCTATGAAGGCCGGAACGGTACACGAGGGGGTGGGTGGCCAGCACCACGTCCGACCGCCTTTGTCTCCCTAGCGGCAATGTTTACACACCGCACCAGGTACTCATTTGAGGCCGAGTCGACCTAGGGGAGGCCCGGGACCGGTTTAGATAATCGTCACTGGTGTTGGCCATGAGCGGGAATTGAACCCGTGTCGCCGGGTTCATAGCGCAGAGCGCTAACCGCTACACCCACCGCTCCCCACTATGGATACACACACACACAGGTACACACGCTATCACTTGTGATGGCCAGGTCGCGTCTGTAAAAATAACTCTGTAGCTACTCGGTAGCTACAGAGTTTTATAGTTCAGAGGCGACGGGTACAAGAAAGGACGGAGGACTCCGTCGGCGACGTGAGTGTGGGTCGAGGCGACGTGAGTGTGGGTCGAGGCGACGTGAGTGGAGGTCGAGGCGACGTGAGTGTGGGTCGAGGCGACGTGAGTGCAGGTCGAGGCCACGTGAGTGCAGGTCGAGGCCACGTGAGTGGAGGTCGAGGCCACGTGAGTGCGGGTCGAGGCCACGTGAGTGGAGGTCGAGGCGACGTGAGTGGAGGTCGAGGTGACGTGAGTGCAGGTCGAGGCCACGTGAGTGGAGGTCGAGGCCAGGTGAGTGGAGGTCGAGGCCACGTGAGTGGAGGTCGAGGTGACGTGAGTGGAGGTTGAGGCCAGGTGAGTGGAGGTCGAGGTGACGTGAGTGGAGGTCGAGGTGACGTGAGTGCGGGTCGAGGCGACGTGAGTGGAGGTCGAGGTGACGTGAGTGGAGGTCGAGGCCAGGTGAGTGGAGGTCAAGGTGACGTGAGTGGAGGTCGAGGTGACGTGAGTGCGGGTCGAGGCGACGTGAGTGGAGGTCGAGGCGACGTGAGTGGAGGTTGAGGTGACGTGAGTGGAGGTCGAGGCCAGGTGAGTGGAGGTCGAGGCCACGTGAGTGGAGGTCGAGGTGACGTGAGTGGAGGTTGAGGCCAGGTGAGTGGAGGTCGAGGTGACGTGAGTGGAGGTCGAGGTGACGTGAGTGCGGGTCGAGGTGACGTGAGTGGAGGTCGAGGTGACGTGAGTGGAGGTCGAGGCCAGGTGAGTGGAGGTCAAGGTGACGTGAGTGGAGGTCGAGGCGACGTGAGTGGAGGTCGAGGTGACGTGAGTGGAGGTCGAGGCCAGGTGAGTGGAGGTCGAGGTGACGTGAGTGGAGGTCGAGGCGACGTGAGTGGAGGTCGAGGCCACGTGAGTGGAGGTCGAGGTGACGTGAGTGCAGGTCGAGGCCACGTGAGTGGAGGTCGAGGCCACGTGAGTGGAGGTCGAGGCCACGTGAGTGGAGGTCGAGGCCATGTGAGTGGAGGTCGAGGCCACGTGAGTGGAGGCTGAGGCGACGGTAATCGCGTCGCGGTGTTCACAAAGCGACGACACATTTGCGAAACGACGGAGATAGCGTCGTCGACACCGCGACCCCCAGGTCGGCCGATTCTCGCGTTGCCCAAATCCCCCGCCCCGTCGACGTGACGGGCTGCGGACGCAGCGACGCAGCGACGCAGCGACGCAGCGACGCGACAACGATCGCCCGCTCACCATCTGGCCCGAGACGTTGATGCACATCCCTCCGAATCCGTTGAGCGACACGGCGACGAACACGAGCGTGGAGAGATCTGCACGCACGCACGCACGCACGCGAACGTCACCGCGCGCCCCGCTGGTCCGTGCCCATCGCGCGCGTGCAGTCAAAGCCGTCGTCGTGAGTTGGCCGAATCGCCTTTCGAAGCGAGCCGCGTGGCTCAAAGCGCGTAGGCTCGGCGGGGCGGCGAGCCCGCCCTCTGCCCCGCTTCCAACCCGGATCTCCGGGACTGAGGTCCCACGGATGTTTTGTTTGTTGTTGTTGTTGTTGTTTGTCGTGCTTGAGCACCACTGCCAACGCAAAAGCGGCAGCAGCAGCAGCGGCGGCGGCGGCGGCGGCGGCGACGCCACCAAGTAATTTGTTCGTGAAAAGATAATCGATCGGGGACTTGGCCTACTGGAGAAGAATTATCGGTCAGACGGTTTCCCAAATCCGGGCCCCCCCAGCATGAAAAGCGATCATTTTGAACAACACGACAACGCACATCGGGCCCTGGCAGCTTCAGCTAATTCAATACCTCTGGGGGGAAAAAACGAAAATAGGAATTTACAACGGGATATTTTTTGGAATCCCAAACTTGTTGCGTTTCAGGAGGTATTGAGGAGTTTGCGTGAGTCGGGGCGGTGGGCGTCACTCACTGCCCGGGTTGGCCGCCGTGTAGGAGAAGAAGATACAGGAGAGGCAGAACGCAGCGCTGAGGAGAAACAGACAAACAAACTATTTGTTATTTGACCAGGCAAGGCCCACTTATGTGCCGTATGCAGGCAACCGCGCTAATCGGAGGTGCGTGGGAACAACAACAGGCTAAGCACAAAAAGGCAGTCCTAAAGAAATGAGTTCGTCAATCTAGATTATACTTTTTTTTTAAAAGTACATAGCTGCAGTGGCTTCCTAATATCTGAAGGAAGAGCGTTCCAGACGGCCTCAGAAGCGCATCTGAAAAGCAAGCGATGCGGTGACCACCGCCTTCATCCAATGGCGAGCAAAAAGCCGCTGCGAGGATGAGCAGAGTTTGCATGATGGTTTACGCTATGCAGCTCTTTCTCAGAAGCGACCTGGCCACAAATAAAAGCTCAACGAAGTGGCGGCTTATCGCGTGGAAACGTAGAGCAGCAGCCAAATACTCTCTAAACGCGTGGTGACGTTGATTCTAAATGTGGGCGTGAAAAACCGGAGGACCCGGAGAAAAATCCACGCGACCACGGGGAGAGAGAGAGACACGCAAACTCCAAATATACAGCAGCAGGCGTCAGGGTCGGGATCGAACCCACGACTTCCTGTATACCAGGCGAGGTAGTCAACATCTCCTAGCCACCGCTGCATGGGCCCGCACAACTCTCTGCACCGTCGCACCCAAGCGCGGCTGTTATCGCGACCACCTACTACCCTGACCTCTCTGCGTACCACCGCTACCCACCGGGCTGAACACCACCACCGCCAATCCACTGGAAATTAGATTTCCAATTAAATTTGTCCTCTACACCCTCCCTACCTTCTCCCCCCCCCATCCCCCTCCGTACTACCGACAACCAATATCTTGACAACCAATATCTTGACAACCAATATCTTGACAACCAATATCTTGACAACGGAATGTTTCGTCAACAGAGCATGCCTCCTTTTTGTTTGTATTTGCAACAACATATAAATACGTGTGTACACAAACACAGCTGCCTCGTCCACAGGAGAGCCTTTCGTGATTCAGAACCTGACTCAGATGCACTCGAGGTGTCGCCAAAGTGAGCGCCTTTCCATTATATCTACGTACGCGTGTGTACATCGATCTTCTGTCGTGCTGCACGTAGCTAGCCAACGGGAAATATGTTGGCCTTAGAAATTTGCACGAGATATGTTACACGACGATTATGTACTGGGACCGCCGCTTTGTTAATCCACTGCCGCTGTCGTAGGCTCCTCAGAGACGGTGGCTAGGAGATGTTGACTACCTCGCCTGGTGTGCAGGAGGTCGTGGGTTCGATCCCGACACTGACGCCTGCTGCTGCTGTATATTTGGAGTTTGCGTATCTCTCATCATCATCATCACAGTGGCTATGAGATGTGAACTACCTCGCCTGGTGTGCAGGAGGTCGTGGGTTCGATCCAGGCCCTGACGCCTGCTGCTGTATATTTGGAGTTTGCGTCCCTCTCTCTCATCATCATCATCACGGTGGCTAGGAGATGTTGACTACCTCGCCTGGTGTACAAGAGGTCGTAGGTTCGATCCAGACCCTGACGCCTGCTGCTGCTGTATATTTGGAGTTTGCGTGTCTCTCTCTCCCTGTCGCCGCGTGGATATTTATCCCGGTCCTCTATTTTCTCCCCTCCACGTTTAAAAACAACGCGTTTCGAGTATTTGGCCGCTAAAAAATGTCCACGTGACAAGCCACTTTGTCGAGCTATCATTTGTGGCCAGGTCGCATTCCGAAAAATAAGCTGATAGCTCAGTGGGCTTCACGTGGTAAAATATAAATAGACACTCATATTTGTGAAAAAAAGAGCTTTATAGCTCATCGGATTCCTCCTGCGGCCTAAATAAATATTCTGATTTAGTTACTGCCCTTTTCTTGCTGTTGTTGTTGTTAGTTTGTTGTCCTTCCCCCGCACCTCCCATTATCGCGGTTGGCTACGTACGGCGCGAAAGAAGTTCAACGTACAGTACACACACGCCGTGACCTCACTTCTATCTCTCCCACGGGTTTTCAGGTTGCGACGCCACGCGCTGCTCGGCACGGTGTCCGACGTTTCGCTCCACGCGCCCGATAATTTTTACACGGTGGGCAGCCGGGGGAGGGGAAGTAATTTTGTTGAACTTGCTCGCTCCGACGGCTGCACTCCACGCGGAAACCAAATTTGGACGGTGACGGCAGGAAACGAGTGGCCTCGACTCTGTTTCAAATATCGCCACGGTGTCGCCAACAACCGTCGTGATCCGGTGGAGGCCTTACCTGGGTACCTGGCTACCGTGTGGGTGCCGTACCTGGGTACCTGGCTACCGTGTGGGTGCCGTACCTGGGTACCTGGCTACCGTGTGGGTGCCGTACCTGGGTACCTGGCTACCTTGTGGGTGCCGTACCTGGGTACCTGGCTACCGTGTGGGTGCCGTACCTGGGTACCTGGCTACCTTGTGGGTGCCGTACCTGGGTACCTGGCTACTGTGTGGGTACCGTACCTGGGTACCTGGCTACCCTGCGGGTGCCGTACCTGGGTACCTGGCTACCCTGCGGGTGCCGCACCTGGGTACCTGGCTACCTTGTGGGTGCCGTACCTGGGTACCTGGCTACCCTGCTGCTGCCATACCTGGGTACCTGGCTACCCTGCGGGTGCTGTACCTGGCTACCTGGCTACCCGGTGGAGGCCTTACCTGGCTACCTAGCTACCAAGCGGATGCGGTACCTGGCTATCCAGTGAAGGCCGTACCTGACTACCCACTGGATGCCATGCTTGGCTACCCGGCTGTGGCTGTACCCGGCTACCTGCCTGCCGGGCGGGTGCCGTACCTGCCGATCTGGCGGAGGCGGCGAGCCCCGTAGCGGTCCATGAGCACCCCCAGGGGCAGCACGGTGGCTGCCTGCACAAAGGCGCCCACGGTGAAGGCGACGTGCAGCCGCGTCTCCTGCCTGGGGCACGACGCGTAGCCGCCGGCATCCCGCAACGCCACCACGCCGGAGACGTTGTCCGGCAGATCGGAGGGTCCGGCGGTGGCGTTCAGCCCCTCTGCGTGCAGAGAGGGCAAGGGGGGGGGGGGTGTGAGGGCGACCGCGACATGAATTGTCACGACACGGGGTGGGTGCGACGGTTTATCGCGATTTGGGAAAAGTTTGTTACGTTTCACTAGGACATAAATCATTCCCCAAATTGAAACGAGCGACGCTAATCACGCATGCGACGATAGCTTTAAAACAACGGACGGGGACTATTTTTTATCGTTAGTTTGTATCGTACGGCATAGCCATTGTTGCACCGTGAACCTCTTCCACAGGCAGATGAACGCGCCACCTCTTGCATACCAACGCGGGGTGGCCATTCACATCTCGTCACCGCGGCGCCCCTCTCGATGTTGTCCAGATTCGAATGCCCAAGATACATTCGCACCTCCGATGAGCACGTTTGGCTACGTATGGTGCGAAAGAAGTCCATACACTCAACGTACATACAACTAGGCCACGTCACCCGCCCCATCCCGTGGAAGTTTGACACCAACAGTAAGGTTCAGGCTCAGGATGAGGTGAAATATGTTGCGCTATGACAGTGTGGGCCTCCACCGATTAAGAACTCATTTCTGTAGATCTGCTTCTTGTTGCTGTGCTTAGCTCGTTGCCCTAAGCCACGATCAGCGCGGTTGGCTTACGTACGGCCTCGAAAACAGAAGTTGAACGGACGCACAGATGTGTGCTGCTCTCTCTCGCTCTCGCTCTCTCTCTCTCGCTCTCTCACCGTCCGGCTGGGCGCACAGTCCCGAGAAGACGCCCTCGGCCATGAGAACGGGGAGCAGGGAGCTCCATCCCAGCAGTGCCCCCGAGGTGATGAGGCTCTCCAGGAGGGCCGTGCTGGCCAGCCACCAGCGCCGCGCCAGCGACCAGCCCTTGCCAGCGCCGCGCATGTCTGCAAACTCGCCTGCCACAGCCGCAGGCAAGCCACCACCATCGGTTTCCAGTTCAAACCGAACTACTAAAAACATTTTTTGATTTAAAGCTTTCGTGACTGCAGTAATTCATATTCTTAGTTTCTCTTCAACGTGACTTTACCGAAAAAACTAAGAATACTAAAAACATGTTTTTATTTTTATACCAGGTTAGGTCCCACCGAGCTATGTATCTTATTTTTTTTGCAGAAGCGACCTGGCTATCACAATGATAGCTCAACGGGAGTGGCTTATCATCGTCATCGTCATCATCACGTGGACAGTGGTAGCAGCAGCCAAATAATTCTAAACGCGTGATGTTGATTCTAAAATGTGGAGGGGAAAAAAAACAGAAGGTCGTGGGTTCGAACCCGACCCTGAAGCCTGCTGTGTATTTGGAGTTTGCGTCTCTCACTCTCATCATCACTACGGTGGCTAGGAGATGTTAACTACCTCGCCTGGTATACAGGAGGTCGTGGGTTCAAACCCGACCCTAAAACTTGCTGCTGTATATTTTGATTTTGCGTCTCTCTCGCCGTGGTCGCGTGGATTTTTCTCAGGGCCCTCCCGGTTTCCCCCCTCCACGTTTAGAAAGCAGCATCACGCTTTTCGGGCATTTGGCTGCTACACCCTTCCCCGTGATGATAAGTCACTCCGCTGAGCAATCTATTGTGATAGCCCAGGTCGCGTCTGGAATAGGGCCCACGTCGCAGCTCAGTGGTCAAATTAAAACCTAAACGAGTTGATAGTTTAGCCGACGTCCGCTGCTGTGTGGGTCTTCGCGGGTTTGATTGACACGAGAGCAGAACACGGCGCGAAAGTCTGTCCCGATGTGACAGGGGTCGCAGTTCCAACGACGCGTGAACGTTCAGTTTCGATGGCATGGGCACTTCGCTGGAGCAACAGCAGCAGCAGCGGTGGTTCTTCTTCTTCTTAGCGTGGGGTGCTCGCAACCCCCACCCCCCCCCCCAATGATAGCTCAACGGGAGTGGGGGTGCGGGATGCCCTTTCTGGGGGGTGCGAGACACGGCCAGATTTATTTTGTAGAATGTAAATCGTCGGAACACAAATTAGGCACGGGCACGTAAGTAACAACAACTTACTTTGCTTCGTCAACACCTGTGAATTTATATTCTTGGTTCTTTCGGTAAAGTCACGTAGAAGGGAAACAATAAAATAATAAATAAATAGATCTACAACAATAACATTCTCACGACGTTTAGACTGCAACACAAGCAATTATCATCAGGTGTGAAAACCACAGCAATAATTTTTTTTCAAATGTTCTTGCTGTGGTTTTCACACCTGATGATGATTGCTTGTGTTGCAGTCGAAACGTCGTGAGAATTTTATTGTTTTAGATTTTTATTATTTTTTATTATTTTATTGTTTCCCTTCTACGTGACTTTACCGAAAGAACCAAGAATATGAATCCCTGCAGTCACGAAAGTTTTCAATAAAAAAATTAAAACCTGTGCATTTATTAACACTGTACTATTTTTTTTGTAACGATTTATGAGCAAAGGTGTGCAAGGCTGCAGGAAAAGTTAAGAGCCACTGCTCTCGAGCATCGAAGAGCAAAACTTAGGGGGCATGGAGGAAGCTGTCCACCAAACACGGCGCCCCTTCACGACTTCTCCTCCAAGTGGACATTCATTCTTAACAGCATTCACGAGGGCGTTTCAGCACCCTTCAGGGCTATCAGGCGCTTAGGAAGACACCATGGGGGGTGGTGGGGCTTGTAGAGTTTATTGAAGAGTTGATTGAAACGTGGGGTTTGGACAGGTTTCCCTTTCTGGCCATAGAACAGGAGGCGAGGTGTTCCAACACCAAATCGTGGATAATTTTGTTTCGCAAGGCGCCTGGATCGACCACACGGACTTGTGGCAAAAGACGCAAGCAAACATGAACCGACAACGTCAGTGTTGTCTTTGAAACTGATTGACCTACACCAGCAATAATAACAACAACCATCACCAGCAACAACAACCAACAACAACCCCAACAATCAAAACGACAACCAACATAATATTTTGATTTGAAGCTTTCGTGACTGCAGGAATCCACACTCCTTGGTTCTTTCGGTAAAGTCACGTGATATATTAGTCACGTGATACATTATTATTGTTTTATTTCATGTTTCTACCAACGTGACTTCACCGAAAGAACGAAAGAGAACATAATATTGATTTATACTGGAGGAATCCGATGAGCCGTAAAGCTCTTTTTCACAGATTTCCACGAGGGGCGGGTAAGAACGTTACAACAACAAACAGTACACAAACATGATAGTAGTGCACAGTCCAAGAGAGGTAAACAAACCACCCAGCACACTAACAAATACGACACAAAACCATCCCCATCCGAACAGACAAAGCCGGCTTGGGGGTATTCACTTATTTTTCAGAAGCGACCTGGCCACAAATGATAGCTCAACAAAGTGGCCCCATCATTTGGACATTTATAGCACCAACATAATCTAAATAATCTCAACGCGTGATTCTAAATGTGGAGGGGAAAACCGGAGGACCCGGAGAAAAAAATCAACGCGACCACGGGGAGAAAGAGATTTAGAAAACTCCAAATATACAGCGGCAGCAGCAGCAGGCGTCAGGGTCGGGATCGAATCCCCGACCTCCTGCACACCAGGAGAGGTAGTCAACATCTCACCACCGTGGCAACAATCACCAGAAACAACAATCATGGTGAGCAACAAGAACCGCTTGAGAGACTGAAAGAGGAGCGTGCACTGTCGATCACACGCGGGTTCGTGACGAAATTAAACGTGTGAAGAAAAGTGAGGGAGGTTTGGGTGGTGAGCGGGGCTCGTGTGTTCGAGCCTCTCAAGAGCAGAGACACAAAGGGGCTGAAGTGGCAATCGGAGTCGAGTCAAGCCCTGGCGAGTAAACGCAGTGGCTGCGTTGTGAGAAGCCCTGGTGAGTAGACACAGTGGCTGTGTTGTGTGAAGCCCTGGTGAGTAGACGCAGTGGCTGCGTTGTGAGAAGCCCTGGTGAGTAGACACAGTGGCTGTGTTGTGTGAAGCCCTGGTGAGTAGACGCAGTGGCTGTGTTGTGAGAAGCCCTGGTGAGTAGACGCAGTGCGTGGGGAGTAGACGCAGTGGCTGCGTTGTGAGAAGCCCTGGTGAGTAGACACAGTGGCTGTGTTGTGTGAAGCCCTGGTGAGTAGACGCAGTGGCTGTGTTGTGAGAAGCCCTGGTGAGTAGACGCAGTGGCTGTGTTGTGAGATGCCCTGGTGAGTAGACACAGTGTCTGTGTTGTGAGGATCCCTGGTGAGTAGACGCAGTGGCTGTGTTGTGACAAGCCCTGGCGAGTAGACACAGTGTCTGTGTTGTGTGATGCCCTGGTGAGTAGACACAGTGTCTGTGTTGTGTGAAGCCCTGGTGAGTAGACACAGTGTCTGTGTTGTGAGGATTCCTGGTGAGTAGACGCAGTGGCTGAGTTGTGAGAAGCCCTACGTGAAGTTATGGAGCGGTGTGCTTCACTCGTTTTCAAAGGGGAGGGGGTGGCAACTTCCGCCGATAAGAAGACATCGTCAGCGTGAAGAGCGCCACAGCCATTTGAAACCACTGTGGGGTTTGACAGCAGCACGACGATGATGATGGTGATGATGGTGGTGATGATGATGGAGGTGATGATGATGGAGGTGGTGTTGTCACTCTCTGTGTCTTGTCTGGGGCCGCACTAAAGGCCACCAGGGCCCGCCAGTGGTCCGCGAGGCCTTGCAACGAAGACCGCTGCTCTCTCAGAATAGCGGATGTATAAGATGCGCTTCTGCGGCCGTCTGGAACGCTGTTCCTTCCGATATTAGGAAGCCGCTGGGGCTATGGCACTTTGACATCGTCGTCTCGATTGACACACTCACTTCTTTAGAACTGCTACTTGTGTCTAGTTAGTTCTCCTTCCCCCGCACCTCGGGGTGAGCATCTACTGATTGTGGACTAATCAGTAGATGCTCACCCCGAGCCCTCATTACTTTGATAGTGCATTGTCTTTGAGCTGTACGCCTTTTGGCGTCCTCTGGTCGAGCACCAATTGGGTCGAGGCTCAAAAGAAAGCCGTCCCTTGGTGTGGACCAATCAGTTTCAAGGGCAATGCATCATATATTATCAAAGTATGTTTTTTGTTTGCATTTTGACTGCAGGTATTGTGGTTAATGAAGACATGAATCCTTGTCAAAAGGTTTCAGTTTTGTTGCCAGAAAAAAGGGGAAAACCCTATTATTACGTGATATTGTTCTTGGCTCACACAGAGGCCTCCGATCCGTTAAGATGCATTGTGCCTGTGGCTATAAATATACCGCGTGTGTAATTGTGCTATTGTTCTCGACTAACATAGAGGTCTAGGCTCCGGTAAGATGCATTGCGTCTGTTGCTATAAATAGACCACGTGTGTAATCGTGCTATTGTTCTTGGCTCACGCAGAGGCGTCCGATCCGTTAGGATGCATTGCGTCTGTGGCTATAAATAGACCACGTGTGTGTAATCGCGGTAGCGATAGGGAAATGCATTTGGAAGTCATCAACGTTGAACGCCGTTGCGCTGCGGTCAATCTACAATGGGTCGTTGGAGCGGTGGTGCAGTGGTTGGCGCATTACGAACCGCAATTCGCCCGATTCGACGTCCAGCCCACGGCTAACATCAGCGGCGAGAGATACCAGAGCCGCTCCCTACCTACCCCCACCACCACCCCCCGACTCTTTCACTAACCCGCACTCACCAGCGGGGTGAAGTATGGTCAAGTACATCCCGTGGTTTTGAAGACGAGAAAAAGCTCAGTACATGCAGTACGTGGGTTGATGCACACGGGAAGAGAGGGGGGGTCAGCACCACGCCAGGCCGCCTTTGTATCCCCAGTGGCGATGTTTATCCACCGGACCGGGTACTCGTTTGAGGCTGAGTCTACCTAGCGGAGGCCCAGGACAGACAAAGATCCCCCGTATAGGCACAACAGACTTTTTGGGGCAAGTGCTGTCAGCGAGCACCTTACAATAAAGACATAGACCCCCCCGTATATCCTTTAACAGACTGTTGGGGCAAGCGCTGCTAGCGAGTAGCACCGATTATACACCACGATACACCCACACCACGGCATTGAGAACTCACTTGTTTAGAACTGCGTTTAAGTGTATTCTCCTGACCCCGCACCTCCGATTAGCGCGGTTGGCTACGTACGGCGTGAAAGAAGTTCATCATAGATTTGGGGGGCGGGTGGTCAGATCATCGCGTTAGTCTGTGTGTGTCGTGCACCCTCCTCCACCCGACACAGACGATTGATGAAGCCGCCACCTCATTCACCGACGTGCCAAACTCCGATTCTTTGGGTCTTTCGGTAAAGTAACGTAGATAGGTAAAAAATACCAAAAACTACGATGTTTCGATCGCAACACAAGCGATCGAAACGTCGTAGTTTTTTTTATTTAAAAAAATGTTTTTACCAATCTACGTGACTTTACCGAAAGACCCAAAGAATATAAATCCCTGCAGTCACGAAGGCTTTAAGTCAAACTCACATCTGTTCCAGCAGTACCACCGGTGTGCTGGAGAGCCGCAAACTGCGAGCGAAACGTCGTACTACGAGCCCATTGTTAGACGTGGCATTGGATCGCTCTCCACCATTGCCGGTGTTGTGCTGCTGACAATCAGTAATATTTTTTTTTTAAACTTTTTTTAAAACACGCTTTTATGAAATGTACCGTACGTGTAATGGAAGAACTCCGCGACTCCAGGAAGTCGCCCCGAAGCTTGCCACGACGTCAGGGGGACCGTGGGCAATTACAGCCAACGTCAGTTGAGCGTGGACAATTAGAGCCAAGCCGAAACATAACATAGGAAAAATAATATTTTAAAATAAATGTTTTTTTTTATTTTTTTATGATAGAATATAGTATTGTCATCAGTTATGACATAAGTATACCAAGTTTGCAGTCGATACCACATTGGGAAGTTGGTTAAAATTGAGTTACATAATTTGAGGATACAACAACAAGAACAGACAGAGTGAGTTAAAAGAACGCGTGTAAAAAAAAAGTCGTACGTACATTGTCACGTTTTGCTGTTCACGGGACACCTTTAGTGGACCGAATCACCCTCTCTACCTTTTCTGTAAGAGGCAACAGCTTTCTCACTATTGCCCGCCGTACCCCTTCGGCGCGTTCTGATTCATCGTAAGGAGTAACAATTCCCTGCGGAGATGATTACGGAACGGATCGGCTGCGGTCGCTGGAATCAAACTCTCGGCGTGTACGCATGTGCGTTGAACTTCTTTCGCACCGTACGTAGCCAACCGCGCTTATCGGAGGTGCCCGGGGGGGGGGGGGGGGGAGAACAACAAACTAAACACACGAAAAGCAGTTCTACACAAATTAGTTTGTCCAGCTAGACGATCATTTAAAAGCCAAATGCTCTAGTTGGCTTTCTGATGTCGGAAGAGCGTTCCAGACGGCCGCAGTTCATTTGAAAGCGTGTAGTAGTAGCTACATATGTAGCTACTACTACACACGTGTAGCTACTTTTGCTACTGAGATCATCCGGCACGGGTGGTGTTGTGGTTCACTCTGTGGCGAGCCCTTTGCGTGTGCCGAGTGCGACCTTGACGCTTGCCACCTTGCTGGCTGGCGGGCGCGCCGTGTTCATATTGCAAGCTCATGCTGACGCGTCGCAGTTTTTAGCGCTACGCTTCCACTGCCATGGTCAACCCTTCCCTCAACTTCGATGAGTACGGTCAGGCTACGTACGGGGCGAAAGAAGTTCAAGACACGCACGTTCTTCACTCCGTCTGCCGCCCGTGTTGAGTATTTGGGTCCACACCATACGCTGTTTCATCTCATCCACGCCGCGCTCAACAAAGACAAAGAAACCCCGTGTAGCCTTTGGCAGACTATAGGGGCAAGTGCTGCTAGCGAGCACCTATGAAGGCCAGAACGGTACACGAGGGGGATGGGTGGGCAACACCATGCCCGACCGCCTTTGTCTCCCCAGTAGCGATGATTACCGTAACCAGGTTTTCATTCAAGGCTGAGTGGACCCAAGGGAGGCCCAATACCGGTTCAGATCATTTTCACTGGTGTTGGCCGTGAGCGCGAATCGAACTAAGGTCGCCAGGTCTGTGTTGTTGTGTTCAACAACCACCAACACACTCACAACAACAGCAACCAATTCACCGACTGATTTACTCACTCATTCACCCACTCATTCACCCACTCACTTACCCAATCATTCACTCATCCATCCAATAATTAACTCACCCATTCACTTACCCAATCATTCACTCACCCACCCATTCACTCACCCACTCACTTACCCAATCATTCACTCACCCACTCACTCACTCATTCACCCACTCAATTACCCAATCATTCACTCACCCATTCAATAATTAACTCACCCATTCACTTACCCAATCATTCACTCACCCACTCACCCATTCACTCACCCACTCACTTTTACCCAATTTATTCACTCACCCATTCATTCACCCACTCACCCAATCATTCACTCACCCACTCACCCACTCACTCATTCACCCACTCAATTACCCAATCATTCACTCACCCACTCACTCACCCACTCACTCATTCACCCACTCAATTACCCACTCATTCACTCACCCATCCAATAATTAACTCACCCATTCACTTACCCAATAATTCACTCACCCACTCATTCACCCACTCACCCATTCACTCACCCACTCACTTTTACCCAATCATTCACTCACCCACTCACTCATTCACCCACCCACCCACCAAATAATTCACTCACCCACTCATTAACTCACCCACTCTGCATGTAACACTCCTATCACTCAAATCAGTTATGTAACTGTCGAGACACCCCATCATGGTGGCAAGGTCACATTACCCCATCAATACACTAATCACATTACCCCATGTTTAAAATGCATGTTAGTTTATGTTTTATATACTGTATGATAAATGCATAATATATCATTATAAACGTTACCATATGCTTAATATGCATGCTGAGAATAGTTAAATATCCCACAGCAGCGCAGTAAACCCCATGGCAGCGTAAAGGCGATGCCGGCGAGGACGTTAATAATTAGCTTAGAACACAATTTCATACATCGGGGCACCGTCCAACAATGTCCGCCACCGACGTTTTTGTGCACCCACAGCGTACGACGGTACAGACCAAGCCACCTAGAGAGAGCCCCTCGATGGAGAACGCCCCAACTTCTCAACAGCCCAGCGAACATCGTGATAGCGATCAGTGACGGATGAAGCGAGTGCGGGACCTGTAGCGTGTGATGTTATAAAGGGGCCCGAAAAATAAATTAAAATACTTTTTTTTTACTTTCATAGTAAAGTAATTGTATTTCTTTCATTTGCTATACAGCCAGATAATACGACACATCGATAACCTTAAACACCCAGTCGTTCATAAAAGTCGAAGGCGGTATAGTACTATAGTGACAGAGCAAGTGCAGAATCACTGAACTGGAATTGATAGCTTGAAAGCGTTTAGCGCGGGGCCCTTGAATGTGCGGGGCACGTAGCATTTGATAATTTTGCTACGAGGATCATCCGGCACTGATAGCGATGGCTTCATAATCGTACAGAGGAGATGACAATTGTTGGAGTGTTACGCACGGGATGCGCGACATCTATTTGAGATTTATTTATTTTATTTCTGGGAGACTTGCAGAGCCTTTGTAAGGCAACGTTAATGTCCGCAAGAAGGTTCAGGCGCAGCCCTGCAATGACTTGCTCACTCCACTGCTGGTGGCGGAAAGCGCTCCACCAGCGAGTTCCTCTGGGGAGTGTTTGGCCTACTCTTTCCTAAACGCTGCTTTGCCCGCGTGGAGTAAGGCACTACAACTAACAGTACACGGTGTGGCTATCCGTAACGATCTTTTATTGTACCATACACTATGAACAGGTCTTGGAAGATGTGGGGGTTACTGTAACCCCCCCCCCCCCCCAAGTTTTAATGCGGATATCTATAAAGTAAACTATTTTTTATATTTTATTTTACCAGGTAAGTCCCACTGAGCTAGGTAGCTCTTTTTAAGAAGCGATCTGGTCACAAATGATAGCTCAACGAAGTGGCTTCTCGTGTGGACATTTCTAGCAGCAGCACAAATGCTCTAAACGCGTGCCGATGTTGATTCTAAATATGGATGGAAAACCCGGAGGACCCGGAGAAAAATCCACGCGACCACGGAGACGGAGAGAGAGACACGCAGACTCCAAATATACAACAGGCGTTGTCAGGGGTCGGGATCGAACCCACAGCCTCCTTTATACCAGGCGAGGTAGTCAACATCTCCGATCCACCGTGATGATGAGAGAGAGACGCAGACTCCACATAGACCGCAGGAGCAGGCATCGTCAGGGGTCGGGATCGAACCCACGCCCTCTTGCACACCAGGCGAGGTAGTTAACATCTCATAGCCACCGCGGTGGCCATAGCAGATCGCCCCGTGTTAGAAGAGGAAGCAGCTGTAAGTAGTTCTTACCTTAGCGTGACGCGGGGATCAGGGTTCAATGACACCGCGTTTTTTAATTCTCTCTCGAGGCTCCTCTTGCAATGTTATTCAAGGCGTCTTGCACGCTCTCACAGAAGGCGGGGGCTAGGTGGGTATGTAAGTGTGTAAGTGCGTTCTCTGGGGGAGTAAGTGTGCTCTGAACGAGAGAGCTTCTGGCTTCAAGTGGCGTGGTTGTGGCTTCAAGTGGTTGCAAGTAGTGGGTAGTGGCAGTGAGCAGCAGAGGGGTATCGGCGGATGTCTCCCGTGTCAGAAATCGTGTTACGTTTTTGTTTACGCAGAAACACGCAGAGACCTCGGCCGTCTCCGGGACAGACTGACTGCACCTGCGTCGCCGCTCCTTATCAGCTCGGCCGTGTGCGCGTGCGCTACCCGTGTGTGTGTGGGTGGGTGAGTGGGTGTGTGTGTGTGGGTGGGTGAGTGGGTGTGGGTGTGTGTGGGTGGGTGTGTGTGTGGGTGAGTGGGTGTGGGTGTGTGTGGGTGGGTGTGTGGGTGTGTGTGGGTGAGTGGGTGAGTGGGTGTGGGTGTGTGTGTGTGGATGTGTGGGTGGGTGTGTGGGTGGGTGTGTGGGTGTGTGTGTGAGTGGGTGGGTGTCTGTGTAGCTGTGCGTGTGGAGGAGCGATAGTGTAGCGGTTAGCGCTACGCTGCGCTACGAACCTGGCCACCTGGGTTCGATTCCCGCTCACGGCCAACACCGGTGACGATTATCTGAACCGGTCCTGGGCCTCCCCTAGGTGGACTCGGCCTGAAATGAGTACCCGGCACGGTGTGTAGTAAACATCGCCACTGGGGAGACAAAGGCGGTCGGGCGTGGTGCTGGCCACCCACCCCCTCGTGTACCGTTCCGGCCTTCATAGGTGCTCGCTAACAGCACTTGCCCCTACAGTCTGTCAAGGCTATACGGGGGATCTTTGTCTTTGTGTGTGTGGGTGCGTCGGAGGTGCGTGGGCGGCACGGTCACGCCGCGTGGGACCCCACAGGTGGATCAACCGCGCACCCCACTCCGATTTGGATCTTCCCCCGAGGCGGCTCCGCGCGGCGTGGCCTCGTCTCAGCGGGGATTGAACCGCGCGGGTCTCCAATCTACGGTCCCCGTGGCTACGGCAGCTCGACCCGAGCCACTCGTACTTTGATGCTCGCATTGTCGTTCTCTGGCCTGGCTGTGAGACGAGGCCACAATGACGGCTGGGGCGCTGCGTGCATGATCACCGAGGCCACGTCTGCGTGCATGTCTTGCCACTAGCGAGGCGTGGGTAAAGCAGACTCGACGATGCCTTGCGTGGTATCTATTTGGCATTTGAACGTCTGAAAACCTCGCCTTTTTATTGCCACGAAAGGGTAAAGGTCGAAGTTCTTATTTTAGTTTAATCCGTTCCAATCCCTCGCTGGCGCTGTCTCTCTCTCTCTCTCTCACACTGTGCGCTATGAAGAAGGGCCATTTCCCGAAACGTCGCCGATTATATATATTTTATTATTTTAATATCACAGTGTTGGGTGTCACGTTTCAACCATGTGTGCGTGCTTGCATGCCACCCGTGCATGTTACGTAAACGCGCTATTGTTATATTGTGCGAGCGCCTATTGAGGATCGGTGGTGTAGTGGTTAGCTCTGCAGCACGCTGCGAACCCGGCCACCCAGGTTCGACTCCATCTCATAAGGGGAAATGAGTTATTAATCAACGGGGAGACAAAGGCGGCCGGGCGTGGTGTTGGCCACCCCTATAGGGGGATCTTTGTTCGTTGTGCACGTTGCGTGGAGAGTGGTGGTGCAGCGGTTAGGGCGCTGCGCTGCACTACGAACCCGGCGACACGAGTTCGATTCCCGCTCACGGCCATCACCAGCGACGAGTATCTGAACCGGCCCTGGGCCTCCCCTAGGTCGACTCAGCCTCAAATGAGTACCTAGTGCGGTGTGTAAACGTTGGTTATAGTCTGGAACATTTCAGTCAGCTGGAACGCATACGGTCACACCCACACAAAAGACAAAGTCCCCCCGTGTAGCCTTAACAGACTGTTGGGGCAAGTGCTGTTAGCGAGCACCTATGAAGGCCGACACGGCACACGATGGGGTGGGTGGCCAGCACCACGCCCGGCCGACTTTGTCTCCCTAGTAGCGATGTTTACACACCGTATCAAGTACTAATTTGAGGCTGAGTCGACCTATGGGAGGCCCAGGACCGGTTCAGATAATCGTCACTGAGCGGGAATCGAACCCGGGTCGCCGTGTTCGTAACGCAGCGCCAACCGCTACACTAACACACACACCACAAACACACACACCACAAACACACTAACACCACTAACACACTAACACCACTAACACACTAACACCACTAACACACTAACACCACTAACACACTAACACCACTAACACACTAACACCACTAACACACTAACACCACTAACACACTAACACCACTAACACACTAACACCACTAACACACTAACACCACTAACACACTACACCACTACACACTAACACCACTACACACTAACACCACTAACACACTAACACCACTAACACACTAACACCACTAACACACTAACACCACTAACACACTAACACCACTAACACACTAACACCACTAACACACTAACACCACTAACACACTAACACCACTAACACACTAACACCACTAACACACTAACACCACTAACACACTAACACCACTAACACACTAACACCACTAACACACTAACACCACTAACACACTAACACCACTAACACACTAACACCACTAACACCCTCACACCACTAACACCCTAACACCACTAACACACTACACCACTAACACACTAACACCACTAACACACTAACACCACTAACACACTAACACCACTAACACACTAACACCACTAACACACTAACACCACTAACACACTAACACCACTAACACACACACCACTAACACACACACCACTAACACACACACCACTAACACACACACACCACTAACACACACACACCACTAACACACACACACCACTAACACACACACACCACTAACACACACACACACCACTAACACACACACACCACTAACACACACACACCACTACACACACACACCACTAACACACACACCACTAACACACACACACTAACACACACACCACTAACACACACACCACTAACACACACACCACACACCACACACCACACACACCACACACACCACTAACACACACACACACCACTAACACACACACACCACTAACACACACACACCACTAACACACACACACCACTAACACACACACACCACTAACACACACACACCACTAACACACACACACCACTAACACACACACAAACGATTAACACACACACCACTAACACACACACACGACTAACACACACACCACTAACACACACACACACACCACTAACACATACACACACCACTAACACACGCACACTAACACACAAACACCGCTAACACACAGAACACTAACACACACCACTAACACACACACACACCACTAACACACACTAATACACACCACTAACACACACCACGAACACACACACACCACTAACACACACACACCACTAACACACACACCACTAACACACACCACTAACACACACACACCACTAACACACACACACACCACTAACACACACACACGTGTGCTGTACTAGGCCCGGTGTGTTGTAAACATGAGTACTGGGGAGACAAAGGCGGCCGGGCGTGGTTCTGGCCACCCACCCCCTCGTGTGCCGTGTCGGCCTTCATAGGTGCTGCTACTCGCTAACAGCACTCGCCCCAACAGTCCGTTCAAGGCCGCAGTCACTGCATCGCGCGCTTTCAGATGCGCTTCGGCGGCCGTCTGGAACGCTCTTCCAATAACACGAAGCCACTTTTAAATCGTCTAGATTGACAAACTCATTTCTTTTTTTAACTGAGTTGTGTGTTTAGTGTCTTGTCTTTGCCCCCAACACCTCCGATGAGCATGGTTGGCTACGTATGATGCGAAATAAGTTGAACGTAAAAAAAAACATTCTAAAAAAACATTCTACTTCACCTGATGAAGGCCGCTTGTGTTGTGGCCGAAACGTCGTGAGAATATTATTGTGTTATTTTATTTTATCAATTTTTTTTATTTTATTCTCATTCTACGTGACTTTACCGAAAGAACCAAAGAAGATGAATCCTTGCAGTCGCGAAAGCTTTAAATCGAAATTCTATTTTTTATTTTACCTTGTAAGGCCCCACTGAGCTACGTAGCTGTTTTTTTTTCAGAAGCGACCTGGCCATCACTAATGACAGCTGCTCCACGAAGTGGTGGCTTAGCATCAGCATCATCATCATCACGTGGAAATGTACAGCAGCCAAATACTGTAAACGCGTGTTTCAAAATGTGAAGGGGAAACTCGGAGCGACCAGCGAAAAAATCCACACGACCAAACTCCAAATAAACAGCAGCAGGCGTCAGGGCCGGGATCGAGCCCACGACCTCCTGTATACACGGGCGAAGTAGTTAACATCTCCTAGCCACCGTGACACCCTTACACAACGTAATATAACCGCATGAACATGTCATCATTAGACCTCCTTTGCCAGTACCAAAATATAATAATAGGGGTTTCCCCCCTTTTTTATGGCAACTAAACTGAAACCTTTTTACAAGGATTCCTGTTACTACATTAACCACAATACCTGCAGTCAAAATGCAAACAAAAAAACATGCTATGATAATATATAGTGCATTGTCTTTATCGCATGAACGTGGTTAACACAACCCCGGGACTAAACTAAACTAAAAAGAATGGGACGAAATGAATGTGCCGGGATGACAAAAAAGTAATTCCTGGAAGAGGGGTCCGGACTGTTCCGGCTCCAGTAAGACACCGAGTGCTCAGCGTTTGTTAGTTGGGTGCTCGGCAAACACAGGTGTGAGCCTGTTGTCCAGGTGGGGGGGGGGGGCCCAGTCAGGTAAGGCGGTGGAGGGGCGGTGGAGGGGCGGGGGGACCGACCTCAAACGCGGGGGGGTGCAAGCCGGACTGAACTCATCCTGCACGGAGAGGAGGGCGGTGGTAGCGAGTGCATCATGAATACTACAGCAAGCACATCGATTCGTCCGCGAGTGCCCATACGTACAAGCCAAGGATCTCCCCCTCCCTGCCACCGTATAGCCTTCAATAGACTGTAGGGGCAAGTGCTGTTAGCGAGCAGCACCTATGAAGGCCGGCACGGCACACGAGGGGGTGGGTGGCCAACACCGCGCCTGGCCCCCTTTGTCTCCCTAGTGGCGATGTTTACTACACATCGCACCAGGTACTCAATTGAGGCCGAGTCGACCTAGGGGGGGCCCAGGACCGGTTCAGATTATCGTCACTGGTGTTTGCCGTGAGCGGGAATCAAACCTGGGTCGCCAGGTTCGTAGCGCAGCGCGCTAACCGCTACACTAACGCTCCCCCTTACACACACACAGACACACACAGACACACACACACAGACACACAGACACACTCCTCCCTCTGCCTCCAACCACGACCTCCCCCGCACCAAACCCGGCCGGGGCTCGACGGCACCGCACCGCGCCCGCCTCGACCCCCTTCGCCGCCACCCCACGCCGCCACCGGCGCCGACTGCCCAGGGGTCGACCGCCGACCTCCGTCTGCCTCCTTGCCCTTGGGACCACCCCAGGGCTCGCACGTCGCGGCCAAAGTCGCCCCGTCGCCTTGCCGGTGCTGCGGCGGCGGCGGCGGCAGCGGTGCACAGATAGCGAGGGCCCTTGCACCGAAACGTCGCCGGCGGTGATTTTTAGTTTTTCCTATTGAGGCAGCTTCTTGGGGTGGCTAGGAGATGTTAACTACCTCGCCAGGTGTACAGGAGGTCGTGGGTTCGATCCCAACCCTGACGCCTGCTGCTGTATATTTGGAGTTGGCGTGTCTCTTTTTCTCTCTCTCATCATCATCATCACGGTGGCTATGAGATGTTGACTACCTCACCTGGTGTGCAGGAGGTCGTGGGTTCGATCCCAACCCTGACGCCTGCTGCTGCCGCTGTATATTTGGAATCTGCGTCTCTCTCTCTCCCCGTGGTGGCGTCGATTTTCTCCTGCTCCTCCGCTTTTCCCCTCCCACATTTAGAACCGACGTCGTGCGTTTAACGTTTAGGCGTATTTGCCCGCGATACATTTTTTTCCCGCGTGACAAGCCGCCTCGTTGGGCAACCCGGGGTCGCCGACACAGCTCGGTTGGGACCTCACCCAATAGGAAACAAAAATAAATAAATCGATGTTTGTCAGTCGAGTTTGCGGTAGAGGTACACGACCCCCGGTATGTACGACGGCGGGGCCGTGCCCTCGAAGGCCTCCCCCGCGTCGTCGGCGATGGCTCGCTCCCAGCGCGCCACCTCCTGCCGCCGCACGAGCCGCCAGGCGCCAGCGCTGCTCAGCTCCCGCATGCGGCCCTCCAGCTGCAGCAGGAACTCCGCGTTCTCCGCGCTGGAGCGAGTCGTCAGGCACAGCGGCGCCCCTGCGTCGATACAGCGGAGGCAGTGGAGTCGGTGACGAGAAGCGGTGGAAGCGTCACGCTGGCGAGGAGATGTTGACTACCTCGCCTGGTGTGCAAGAGGTCGTGGGTCCGGTCCCGACCCTGACGCCTGCTGCTGTATATGTGGAGTGTGCGTGTCTCTCTCTCTCTCTCATCATCACGGTGACTAGCAGATGTTAACTACTTCGCCTGGTATGCAGGAGGTCGTGGGTTCGATCCCAACCTGACGCCTGCTGTATATTTGGAGTCTGCATGTCTCTCTCTCTCATCATCATCACGGTGGCTAGGAGATGTTAACTACCTCGCCTGGGCTCCTAACGTGGGACGTTGCAAGTGTTCGCCTTCCAGCGCGACGGTTGGCGAAAAATTGAGGACCGTTTCTCAAAACCCACCGCGCCTACCGACCTAGCAGTGCACCGCAGTTAGGCGCGTGCGGTCGGGTAACATGTGGGTAACATGTGGGTAACAATGTTGGACATCTGTTAAAAAAGAGCTCTATAGCTCATCGGATTCCTCCAGCCCGAAACAAACATTTTGATCTTGATTGTGGGTAAGCCCGCCTCTTCCAGACACGTCTGGTGAAACGTGGAAGAGTAGGCCAATTACCGCCCTGCCCTTCCCGGCCGGACGGCGTTCGCTCGAGCCAGCAGTGGCGTGTGAGTAAAAACTCCGTGCCCTCTGCTTCCCCCGTGGACGTTAAAGATCACCGTGGCGTCGTTCGCAAGACGAGGCCACCGTGTGCCTGCGTCGTGGTACACATTTGTCAACATTTGATAAATCACCTTCGTGTTCAATTCGTAATAAAGGTTTTTTTGTTGCGTTAGATCGCGCAAATCTAAACGTGTCGTTAACCCCGCCACCAAACGACACTGCCAATTAGTAAGGTTTGTCGCGTAAACAAAAATCGTGCCACTTAGTTACTGGTTCGGCAGCACACCGGTGGTGTTGGAGAGTAAACCCCACGGCGTTGAACAATTTGAGTACTCGCCGCGACGTTTTCGCCCGGTGATTACAACCAGCCCCATCATTGGGCGATGTTGCCGGAATTTCGCGCACACTCAAAAGCAACGCGCAGTAGCCACGGCGACGGGTAACAGCGGTCACCTAAAATGTCATCGTGGTTGTTTGTGTAAGGACGGGCTGCAGCAGCAGCAGCAACACAAGAAAGAAAAAAACACATTCCGGTTGGTGCCGGAAAGTCCTGGGTTTAACGAGCAAAGTCAGTGGAGCGGAGAGCAGCCGGTTGGGGTCCCCCGTGCATCTGCGCTCGCGCGCGCGCGCGCGTGAATTATTAATTATAAGCGAGCGTCGACGTGGGAGGGGGGGAGCGAGCGATTGGTGCGGTGACAAGCGGTCCCGCACCACGAACCCAGCGGACCCGAGTTCGACTCCCGGCTGACATCAGCGACGAATATTTGCGTCCATCGTCCGGCGCCGGGGGGGGGCGGGCAAAGGTCTAAGGCGGCCCCGGGGTTGCCGGCGGCGCTGGCCCAGCGCTGCCACCTCCGCACAGCCGCCTCGTGCGCGCTGTGCCGACCCCGAGAGAGGGCTCGCCAACGACGCTTTGGCACAGAAGGTGGCGGGGAAATTCGAGGCCAGATGGCATCGCCCGCCGGGGGCCGCAGCCGCCCCCGTGCCACACCTGCAAGAACGTTCGCAGGATGGAGGGGGCCGGGAGATGATGGGCCGAGGAGTGCGACGGGGGACGGCTTCACAGCCGCGGATTCGACGGCAGCTGGAAATCGGAGGGGTGGAAATAATAATAAAAAAAGTGCTCGTTGAGGTCGCCTCTTGCGTTTTTGTTTTCCTTATGTCAGCTGTGTTCCGGTTGTATCCCTCTCCCCCATCCCCCTGTCATCCCTTCACCCTGACGGTGAAAAAAGTCTCCCCCCTTCCCCCATCCCGTGGGACCTCCTCGCCGTAAGGTCTGGGGACCAGCGCGCGCGTGTCCCGTCTTTCTATATTCCCATGCTGTTCATTAGCGGTTTGGCTTTGTGTTCACGGTGTGTGTGTGTGTGTTCACGGTGTGTGTGTTCACGGTGTGTGTGTGTTCACGGTGTGTGTGTGTGTGTTCAGGGTGTGTGTGTGTGTTCACGGTGCGTGTGTGTTCACGGTGCGTGTGTGTTCACGGTGTGTGTGTGTTCACGGTGTGTGTGTGTGTTCAGGGTGTGTGTGTTCAGGGTGTGTGTGTGTTCACGGTGTGTGTGTGTTCACGGTGTGTGTGTGTGTGTTCACGGTGTGTGTGTGTTCACGGTGTGTGTGTGTTCAGGGTGTGTGTGTGTTCAGGGTGTGTGTGTGTTCACGGCGTGTGTGTTCACGGTGTGTGTGTGTGTTCACGGTGTGTGTGTTCACGGTGTGTGTGTGTTCACGATGTGTGTGTGTGTGTTCACGGTGTGTTCACGGCGTGCGTGTGTTCACGATGTGTGTGTTCACGGTGTGTGTGTGTGTTCACGGTGTGTGTGTGTTCACGGTGTGTGTGTTCACGGTGTGTGTGTGTTTACGGCGTGCATGTGTTCACGGTATGTGTGTGTGTGTGTTCACGGTATGTGTGTGTGTGTTCACGGTATGTGTGTGTGTGTTCACGGTGTGTGTGTTCACGGTGTGTGTGTTCACGGTGTGTGTGTTCACGGTGTGTGTGTGTTTACGGCGTGCATGTGTTCACAGTATGTGTGTGTTCACGGTGTGTGTGTGTTCACGGTGTGTGTGTGTTCACGGCGTGCGTGTGTTCACGGTATGTGTGTGTGTGTTCACGGTGTGTGTGTGTTCACGGTGTGTGTGTTCACGGTGTGTGTGTGTTCACGGCGTGCGTGTGTTCACGGTGCGTGTGTGTGTTCACGGTGTGTGTGTGTTCACGGCGTGCGTGTGTTCACGGTGTGTGTGTGTGTTCACGGTGTGTGTGTGTGTTCACGGTGTGTGTGTTCACGGTGTGTGTGTGTGTGTTCACGGTGTGTGTGTGCGTTCACGGTGTGTGTGTGTTCACGGTGTGTGTGTGTGTTCACGGCGTGCATGTGTTCACGGTGTGTGTGTTCACGGTGTGTGTGTGTTCACGATGTGTGTGTGTGTTCACGGTGTGTGTGTGTTCACGGTGTGTGTGTGTTCACGGCGTGCGTGTGTTCACGCGTGCGTGTGTTTACGGTGTGTGTGTGTTCACGGTGTGTGTGTGTGTTCACGGCGTGCGTGTGTTCACGGCGTGCGTGTGTTCACGGTGTGTGTGTGTTCACGGTGTGTGTGTGTGTTCACGGTGTGTGTGTTCACGGTGTGTGTGTGTGTGTGTTCACGGTGTGTGTGTGTGTTCACGGTGTGTGTGTGTGCGTCACACCGTGACGTGCCGGGCCCGCGATTAAAGTCGATGTAAAAAGTCCAACTAAACCCTTGGCACTCTGTGCTGAGCGCAGCGCAGTGGCGAAGCAGCTCGGCCACTGCACTGCGCTCGTTCGTGAACCATCGTCACGCCAACCCCAGTCAACCTCGCACCACCATCACCACCAACAACACCAGCACCACCAACAGCACCACCAACAGCACCACCAACAGCACCACCACCAGCACCACCAACAGCACCACCACCAACAGCACCACCACCATCACCACCAGCACCATCACCACCAGCACCATCACCACCAGCACCACCAGCACCACCACCACCACCACCAGCACCACCATCACCATCACCACCACCAGCACCACCACCATCACCATCACCACCACCACCACCACCACCACCATCACCACCAACAGCACCATCAACAGCACCACCACCAGCACCACCACCAGCACCACCACCACCACCAGCACCACCAACAGCACCACCACCAACAGCACCACCACCAACAGCACCACCACCAACTGCACCACCACCAGGACCACCACCACCAGCACCACCACCATCACCACCATCACCACCACCACCACCACCAGCACCACCACCACCACCATCACCACCACCACCACCATCACCACCACCATCACCACCACCAACAGCACCACCACCAACAGCACCACCAGCACCACCACCAGCACCACCAGCACCACCAACACCACCACCATCACCACCATCACCACCACCAGCACCACCACCATCACCACCACCACCGGCGGCTTTTTGGCTGCTGGCCGCCGAACAAGGACAGTGGTGACCGTGTCGCGCGCTTTGGAGTGCGCTTCTGCGGCCGTCTGGAACGCTCTTCATTCCGATATCAGGAAGCCAGTGCAGATGTGCACTTTTGCATCTTGGCTGAGAACGCGTTTATTTTAGAACCGCTTTTTGTGTTTAGTTTCCATAACACAGGTTGTTTAGGGTTAGAGCGCGTACATTTAAATGCGTCGCTAAACCCGCCACCACCCGCCACAGCCAATTAGTAAGGTTTAATGTCACGTAAACAGAACGTGGCCACTCCGTTATTGATGATGCCGCTTGTAATTACTGGTGAAACGTCGTACTCAGATTGTCAATGTTGTGGATTTGCTTTCCAACACACCGGTTAGTGCTGTACTAGTATACTACACTATACATTACACTATACACTACACTACTATACACTACATTATACACTAGTGCTGTAGTAGTAACGAATTGTCACGTTCTGTTTACGTGACAAACCCTACTCGTTGGCTGTGTCGGCTGGTGGCAGGTTTAACGCCACATTTATATATTTATGCTATCGAACCCAAAAAAACCCCTTTATTTTGGATGATATTCGTCGCCAAAGCTTACGTGTTCAACTGTTTAGTTTGTTGTCCTTCCCCCGCACCCCCGATTAGCACGGTTGGCTACGTACGGTGGCGAAAGAAGTTCAACATACGTCGCAACGGCAATCCTCTTCCAGTCGTGCACCATCTCCAGCGGAATCCAGGACCTCACTAAGATGATGAAACCTAGCACGAGTGCATGGGGTGGTGGCAGTGGGATCAGGAAGGGAAGGGTGGGGAGGAGGATACATGGGTGGCTAAACTATAAACTATTTTTTTTATTTTATTTTACCAGGTAAGGCCCACAAAGATGTACAGCTCTTTTTCAGAAACGACCTGGCCACGAATGATACCTAAACGAAGTGGCTTACTGCGTGGAAATTTATAGCAGCCAAATACTCTAAAAGCGTGTTTCGAAATGTGGAGGGAATAACTGGAGGACCTGGAGAAAAAAAATCCACGTGACCATGGGGAGAGAGACATGAAAACTCCAAATATATAACAGGCTTCAGGGTCGGGATATATCCCACGCCCTCCTGTACACCAGGCGAGGTAGTTAACATCTCCCAGCCACCGTGATGATGATGAGAGAGAGAGACACGCAAACTCCAAATATACAGCAGCAGGCGTCAGGGTCGGGATCGATCCCACGACCTCCTGCACACCAGGCGAGGTAGTCAACATCTCCTAGCCACCACGGCGCCCCCAGCACTTTGGTGGTGCCCGCTCAATCCCCTGCATGTGTGCTGTGCCAGCTTCATAGGCGCTCGTCCGTCGTGACATTCCATCCGTGGTTGTAAAAATGTGGAACCTTTGTGTGCACTGCGAGTTTCACGGACAACGGGTGAAGGGTTCAACGTTAAACCACCTGGTTTGGCGACTCGGACCAACTCGGGAAGGATGGCATGGGGGACCTGCCCGTCGCTGAGCGCTCCGACAATGATCACCGCGTCAAACGCATCTGGGGAGAGAGGGCAGCTGCCAGGCTCTGCAACGTGTAACGACGCTCGCCTTCTTATTATTTTCTCTTTAAATTGAAAAATCTTCCCTCCGCGGAAATGACAGCGGAGTGGACCGTTTCCTTCTCTCGGCAGCCACGAGCCCTAACGACCCCGGCGTTGAGACCGTTCGAGGCATCCAAGAGCTCACATTGACAGCGGTAAACATCGGCCGTCTTTTATCGCCAAAGGAAAAGAAAAAAAACAACTCACCGGACTCAAGAGGCAAGGGACCGTCCCCCAACACGCAGCGCCGCGTGCTCTCGTAAACGCCTTTCGTCGCGGCCACGGCCAACATCTCCGAGCTTCCGTCAATTCCGCGGATTCGTCCAAAGCGCAGCCGCTGCAGCTGACGGGAGGGAAGGGCCGGCAAATGAGAACAGCGCGTCGCGCCGTTAGGGTTTGTTGAAATTGCCGTTGTTGAAATGCGGCCGGTCGGAAGGATTTGTTATTTATTTTTAAGCGCCGTTTTTGAAATTTGCAATTTTGCCATGACGACGACGGTGAAGCATCTGTGCCGCGCATTTAAACTTTTCTTCATCTTAACCTCACTCACGACACTTCAAGCTGGGTGTCGGGCGGCCGCAGGATAACACGCTGCCTTGGTACACATCCAGAATATGAACAGCTGCAGCCAACTCTTCAGTAACTGCTGCTGGTGGTGGAGTAATTCAGGAACTCTTGGTTGTTATTTTCACGATGCATGGTGAGAGGGGGGAGGGGAGTGCTTCTTTGCGCATCTCTGTGTGGTAGGGGGAAGACGTGGGAGCGGGGTTTGGGTGGGTAGATTTGTAACCGTGCTATGTTGAACTTCTTTCGCACCGTACGTAGCCAACCGTGCTATATATGTGTAGTGACATTAAACGAGTCACTGTACCGCGTGTCGCTGGGAGATTGGTCGACGATGGGATTTGGGGGTAGCAGCCCCGTCCTGCCAGTTGGACACGTGGGCAAGGCGCGGAGCCCTCTGGGGGATCCGGAGGGGTGCGGGGATCCCAGGGCGGAGCCTGGCCACGCTGGGGAGGATCAAAGGACGAGCTCCGACTCGCAGTCGGGGCTGCTGACATCTGGAGTGGAACTCGTCGTGCTGCTGTCATCGTCGTCGTCGTGGTCTTCGCCTCTTCGAGCTGTGGGTCTGGCAGCATTGTTGGCTGTCCCGACCCGGTGTGTGGTTATCCCCTAATGCTGTGAGGGCCGGAATTAAATAGACAGTGCCTCCTACTAGTGTCTCTGAATTACTACACTACGTGTGTATGTTGAACTCCTTTCGCGCCGTACGTAGCCAACCGTGCTATGTATGTATGCTGAACTTCTTTAGCACCGTACGTAGCCAACCGTGCTATGTATGTATGCTGAACTTCTTTAGCACCGTACGTAGCCAGCCGTGCTATGTATGTATGTTGAACTTCTTTAGCACCGTACGTAGCCAACCGTGCTATGTATGTATGCTGAACTTCTTTAGCACCGTACGTAGCCAGCCGTGCTATGTATGTATGTTGAACTCCTTTAGCACCGTACGTAGCCAGCTGTGCTATGTATGTATGCTGAACTTCTTTAGCACCGTACGTAGCCAACCGTGCTATGTATGTATGTTGAACTTCTTTAGCACCGTACGTAGCCAGCCGTGCTATGTATGTATGTTGAACTTCTTTAGCACCGTACGTAGCCAACCGTGCTATGTATGTATGTTGAACTTCTTTAGCACCGTACGTAGCCAACCGTGCTATGTATGTATGTTGAACTTCTTTAGCACCGTACGTAGCCAACCGTGCCATGTATGTATGCTGAACTTCTTTCGCACCGTACGTAGCCAGCCCTGACCTGCTCAGCCACGAGCCCAGTGCCGCACGCCACGTCCAGCACCGTGGCGCTCGCCCGCTCGCCCACGGGCACGAGAGACGCCAGCATCTCGGCCGCGAGGAACGGCGCACGGTACTCCAGCACGTGCACGTCCTGCGGGGACACACGTGCCAACACACGCCCACACACGCCCACACGCGCCAACACACGCCCACACGCGCCAACACACGCCCACACGCGCCAACACACGCCCACACGCGCCAACACACGCCCACACACGCCCACACGTGCCAACACACGCCCACACGCGCCAACACACGCCCACACGCGCCAACACACGCCCACACACGCCCACACGTGCCAACACACGCCCACACGTGCCAACACACGCCCACATGTGCTAACATGCCCACGATGACGACGACAATAATAATAATATAATCACAGTAAACCGGGTCGCGGCGGTTAAATGACCGCGTATTGCCAGCGCAAGGCAGTGCTGCTTGGCGAGGTGGAGACAGCGAGAAAGCGTTGGCGGCGTGGAATCGGAGTCAAGTATTCAGACAGGAGACGCTTAGTGAAACGGACGATGGGATGAATGCAATTTCTCAGGTCGGAGACGAGAGGATGAATGAATGAAATCTCACAGGTCATAGACGAAAATGAATGAATTAAATCTCACAGAAGACATGATCATGAATGCAATCTCAGATCATAGAGATTAATTGTTGAAATACAGAATCAGAAAATGTATTTATACTGGAGGAATCCGATGAGCTATAAAGCTATTTTTCACAGATGTCTAGTAGGGGCACGGGGTAAGAACATTATAACAACAAACAGTCGCAAAAACACGATAGGAGTGCAAAGTACAAGAAAGGTAACCAAATCACCCAAACACAAACAAATACAACACTAAACCATCCCCATCCTACCAGGCAAAGCCCACTGAGGTATCAACTTATTTTTCAGGAGCGACTTGGCCACCACAAAGTGGCTTAGCATTTGGAAATTTATAGCAGGAAAATCATCTAAACAATCTAAACGCGTGTTTCTAAATGCGGAGGGAAAAACCGGAGGACCTGGACAAAAAAATCCACGCGACCACGAGGAGAGAGAGAGACGCAAACTCCAAATATACAGCAGCAGCAGCAGGCGTCAGGGTCGGGATCGAAGCCACGACCTCCTGCACACCAGGCGAGGTAGTTAACATCTCCTAGCCACCGTAATGATGATGAGAGAGAGACGCAAACTCCAAATATACAGCAGCAGGCATTGGGGTCGGGATCGAAGCTACGACCTCCTGCACACCAGGCGAGGTAGTCAACATCTCCTAGCCACCGTGATGATGATGATGAGAGAGAGAGACACGCAAACTCCAAATATACAGCAGCAGCAGCAGGCGTCAGGGTCGAGATCGGATCCCCAACCTCCTCCTGCACACCCGGCGAGCTAGTCAACGACGTCACACCCCGGACAAGAGAGTGAGTGCAATCTCGCAGCAGGCACGAGAACGACTGACTGAATGAAACCTCACCGCATCATAATCCTTTGCCCACTGCTCGTAAAAGCGAAGCTTCTCAGTGGCCGACGAGGCTCTGTGCGCAGCCGCAACCATCTCCTTGACTTGCGAAAAGCTTCGAGAGGGCCCCTCCGCCATCGTCCTAGGCACAGCAGGGCGGTTGTTGTCAGGCAGGCAGTGTCTGCGAACGTTGATCCATTAATCTGCGTCGACATTTACCAAACGACTGTCGTCACCACCATCAGCAGCAGCAGCAGAAGCAGCAACCAGGGTCAATCCACCGCTGGATGAAAAGCGTCCCGCAAGCCGCTGAGGGTTGTGCGATTCCCGGACGTGGCCTGCACTGAATGCACCGCTCCATCTCCCCGTTTTTCATTCCACAATTAGAACTATCTCTCTCACCGTTTCATTCACCGCCAACCCGCACTGACTGGCGTGGGGAAGTATGGACGACCGCTCCCCCCCCCCCAACTAGCATCAGCCATACGAAGAAGACAACCTTAGCCGGTATACTGTACTATAGGAGCATATGCATAAACAAACACCACATTAAAAACACGCAAATCCTGGAATTCCCACGACACAATATATTTCGTTCAACCACGGCAAAGTTTTTTTCCTTCATGAACTTGCACCGCAAATCTCCGAACAAATAAAAACATGTACATTTTATACTTTAAAGATATACTTTAAAAGTCACTTTACACGTTACTTTACAGGACCGGGGATACGATGATGGAATCATTCACCTTGCGGGGTCACAGCGTCCGTGCTCTCTATTACATCATTGCTCGGTATTTGGTTAAAAACTGAAAGGCCAAAGAGTAGGGCGCTGTCCAGTCGTAACTTTGGCTCCTTGCATGCAGAGTGTTGGGGGGGGGGGGTATTGGTCGCATTCCAGGACAGCCTGCCAAGATATATAATCATTATTAGTACACTGCGCGTGTGAGTCTGTGGAGGAGGAGGCTCGTGAACGACGCTGCTGCTGCTGCTGGGCAGTTGGAGGCAGTCGCCCTCCAGCAACAACAACGGAGGGCAGAGGAGCGACGCTCACAACAACTAGCGGAGCGCCAGGCGGATTAAATGCAGCAAGTTGGTACCGCTGGGGGGTACAGCTGGTGGTGCATCTACCAGTGGTCATCTCAGTCGGCCGACCCATGGCACCTGCTGGGTCTGTCCCCTGACCTCCTATCAGCGAGCCTTCGACACGTCACGTGGCCTCAAAGTGCACCTGGCCTGGCACAGGCGCCGTGGTGACGTCACCGTCATTTAGTGGCCGATGGCCGGGTGTCGGTGTTGGGTGTGTGTGGGTGTCGGTGTTGGGTGTCGGTGTTGGGTGTGTGTGGGTGTCGGTGTTGGGTGTGTGTGGGTGTCGGTGTTGGGTGTGTGTGGGTGTCGGTGTTGGGTGTGTGTGGGTGTCGGTGTTGGGTGTGTGTGGGTGTCGTTGCTGGGTGTGTGTGGGTGTCGGTGTTGGGTGTGTGTGGGTGTTGGTACAGGTAGGAAGAGCGGTAGTGCAGGTGTTAGCGTGCTACACTATGAACCCTGCGACCCGAGTTCGAATCCCGTGCACGGACACAACCAGTGACGGTCCTGGGCCTCCCTGAGATCGACTCAGTAGTAAACGAGTACCTGGTGCGGTGTGTAGTCAACGTCACTAGGGGAGACAAAGGCGGCCGGGCGTGGTGCTGGCCACCCATCTCCTAGCCACCGTGGCGCCCCATGGAAGGCCGGCCCTGCACGGCACAACAGGTGTACACACACCCACGCGCGCACACACACCCACAACAACAACCGCCATTCGCCACTAAGTGGCGGTGACGTCACCACGACGCTTGTGCCAGGCTAGGTGCACGTTGAGGCCACGTGAAGTGTCGAACGCCCGCGGGCAGGAGGTCACGGGGCAGACCCAGGTGCCACGGGTCGACTGACTGAGATGATTGGCTGATGCACCACCTGTGCCCCCTAATGTGCCAACCTGCCGTGCTTCAGCCACCAGGCGCTCTGCTCGTTGTTGTGAGCGTTGCTCCTCCGCCCTCCGTTGTTGTTGGAGGGCGACTGCCTCCAACTGCCCAGTAGCGTCCTTCATGAGCCTCCTCCACAGAGGCCGATCTTGACACCGCTGGTACCAGTCATCGGCAAGTCCACCTAGCTCCACGTTCTCCTGTACCACATCACTCCATCTCTTCTCTAGCCCGTGCCGCGCCCGTTTAGCCCCCTCGATCCGGCCGAAGAAAAGCTGTTTCGGCATGCGGTGGCTGGGCATGCGGGCTACATGGCCCAGCCAACGCAGCCTTGCCTGCCGGAGGACCTCACCGATGGGACTTTGTCCAGATCTTTCGAGGCTTTGTGAGCTCCTCACACAATCCATTCTGGTTAAACCCAGGATTGATCGTAGGCAGGTCAGCCTAAATGTTTCTAACCGGCGAAGATGTTCCATTAGGGGGGTCCACGTTTCGCAAGCATAGAGAAGGGAGGGAATGACTGTGGCCGAGAAGACCTGAAGCTTAGTGCGGAGCGACAGACCAGGTAGCTTCCACACAGCGTTACACAAATGCCGCTCGACTGATTCAGAGTGAGACCTCTGCTGTTAAACCGGAGCCGGTCATGAACACATTGCCCAGGTATGGGAAACTCTCCACTCTCTCCACAACTGCCCTATCACCAATTGGGAGTTGTGGGAGTGGAGTGCCCGATGGTACAAAATACCCAGGCAGGTGCTTAGTTTTGGTGGGGCTGATGGTAAGGCCCCACCTTTTAGTGGCAAGCTCCAGTTTCAGCAGCAGCGTCTCCAACTCCTCTTCCGAGTGAGCAGCTCCGCATACATAACGTGGTTGAGCAATAGGGAGCCATCCCTTGACCGCACCAGGGCATCGATCAGCCTCCCATTATATCTGTACCACATGGAAATTCCTCCGGTAGAGCTACGGGAGGCTTCACGAACTACGTGGTCAAAATAGATGTTAAATAATGTGGGAGCCAGAGGGCATCCCTGTCGCACCCCAAGGTGTACAGGGAATGGCTCGGACTCCCGGCCACGTAGGGTTTACCCGGACCCGCTCACCATCATGAAGGTCCTTAATGATCGTGAGCAACGGGTCAGGGACTCCGAAAGCACAAAGAACAACCTAGAGCCCAGGCCTACTGATGGAATCATAGGCCTTGACCAGGTCAATAAAGCAGAGATGTAGGTCTTGCTGGAATTCCCTACAACGCGCACACACCCACACACACGCGCGTTCTTCAATCGCTGAGCCTAAAACAGAACGCACGTCTGTGCTTTCACACCCCAGAATGTTTAAAGACGCCTCCTTCTCTCTGCTGCTCTTCTTCAGCAACGAGCAGCTCACTGACGTGGGTGGATGGGGGTCGTGGGTGGGTGTGTCCTGGGTGGGTGGGTGTGTCCTCGGTGGGTGGGTCCTGGGTGGGTGGGTGTGTCCTGGGTGGGTGGGGTGTGTCCTGGGTGGGTGGGTGTGTCCTCGGTGGGTGTGTCCTGGGTGGGTGGGTGTGTCCTCGGTGGGTGGGTCCTGGGTGGGTGGGTGTGTCCTGGGTGGGTGGGTCCTGGGTGGGTGGGTGTGTCCTGGGTGGGTGGCGTGTGTCCTGGGTGGGTGGGTGTGTCCTCGGTGGGTGTGTCCTGGGTGGGTGGGGTGTGTCCTGGGTTGGTGGGTGTGTCTTCGGTGGGTGGGGTGTGTCCTGGGTTGGTGGGTGTGTCCTCGGTGGGTGGGTCCTGGGTGTGTGGGTCCTGGGTGTGTGGGTGTGTCCTGGGTGGGTGGGTCCTGGTGGGTGGGGTGTGTCCTGGGTGGGTGTGTCCTGGGTGGGTGTGTCCTGGGTGGGTGTGTCCTGGGTGGGTGTGTCCTGGGTGGGTGGATGAGGTGTGTCCTGGGTGGGTGGGGTGTGTCCTGGGTGGGTGGGTGTGTCCTGGGTGGGTGTGTCCTGGGTGGGTGGATGAGGTGTGTCCTGGGTAGGTGAGGTGTGTCCTGGGTGTGTGTGTCCTGGGTGGGTGGGGGTGTGTCCTGGATGGGTGGGGGTGTGTTCTGGGTGGGTGGGGTGTGTTCTGGGTGGGTGGGGTGTGTCCTGGGTGGGTGGGGTGTGTCCTGGGTGGGTGGGTGTGTCCTGGGTGGGTGTGTCCTGGGTGGGTGTGTCCTGGGTGGGTGTGTCCTGGGTGGGTGTGTCCTGGGTGGGTGGGTGTGTCCTGGGTGGGTGTGTCCTGGGTGGGTGGATGAGGTGTGTCCTGGGTAGGTGAGGTGTGTCCTGGGTGTGTGTGTCCTGGGTGGGTGGGGGTGTGTCCTGGATGGGTGGGGGTGTGTTCTGGGTGGGTGGGGTGTGTTCTGGGTGGGTGGGGTGTGTCCTGGGTGGGTGGGGTGTGTCCTGGGTGGGTGGGTGTGTCCTGGGTGGGTGGGTGTGTCCTGGGTGGGTGGGGGTGTGTCCTGGGTGGGTGGGGGTGTGTCCTGGGTGGGTGGGGTGTGTCCTGGGTGGGTGGGTGTGTCCTGGGTGGGTGTGTTCTGGGTGGGTGGGGTGTGTCCTGGGTGGGTGGGGTGTGTCCTGGGTGGGTGTGTCCTGGGTGGGTGTGTCCTGGGTGGGTGTGTCCTGGGTGGGTGGGGGTGTGTCCTGGGTGGGTGGGGTGTGTCCTGGGTGGGTGGGGTGTGTCCTGGGTGGGTGGGGTGTGTCCTGGGTGGGTGGGGTGTGTCCTGGGTGGGTGGGTGTGTCCTGGGTGGGTGGGGTGTGTCCTGGGTGGGTGGGGTGTGTCCTGGGTGGGTGGGGTGTGTCCTGGGTGGGTGTGTCCTGGGTGGGTGGGGTGTGTCCTGGGTGTTTGCTGGGTACGTCACGACCTGCGATTCGCTCGTGGAGCCTGGGAGTGAGGAAGTGGTGACGCTGTGTGACTGTTCGTGGTGGTTGTTGGTGGTGGTGACGCTGTGTGACTGTTAGTTGTTGTTGTTGGTGATGTTGTGTGACTGTTAGTGGTTGTTGGTGATGCTGTGTGACTGTTAGTGGTTGTTGGGGGGAGGGGTGACGACAAAGAGGGCGCTATGCGGACGCGGTGAGCCGCGATGCAGAGGCGGCGTGGCTCCGAGAGCCTCCAGCAGGACGGAGACCTCGACTCGAGGTGAGACGCCGCCGCCGACGCCTCCAGCGAGGGCCCTGGGCAGGGGGGGGGGGGCCGGTGGCCGGTGGCCGGCGGCCGGCCCTTGGCAGGGGGGGTGGCCCTTGGCAGGGGGGGTGGCCCTTGGCAGGGGGGGTGGCCCTGGGCAGGGGGGGGGGCCCTATGGGCAGGGGGGGGGGGGCGACCCCGTGACGCGGCCACCCCAACGGGCGGACGCCTTCGATCTACTGCTGGATGACAGCCATCCCGAGCCGCTCGCCCATCGCCTGTTCGTTGTCGTGGTGGTGGTGGTGAGGTTGCCATACTTCACCACCAACACTGCTGTTCAGTGCTGGACGAGTGGAGCCCGGTGAGCCATAGGGCTGGGGAGCATAGGGAGAACAGTACAACCGTCGAAAACGCGTTGGCTTTCGCGACCAATATTATTGATCATAAACGGTTTTGGGTTCGATCGCATCAGTATCAGTGTGTCGTAACCCTCCAGCCACCCGATGATGCTGGATGTGACTACAACGCGAAACGTCGTACTACTCAAATTGTAAACGTGGGCTGAAGTAGTACACTACACTATACACTGCGCCAAACACTACACTATAAACTACACTATACACTATACTGGTAACTAATTGGCGCGTTGTTTACGTGACAAACCTTAACTGTCTGTGTCGGGTGGTGGAGGGTTACGACACAACATTTATCTGACCCAACAACCTTGACTAATGAAGTATGAATTTCGATTTAAAGCATTCGTGACTGCAGGGATTCGTATTCTTGGTTCTTTCGGTAAAGTCACCACCACGTAGAAGGGAAATAATAAAATAATAAAAAAGAAAGCAATAAAATGTTGTTTTAGTATTTTATTATTTCCCTTCTACGTGACTTCACCGAAAGTGCATTGACTATGCAGCATGAATACAGCCGCTCATAGCGGCCACTTGTGCAGCTCTCCCAGAGGGGCTGGTCGGCCTTCGAGACCTCACGACATTGGCCCAATTGTGGTGGATTTGGCGATGGAGATCAATAATAAACACGGCGCGTGGATTGTAGCAGTGGGGAAGAGGGACGTGGAATAGAGAGAGAGAGAGATATGGAGAAAGTGTGTTGAGGAGGGAGGAGGATTAGAGGGTTAGGATGCCCTGAGGCCACGGTCATTGTTTTCAGGGGGCCCTTAAGGACAAGAGCCCAGACATCTCACGTTGTGGGTCAGCACCTGACGTGGGATAACTTCATTTATTGAATTTCCTCAATGTGGCCTCTGTGAATATTGTGATCACCACGGTGTTGAGATGTTAACTTAATTGCCTGGTTTGCAGGAGGTCGTGGGTTCGATCCCGACCCTGACGCCTGCTGCTGCTGTATATTTGGAGTTTGCGTCTCTCTCTCCCTCACTCCCCATGGTCGCGTGGATTTTTCTCTGGGTCCTTGGGTTTTTCCCTCCACATTTACAAACCTACCTTATCACAGACCAATTCAGACCTCATCGGTCACCCCCGTGGCCTTATAAATCTCAACGTTCATCTTACAAAGTCCCATCACAAGGGAGAAACACAAATTAACATTTTTTTTGCCCGTATTGAAACGGCTGTACGCCATATGGACCTGAAAATTAAATTTCCCTGTACAAGAATACGGAGTAAACCGTGTGGGTTTACAGCTATGCATTTAGAATCAGCATCACGCGTTTATAGGCATTTGGCTGCCATATAATTCCACACGATGATGACAAGCCACTTCGTTGAGCGATCATTTGCGATAGGCCAGGTCGCTTCTGAAAAAAATGTTTATATTGTAGCTCATTGGGACCTTACCTGGAAAAGACAACAAAAATCCACGCATTCCTCCTCCTCCTGTCTCGCAGCGTGACCCCAAGCGTGCATCTCTCCAATGCTTTCTCTTGCACACGCTTGAACTTTATCTGCATAGCTCGGTGGAGCCTCACCCGGCAAACTCAAACCTCAGTTTTAGTTTCCATTTCTGAACTCGCTTCCCTCCTCCAAAAGGCCCCGACCTCAAACTCCGTTGCCTTCCCATCCCCTTCTCCCCTCGCCCCTCCGCCGTGTATCCCGGCAGCATGGCAGGCCTCGCGGTGGGCACGGCCGGCTTCTCCCCATCCTCCGCGGGCGACGTGGTGCTGCAGATGGTGGCACGCCACGACGCTGCCGGTGGCGGCGGTGGCTCCTCGGGGGTGCCACCGGGCGACTCGTCCGGACCCGCCCACCGGCACCTGCTGTCGGCGTACGCGCCCGCGCAGCCGTCGGCGCCAGCCCGGGGTGACGGCGGAGGAGGAGGTGGAGGAGGAGACGCGGGGGACCCCGGCGGCGAGGCCGGGAATCCCACGGCGGCGTTCGCGGAGATGAGGCCGCTGCTCGGCTGGCTGCAGCGGGGGCTGCCCTTCCTGCTGCTGCTGCTCACTCGGCTCGGCTACCAGCACCGGCTCGGTGAGCGGTGAGGCCAGTCGCCATGCGGTAGCGTGGCCGCACACTCACGTGGCCGCACAGCCACACACTCACACGGCCACACACTCACACAGCCACACACTCACACGGCCACACGGTCACACACTCACACAGCCACACACTCACGCGGCCGCACGGTCACACACTCGCACGACCACACGGCCACACACTCACACGGCCACACACTGACACAGCCACATGGCCACACACTCACACAGCCACACGGCCACACACTCACACGGCCACACGGCCACACACTCACACAGCCACACGGCCACACACTCACACAGCCACACACTCATACAGCCACACGGCCACACACTCACACAGCCCCACGGCCACACACTGACGCGGCTACATGGTCACACACTCACACGGCCACACACTCACACGGCCACACGGCCACACACTCACACGGCCACACGGCCACACGGCCACACACTCGCACAGCCACACACTCACACAGCCACACGGCCACACACTCACACACTCGCACAGCCACACGGCCACACACTCACACAGCCACACACTCACACAGCCACACGGCCACACACTCACACACTCACACAGCCACACGGCCACACACTCACACAGCCACACGGCCACACGGCCACACACTCACACAGCCACACACTCACACGGCCGCACGGCCACACACTCACACGGCCGCACACTCACACAGCCACACACTCACACAGCCACACGGCCACACACTCACACAGCCACACGGCCACACACTCACACGGCCACACGGCCACACACTCACACAGCCACACACTCACACAGCCACACGGCCACACGGCCACACACTCATGCGGCCACACACTCACACGGCCGCACGGCCACACGGCCACACACTCACACAGCCACACACTCACACAGCCACACGGCCACACGGCCACACACTCATGCGGCCACACGCTCACACGGCCACACGGCCACACGGCCACACACTCATGCGGCCACACACTCACATGGTCACACGGCCACACGGTCACACACTCATGCGGCCACACGCTCACACGGCCGCACGGCCGCACGGCCACACACTCACATGGCCACACGGTCACACACTCACACAGCCACACACTCACACACTCACACGGCCGCACGGCCGCACGGCTGTAGTGACAACAATCTGAGCTCACGTGCACACTACACGAGCACCTCACCTCCTGGGGATCGCTGATTGACGGGCGCCCATCCGTGTGTCTTGATGGCTTCGTCAGGGCTGGCCGTGTTGGCCGGACTGTTCCTCACCTTCTTTTACGCCAACCGCACTCTCAAGACGCAGGTGACGCTCCGGGTGAGTCTGTTCGTCCGGACCGCCGGACGGGGGGGGGCGGCTCGGGTTTTGAGGTTCATAATTCGCGCGCCAAAATTTTCACACGACTAAAAATGCCCTACTTGATGATTAAGCCCCTTCCGTTGAGCTATCATTTGTGATAGCCAGGTCGCTTCTGAAAGAAAGTTACATGACTCAGTGGCGCCTTATATGGTAAGGTAAAAAATAGTTTAATTTATAGTTAGGTTTACTTACACCAGGGCCCATGCCAACCACGCTATGCCACTGCTTGACGACCGGCCTTACACCCTGCACACCTGCTCTCCACCCACTGCAACGACTTCCCGATTGCCAACGATGACTTCTCGCCACCGTCTCCTTCCGATTCTCCAAGCTCCTCGCCCCGTTCTGCTGTAAAGTCACACGCACCTTCCGCACGCACAGACTCACTCGGAAAATCAATTTCTGTCGATTCGAGCCCACGACCGCCTGTATACCAGGCGAGGCAGTTAACATCTCCTAGCCACCGTTATCCTTGACCCAGTGGCCGTCACCCCTTCGGGCGACGTGCCCTGCAACCACGGACCGCCCTTGCCTATCGTCCGGCACGGTCGGACTGGCGCCCCGAGAACCCCGCTTCCGTCTCGCTCGTGTGCCTGTCCGTTGGCCGCGTCGTCCGTGCACGTGCGCGCGTTGCGTGCGCCCGTTGAACTTCTTCGCCCGTGCACGCGCGGCTGCAGGAGCGGAGGTCGTGCGTTAAGACGCTGTGGCTCCTTGTGTTCCTGGCGGGGAACGTCGCCTTCCTCTACTACACCTTCCGCGCGCAGAGGCTGCATTACAGGTACCAAACAAAATTAGTATTACGTTTTAAAAATATCGATTTTCAACTTTTTACCAGGTAAGGCCCCACTGAGCAATGTAGCTCTTTTTTTCAGAAGCCACCTGGCTATCACAGATGATAGCTCAACGAGAAGTGGCTCGTCGTGTGGAAATGCGCAGTGGCAGCCTAACACTCTAAACCGCGTGGCGTTGTTTGGAAATGCGGAGGGGGAAAAACAACGGAGGACCCGGAGAAAAATCCACGCGACCACGGGGAGAGAGAGAGAGAGCAAAAGAGACACGCAAACTACAAATATACAGCAGCAGCAGCAGCAGGCGTCAGGGTTGGGATCGAACCCACGACCTCCTGCACACCAGGCGAGATAGTTAACATCTAGCCACCGCGGTGCCCCACGGTGGCAGGACAGCTGGGCCTGCCCTGTTGCCCTTTGCTGCCCCTTCACTATTCCATCGCTACCTCATGCTGCCATTTACTCTCCCGCTCTGCCCTTCCACTGACCGTGGGCACTGGGCCCTGCTGGTACGCGGTGATTGGAGTTGCCACCCTTCTATGTATGTATGTATGATGTATGATGCATGTATGTTGAACTTCTTTCGCAACCGTACGTAGCCAATCGTACTAATCTGAGGTGCGGGGGAAGGACAACAAACTAACACACCAAAAGCAGCTCTCAAGAAATTAGTTTTCAATGTAGATTTAAAAGTGCATAGCTCCAGTGGCTTCCTATTACCGGAGGGAAGAGCGTTCCAGACGGCCACAGCAGCGCATCTGAAAGCGGGGCGCGATCCGGCCACCGTCTTTTTGTTCGATGGCTTAGCCAAAATCCGCCGCCGCTGCTGCTGCTGCTGTTTCGAGGATGAGCGGAGTTCGCACGATGATGATTTACGCTCCTTGACGAGATCAGCGAGAGCGCTGCGGTTCATTTGTGGCGAGGCGAGCAACGGCGCAGGGCGGTCGTTCGTCCCCCGTCGTCGCCGTTGAGCTCACGAGAGGGGAGAGAATAACAAATCCCGACCCCTGACCTGGTTCGCTAGCTCACCTCGCTTCTCCCAACCTGCGCAGCCTCATGCTGGCGTCTCCCTCGCTGCTGCCCGTGGAGCTCTGGGATCTGCTGTGGATCGTCGGCATCGGAGACTTTGTAGGGAAGTTCATCTCCATCGGCCTCAAGTGCCTCCTGGTGGCCCTGCCTTCCTCGGTGCTGCCGTTCGGCTCACGGGTAGGTCGCGGTGTCACGCAACGTCACGCGTGCCGCAGCTCGTTGGCCGCAGTTACCAGGTAAGGCCCCACTGATCCAAGTAGTTTTTCAGAAGCGACCCGGCTGTAACAGACGGTAGCTCAACGAAGTGGCTCATCACCATCGTCGTCGTCGTCGTGTGGATATTTATAGCGGCAGCCAAATGCTCTCGAAGCGTGATGTTGATTTTAAACGTGGAGGGAAAAACCGGAGGGCCCGGAGAAAAAGCCACGTGACTACGGGGAGAGAGAGAGACGCAAACTCCAAATATACAGCAGCAGCAGGCGTCAGGGTCTGGATGGAACCCACGACCTCCTGCACACCCGGCGAGAGAGTTAACATCTCTCCACTGTAGCGCCCCTTGCGACCGATGAGAGGACATACGCAGGTTAAAGACTATTAATGGATGTAAGTGGGCTTGGGTGGCACGTGTTACTTGCAGGGATGATGGCCGTTGCGGCTGAGAGTTATCGCCGGGTGGCAGCCAATGGGGGTCGCGTCCTCCGCGGAGATGGAGCGGCGAGATCGGCTCGCGTGCAGGTGCTGGGTGGATCGTTGCATCGCGGAGCCATGAGAGGTGGCGGCGATGGCTTTGTGGGGGAGGGGGGGGGTGAGGCCATTCAGCCCTTCAGCCAGCAGTGGATTGATCACGGCTGCCGATGAGGACGCTTTGAAATGTTCCTACTTGGATTCTGGGGGCGGGGGATGTCTCCTGCAGGGGCGATGGTACGTGTTGGTGGAGGAGGGCAGTCAGCTGTACCGCTACTTGCTCCCCGCGCTGCCGTGGTTCCACTTCCTCATGGGCACCAGGAGACCCGGCGACGCAAGGATCTTCCACATGCTGCTCGCCCTCCTGTACTTCTGTGCGAAGGTGAGCGGGCCGGCGGTGAGCGTATGACCTCACGGCAGGTCTTCGAGGCCAGTGAAGCGCTCTGTCCAGACCTCCGTTTGACCAGCCAGGGTGGGAGCTACGCACGTGACCAGCGCTGGAGATTGGGCGAGGGTTGGTGGTTTCACCCCGTGAATGTCGTGGGTGTCGAGGAGGTGCCGTGCCGTGGCACGGCCGGAGGCGATACAGCGAGCGGACGAATCGCCATCTGTTTCCTGTCTGTACTAACTAAAATTAACTCACTGTTTTTATTTTCTTATCAGCTAAGGCCCACTGGGCTATATACAAATGCTAGGACAACGAAGTGGCTTATCGCGTGGAAATTTATTGCAGCCAAATAACCCTAAACATGTGTTTTTGATTCTAAATATGGAGGAAAAAAACAGAGGGCCCGGGAAACAATTGTCACGACCACGAAGAGAGAGAGAGAGAGAGACGCAAACTCCAAATATACAACAGGGTCAGGATCGGGACCGATCCCATGACTGTCAGTATACCAAGCGAGGTAGTTAGCATTTCGCCACTGTGTATGGGGATCGAGTGTGGCCCCCTTGCACTCGTGGTTTTCTCCAGGTGCTCAGCCTTAAATGTTGCTGGACGCTCCTGAAAAATAATCCTTGGTTTCAGTGTGGCTTTCCTGGATCAACAGGTCACTATTATTTTGACCTCTTACAGTGATAAATGAGTCAGCATGTTTGATTTTTGTCGTAGCCCGGCCACCTTTGTCTCCCCAGTGGTGATGTTTCCACATCACACCAGGTACCCATTTGAGGCCGAGTCGACCTAGGGAAGGCCCAGGAACGGTTAAAATACACGCCATTTTTATTGGCGCATATGACTGGGGTCATTGGTGTCGTGTCACAGCGCGCTTACCGCTTGTGCCAGGCCATGTGCACGTTAAGGCCACGTGAAGTGTCGCACACGCGCGCACACTCGCGCGCACACTCGCGCACACTCGCGCGCACACTCGCGCACACTCGCATACACGTGTAGTGACTTGTTAGGACTCGGAGACGATGTAGAGACGACACCGTTTATTAACCCTTAAGCTCCCCTGTTACAGCTTAGCACCCGAAGAGGTAACGGCCTCTCCACCCGTTGCTCTCAGGGGAGGTAATCCCCAGCTAAACTTCGCCTGCTCCCTAGCTATACCTCGGCCCTCTTCTAAGGGAGGCTAGCTCACCTGGCCCAGCCAAGGCGCAGGTCTCGACCACCAGCCACACGGACCCGGCCCTTAGAAGGACATCGGGCTCCGAGGTTCTGGGGTCGCACCACTGCCTTGCTATGCCCGGCCCTTACAAGGGCAGCGGGTCAGAGGAGTACCAGGGTGTCTAGCTAGCTGGACTTCGATCTTCAACTGGTTCTTCTGGCTTCTTGAAGATCCCCTCTCTCTCGGGTCCCTGTCTTTTATCTAATTCCCTACCGAGGGCCGGGGTTCTGTGGGATCCTAGTACACCCCTCAGCCCCCACCCGTTGGGAGGGGCGCAGGGGATCCAAACATCCCCCAGCCCCCTCCCCCCCCCCCCGGGAGGCGCCGGCTAGGGATATGACGATCGCCCCGTACGTCTCAATAGCACCGTTACACACGCGTACACACACACACGCACACCTATCAATACCACGCACCCAGCGCTCCAGACGAGCTCCACCGACCCGCGCGCTGCCGGGCGTGGCGAAGCGTAGCCCAAGTAAGGAGAGAGACAGAGCGAGAGAGAGGCCCCCCCCTCCGCGGGCTGTCCGCTGCTGCGACCGTCAAGAGCTGTCGCCCTTTCTCCCGCAGTGCCTGGGCCTGTACAGCAACGTCACCGCGCTGAGGAAGTCTTGCGCCATGGCGTGCGCCCAGCAGGTGCGTCGGAAGCGTCCCACGCTTACACTGTTCGTGGGCCGCGTGGGGCCCGGGGGGGCGGGTGGTAATGCGTCACGAAACCCCGGCGACCCGAGTTCGATTCCCGCTCACCGCCACCAACGCCTGCGGCGATTATCTGAACCGGTCCTGGGTCCTTCCGTAGGTCGATTCGGCTTCAAATGAGTACCCGGTGCGGTGTGTAAACATCAGCACTGGGGAGACAAAGGCGGCAGGGCGTGGTTGCTTGGCCACCCCGCCCCCCCTCCTGTGCCACGGTGCCGGCCTTCATAAGCGCTGCTACCGCTCGCTAAGAGCACTTGCCCCCCAACGGTCTGTGAAGGCTACGCGTGGTGTGGTGGCGTGGTGTGGTGGGAGATCTCTGTGTTTGTTCCCAGGTGTACGGCGTGCCGGCCAGCAAGCAGCAGTGCGCGGAGGCCGGCGACATCTGCCCCATCTGCCAGGCTGCCTTCGCCCAGCCGCTGATGCTCGTGTGCAGAGTAAGCGTCCCCCCCCCGCCCCGGCGGCTCCACAGACCCCTGGCTCTATCCGCGAGCCGCAGTCTCCCCGTTGACATTGTGGGGGGGGGATGGGGGGGGGGGGTTGTGTCCGACTCAAAGTCAGAGTGTTTATTTATGCAGTAGAACCCCTTGCTCTGAACGACGGTGATTGGTTCCACGAGTGATTTTGGTGGTTGAGCGAGCGTAGGAAACACAGTAACACCGCCAGGAATTCAAAAGAGACGTTTCCACTTCAAAGCGCAGCAGACACCGACTCTAAACAATGCTCCCCCCATCGCTCGTGAGTGGACGTCGCTGATTGGCCGAGGCCTGGTCAAGCCACTTTGGAGCTCGTTGATTGGCCGAAATTGGTGGCCACGTGCTCGTAGTAAAAGCCTGTCGTTAACAGGGGAATGGTCGGTAAGAGAACACATCGGGCTCTATGGAGGCACTACACTACTATACACTCCACTACTATACACTACACTACTGTACACTATTATACACTACTATACACTACATTACTATACACTATTATACACTACTATACACTACAATAGTATACACTACACTACTATACACTACACTACTATACACTATTATACACTACTATACACTACACTACTATACACTATAATACACTACTATACACTACACTACTATACACTATAATACACTACTATACACTACACTACTATACACTACACTACTATACACTATTATACACTACTATACACTACACTACTATACACTATTATACACTACTATACACTATTATACACTACTATACACTACACTAGTATACACTACACTACTATACACTACACTACTATACACTGTTATACACTACACTACTATACACTGTTATACACTACTATACACTACACTACTATACACAAGTATACACTACACTGTACACTACACTACTATACACTATACTACTATACACAAGTATACACTACACTACTATACACTATTATACACGATACTACTATACATTAAACTACTATACACTCCACTACTATACACAACTATACACTACACTACTTACACTATTATACACTACACTACTATACACTACACTACTATACACAAGTATACACTACACTACTATACACAAATACACACTACACTACTATACACTATTATACACGATACTACTATATATTAAAGTACTATACACTCCACTACTATACACAAGTATACACTACACTACTATACACTATTATACACGATACTACTATACATTAAACTACTATACACTCCACTACTATACACAAGTATACACTATACTACTATACACAAGTATACACTACACTACTATACACTATTATACACTACACTACTATACACCTATACACAAGTATACACTACACTACTATACACTATTATACACGATACTACTATACACTACTCTACACTATTATACACTATACTACTATACACTACACCACTATACGCTACACTACTATACATTACACTATACACTATTATACATTAAACTACTATACAGTACACTACTATACACTATACTACTATACACTACACAACTATACACTCCACTACTATACACAAGTATACACTACACTACTATACACTATTATACACGATACTACTATACATTAAACTACTATACACTACACTACTATACACAAGTATACACTACTATACACTATTATACACTATACTACTATACACTACACAACTATACACTACTATACACTATTATACACTACACTACTATACACTACACTACTATACACTATACTACTATATACTATTATACACTATACTACTATACACTACACAACTATACACTAAACTACTATACACTATTATACACTATACTACTATATACTATTATACACTATACTACTATACACTACACAACTATACACTATAATAGACTACACATTTGGGCTCCATGGAGGCCGTCGTTAAGCGATTCGTCGTCAACAGGGGTGGTCGTTAAGAGGGGTTCTACCGTGCTGGAGGAATCCGATGAGCTGTAAAGCTCTGTTTCACAGATGTCTAGTAGGGGCGGATTCAGAACGTTACAACAATACAAAAAGACGATCGGAGTGCAAAGTATCGGAAATGTGAACAAATCACGTTTAAAAAATATAGACCAAAAATTCACTGGCGAATGGTGCCCGGTGGTTTATTATTTACTGGCGCTAATTGCGAGTGTGTGGTTTGGGCCAAAGTGCTTGCTGACTTCATGAATGTGTGCTAACCGTGGGTTTGTGCTGTAACAAGGTGTGTGTACGCTGCCTGTGTGTGTTCTGCCTGTGTGTGTGTTTTGCCTGTGTGTTCTGCCTGTGTGTGTGTGTTACCATCTGTGTGTTGACTGTATGAATGTCTGTGTGTGTTCTGGCCATCTGTATGGGGAGCGGTGGTGTAGTGGTTAGCGTGCTGCCGCTACCAACCTGGCGACCCGAGTTCAATTCTCGCTCACTGCCAACGCCAATGACGATTATCTAAACCAGTCCTGGGCCTCCCCTAGGTCGACTCGGCCTCAAATGAGTAGTTGTTGCAGTGTGTAAACATCGCCACTGGGGAGACAAAGGCGACCGGGCGTGGTGTTGGCCACCCCCCTCGTGTGCCGTTCCGGCCTTCATAGGTGCTACTCGCTAACAGCACTTGCACCAGCAGTCTGGTAAGGTTATACGGGGGAACTTTGTCTTCGTGTGATTGTGTGTATGCGTGTTGCATGCTGAGTGTTTGTTGACCGTGTGCGTGTTAAAAAAGGGAAGGATAATCTTCTAGGCGGTGGCATCATATCAATATGCGTGGAATGCCAGGCTGTCACCGTGCGTGCTATGCCAGGCTGTCACCGTGCGTGCTATGCCAGGCTGCGAGCCGTGTGGCTGTGCCGTCCTCGCGTCCCGTGTTAACTCCGCGTGTGGCGTGCTGCAGCACGTGCTGTGCGCGGAGTGCATGGCGCTGTGGTGCGACCGCGAGCGCGCCTGCCCCCTGTGCCGCGTCCTCATCAGCCCCTGCGCCCCTCGCTGGCGCGACGGGTCCACGTCCGCCCACCTGCAGCTCTACTAGCCGCCCGCCGGCTGCAGCTCCACCGCGTTCCGTGCCACCGCCGGATTAGCCACGGTGGGCGACGTGCGGTGCGAAGGAAGTCCAACATGCACACGTACAAGACGGCCGCCGGCGCCGCTACCGCAGCGACGACTCCTCCGTTTACCGAACGTCTCCGATCGCGGTTTTTAGCCTGGGTGGGGACCACCACCCCCTGGTGACGGCTCCTGGAGCCACCGGTATATTAAAAATAAAAAACACAAAGTCGGCGATCCGCCGCCGGCTGTGAAGGTTAAAGGCGCAGCCCTGCAAGCGCCTGTACAGGCAACTGCCGGCGGAATAAATGGCTTTGGCTCGAGGAAGCTCGAGAGAGCGCCCTTCCGCGGGGTATTTGGCCTACTCTTCCATGCTGGCCCAGACGTCTTGGACGAGGTGGTTTTCAGATGTATATGCTGCTAGGCGGACAGAGGTGTGGGGGGATTGAACCGGAGATGTCCGGATTCTCTGCTGTTCATTGGATGCTTAAAACCCGGTCACATTATTCACAAGAATATGTGGTGGTGTCGGTCCAAACCCTACTTAAAAAATTTAAACAAGATGACCGCACGTTGTTAGGAAGTACACACGTTGTTAGGAAGTACACAATAGCCATCTCCGTATAGCTCGAGGTTTTGAATGTCGCGTCCCATATGAGAGAGGCCGTGAGTTTCCAGTTGTGTGGTCACGTGGACAAATCTAAGTGAACGAGATAACAGCATTGCGCGCGTTTCTGTTTTGTAAAGTTTCGATTCAGTCCCCTCCGACTGCGACTCCTCATCGTAACTACCGTTTGATTGAGAAAAGAAATACACTTTTAAGAAGAGTCATTGGTACTCCGATGCCCTTGCCATTCACATGAGGTACGTTCTTCAACAGGGGGGAGGTGTCGGGTCTCGGGTTGCTATCAAATGATTTTGTGCGGATGTTGAACTTCTTCCACACCGTACGTAGCCGACCGTGGCTTATCGGAGGTGCGGGGGAAGGACGACAAACTAAACAACAAAGCAGTTCTAAAGAAATGGGTTTTCAATCTACATTTAAAAGTGAATAGCTCCAGTGGCTTCCTCATATTGGAAGGAAAACCGTTGCAGGCGGCCGCAGAAGCGCATCTGAGAGCGCGCGATGCGGTGACCGCCGCCAGCCAAAAGCCACCTTCCGCTGCTACGAGATCAGCGAGCTTATTGTGGGTTCATTTGTGGCAAGCACTTTGTGTGTGTGCGTGTGTCTAATGAGTGCGACCTTGTAACGGGGGCTGTGCCAGGCGGTCGGCCCCCGCCGATGCCCACTTGGGTTACGTTTTCATTCGCCACGTAACAGCATTCGCTAAATAAAGTTTTACGAAGCGAGGGGTCAATACCAAAAGTGTCGGTCTCTTCATACGCCTGTTGCCAGAAGCCGCAGCTTGCACGGCACCCATTTCGTGCACGAAAAGGTGCCGCTAAAAATCGGGCAGCCCGCGAGCACTCGCTCAAGGAAGCCCGACTGCCGATGAGACGCTGCACGTCGAAACCGGTCCACGGTTTGCATCGAAGCAACGCCGCTGACAAAATGCACTGCCAGAAGGCCTTGCAGCCAATCGATGAGCTGTGTAAACAAAAATAAAATTTTGTCTGCAGAGATAAGGAGGCGTACGATACAAAGAAGCCTCAATGTGTGTTGCCTATGATGGACCAGACTGCGGAGAGATGTCCCGAAACACGAATTGGCATCAACATCTGTCGCTCTGCTCCCTGCCACGCGCTTTATCGCAGACTCTGCTCAACCTTTGCTCGGTGGAAGGTCGCTGCTCATCGTCTCCCCCAACAACCAGTCATCCGTGCCGTCAACTTTCCCGCCCCTGTTCAAGCTCAGGCCCTATAGACCTGCCTTTCTGCCCGTCTATGAGGCACTACCTCGGAAGTAAATGAGCCCAGTTTCTGTGCAGCATCTTGAGCCGCAGTGCACTTACGGAATTCCAAATTGCTACGTCCTGCATAGAATAACATAACATTGCAATCGCCAGAGAACCGAAGCCGTGGCACGTAGCGTTATAGTTCGGGAGAGCACACCGTTGGTGTGCAGGCCTGAGATGGGTCACCGTCTACCGAGGTCTGGGAGCCCACGTGACGACTCCGCTCATTAATATTCACGATCTATGCGTAGGCCTGCAAGGGTATTGTGATTAAAGAACATTCTCGTGAGCGTATTAATGATTAAACAGAAGTGTGTTTTTTTTATTAATGTATACACTTGCATAGGCATTTAACACAATTTATTTTATTGTGATGTCACCGATTACGTCTTTAGCGGTTCATAATTCGTTGCTTTTGTGTTCGATCGTGGAGGTGTGATGTCAATTTCGTAACTATAACCTTCCACCACCCGACAGCCAATCAAATCAGGTTGTCACGGGGGGAATATGCCACTCGACTTAGCTTTTCAGCCAACTGGACTGTTGATAACCAAGCAAAACGTTGACAATTTTGTTACTTGAATTTGAGAGATCACTGAACACCCACACGGTGCAACCCAAAAGAAACTGATGTAATCACATCGGTCGTGAAAGCTTTGTGTGTTCAATAAATAATTACATCTCTTCAAATATGTAAAAAAACATTTGTACAAATTCACTTCACAGGATTCTAGAAACTTTTTATTTTAACCAGGTAAGGCCCCACTGAGCTATGTAGCTCTTTTTCAGAAGCAACCTGGCCACCACAAATGATAGCTCAACGAAGTGGCTTATCACCGTGGAAATGCATAGCAGATAATTACTCTCTAAACGCGTGGTGATGTTGTTTCTGAATGTGGTGGGAAAAACTGGAGGACCTGGAGAAAAATCCACGCGACCACGGGAAGAGAGAATTCAAACTCCAAATATAAAGGTGTCAGGGTCACGATCGAACCCACGACCTCCTGTATAGCGGGCGAGGTAGTTAACATCTAGCCAACGTGGCCAGGTTCGGCAACGTGTGGGAAGAGGTTCAGTGGAATGCTCGAGTTTCAGAGCTATACAAACGAATGCATGGTGTTTGGATGTACGTTGAACTTCTTTCGCACCTTACATAGCCAACTGTGCTAATCGTAGATGCGGGGGAAGGGCAGCATTAAACTCTCAACAGAGTTCGACGGAAATTTCTAAGACTGCCGCATTTGCACGGCCCAGTGGGAGTCGAACCACCCCTTGGTTCATGAATTGAGCAACGAGGTTCGGGTTCGAAGAGCATCGCGCCGAGCCGGCAAAACACCGGGAGGGAGCGAGGGGGGGCGGGGGGGGGGCAGGCGACAGCGCACTGGCGGATTTTTCCGCTTGTGTGCGACGCCTGCGACCGGTACACGTGGATCGCAGATCAGACTTCACTCTCATCGTCGGAAGCGCCGTCGATGAGATCCACCGTGTCGACGGCTCAGCCCCTCTGCTCCCCCCCGCCATGACGGACACGTCCCAGCTGCAGCTGCCGGTGACTCAGCCGCGTCCCAGCTACAGCTGCCGGTAGCTGGCTATGACCTGCTCCAGCAGTGTGAAGCTGTCGAGGAAGTCCTCCTCCGACACGCCGTGGTGCGTGTACTGGTGGACGTACGCCCTGCAAAGATGTTCACATTGTTAAACGCACTTCACGACAATTACCGCGTAAACACGGATGTTTATGTTTGTTTGTACGTATGTTGAAGTTCTTTTCGCACCATACGTAGCCAACGGTGCTGATCGAAGGTGCGGGGGAAGGACAACAAACTAAACAAAAAGGTGTTCTAGAGAAATGAGTTATCAAGGGTGTAAGGGACGCCTCGTCAAGACGCGTGTGGGTGACGCGTGTGGGTGACGCGTGCGGGTGACGCGTGCGGGTGACGCCCGCGGACGTGCTTTACACGCGCAAGGCACGCGTTGGAAGTTTTATTTATTTATTTAGGTATAGCCCTGTGATCCATTCGGCTCTTGAATCGGGTGCAACCACAACAAACAAAAAACAAAAAGACGAACAAGAAAAACATCTTAAAGTGACTGTGTGACTGTGCAAACAGAAAATCCATGAAAAAAAACCAGCAAAATATTCCTGAAAAAAGCACCGTACACCAACGCTGTGTGCAGAAAATCCCAGTGGGATGCAAGCCAAACAACAACCACAAGAAAACTTAGATTAAGGCTATCAGTCTAACTCCGTACTACAACAAAACAAACATGTCCAAACCAAAAAAAGTTTTCCAAATCACCAAAAAATAAAGCCATAATTGCAACATAACAGTGATCACAGGGACTGTGACCGAATTTTTACAATAAACTACATAAATAACATGTAACACCAAATCCTAGAGCCATAGCTGGCTGTATGAGTTACTCCACAACAACAGAGGCATCAGTCGGAGTATCAAATTTTACAATGCACCTTTAAGATCAGCACGCTAAATCAAAATACAGATAATACTTTGCAGCGTCATCCGGAGTGAAACATTTTATTTTATTTTACGCCAATGAATAGCAGTGGCAGCTAGGGGTATACAACTCCTCTAGAGCAATTTTGAGAGAACTCATTGGTAGCGATTCAAGTTGCAGTTTATTGGCAACAGCATTCCAGACTCTGGGGGCATCAATAGCAAAGGCGTGGACCCGGCAGCCAGACACAGATGCCGTCTTGTGAGGCCAGGGCAGACCGACCTCGATTCCGGCTCGGCAAAACGCCAACAGAAAACGCCGCGCGCCGCCCCTGGCAAGGGTGGGATGTGCGAGCGGAAATTCCGTACGGTTGCTTTTGCTGTTGCGGCCAGGAAGACGATGCGGTTTACCTGGACACGAACATACGCCAGGCCTTGGAGACGGCGTGCTCGACGGGGGAGATCACGGCCGTGTCGTTGGCGAGCAGCGTGGCCGACTTGCCGTAGCCGGTGGGCGCGCGCCGCTCGCTCCACACCGCCAGGGCCGCCTCGGGTGGCACCCAGCGGCACAGCGAGCCGCCTGCCGCCAGCTCGCCTGGAGCCACGCAGCGCCACCAGAATCGGAAATGTGTATTTGTACTGCAGGAGGAATCCGACGAGCTATAAAGCTCTTTTCCACAGGTGTCCAGTAGGGGCGGCTCAGAACGTTACAACAACAAACAGTACAAAACACGATGAGTAGTGCAAAGTATAGGGTAAACAAGTTAGCCAAACACATGCAAATAAAACGAAACCATCCCCGTCCTACCAGACAAGGTCCACTGATGTGTTAACTTATTTTTCAGAAGCAACCTGGTCACAAATGATGGCTCAACAAAGTTAGGGAGAGCCATAGGCGTACGTTGAAAGCTTGTGTGTGTGTATATTTCATTACAAAGACAACTCGCGTATAGCCTTAATAGACTGTTGGGGAAAGTGCTGTTCGCGAGTAGAACCTATGAAGGCCGACACGGCACACGAGGGGGTGGGTGGCCAGCATCACGCCTGGCCACCTTTGTCTCCCTAGTGACGATGTTTACATACCGCACAAGGTATACTCATTTGATGCTGAGTCGACCTAGGGGAGGCCCAGGACCAGTTGAGATAATCGTCACTGGTGTTGGCCGTGAGTGGGAATCGAACTCGGGTCGCCCGGTTCGTAGCACAGCGCGCTAATCGCGACCACTACCGCTCCCTAATGTATACACACACACACACACTTGCATACGACACCCATATACAGGTTGCTTTGTGAAGACAGGGCTCAGCACGGCTCCGGGACGGGTCCAGCATGGCTCAGGCCACAGCACAGCTCTGCCCCAAGTACAGATCCCCGTGGAAACACAGCGGACGGTGGAGAGGTCGTCGCCGTGTACGTACGGGACCGTGTACGAGCTCTCCAGGGAAGACGCTGCAGTGGTGGTTAACAAGCGAAGTTGGTGGGGTGGTTTGCAGCCGTGTGTTGCACGGCTAGCGCTGCAGTGGCAGCAGCGCGGCAGCATGTGCCGGAACAACAAAAAAACTCCACACACCTGTCAACAACACTGTGGCCTAAGAGGTACAAACGCAATACATCATCGCCGGCAGCGTGTCGTTTTAGGGATCGGCCCGAATTTCATGTAAGCACGTAAACAGAGAGGCCAGAGACAGAGTTTACGGGGGTTGGAGACTGTGTGTAACAACACCACGGGGGCCTGATGTTAATTAAATGTAATGGACGTTTTCTGATGAACAGCGTTTCAATGGGCATATGAATAGTTAAGGATAACAGTAGCTATTGAGCAACAGACAAACCTTCTGTAATCGAGCACCAAAAGAACTCACCAAGCGGCGTAGCGTGTGCATCTGGCCCTCTCAGCACCAGCAGACGGGCAAGAGAGGTCGGAGGCGGGGCAGGGCCTGCAACGCAGCACAGGACTCGACGAGTCAACTACAAAGACAAAGATCACCCGTATAACCTTTAACAGACTGTAGGGACAAGTGCTGTTAGCGAGCACCTATGAAGGCTGACACGGCACACGAAGGGGTGGGTGGCCAGCACCACGCCCGGCACACACCGCACCAGGTACTCATTTGAGGCTGTGTCGACCTAGGGGAGGCCCATGACCTGCTCAGATAATCGTCACTGGTGTTGGCCGTGAGCGGAAATCGAACTCGGGTTGCCGGGTTCGTGCGCGTTATGTACACGCGCCTACACGCGCCTACACGCACGCGCACACGCAGGCGGATTTGAGACTTTACTCTGGGTCTCTCTGTGCAGCTCCTGGAGAAGGCCCTTCCAGTCGTAGCGCGTGAAGTCTCGCGAGGACTCGGGCAGCTGGGGAACCGCGTGCAGGGACAGCAGCTTCAGCTCCGGGTGCGGCACCAACGCCTGAAGCAGCTCGCCTGAGAGACACGAAAGACAAAGATCCGCCGTGTAGCCTTTGACAGGATGTTGGGGCAAGTGCCGGGAGCGAGCAGCCTATGGAGGTCGGCGGGGTGACGTCCACGCTCGGCCACCTCTGTCTCCCCAGTGCTGATGTTTTACACATCGCACCAGGTACTCGTTTGAGGCAGAGTTGACCCAGGAGAGGCTCAGGACCGGTTCAGATAATCGTCACTGTTATTGGTCACGAGTGGGAATCGAACTCGGGTCACCAGGTCCGTAGGGCAACACACTGACCGCTAACGATGCAGCTCCACCAATGGTACGATGAAAGCACACACACAGGGTGGTGACCACAGAGAGCGACACAAAAGGGGGAAGCAATTACAGGCACCCGAACACGCAACCTCCGTGCGTATGTATGTATGTATGTCGAACTTCTTTGGCAGCGTACCAAGGTGCGGGAAAATCGGAGATGCGGGTGCCTGTAACCTGGCTGAAGTAAAGCCCTGGGCTCCACCACGCCGCTCGCAACAAAGCGCACGCACACACGCACTCACGCACGCACGCACTCACGCACGCACTCACACACTCACTCACCCACGCACGCTTCGCCTGATTTGCCTGCGTCGCCCTCCTCCCCGCGTCCCGCCTCACCGAGCTGGTCGTGGAGGTAGGCGCCGGCCGCGGGCCCACCGGCGGGAGGGTCCCGGCGGACGCGGGCGGGCAGCAGGGCACCCGCCAGCTGAGCGGCCACCACCGCGTTGAGGTGCGAGAAGGAGACGGCCGGCCGGCGCAGGAGCTGCGCGCAGACGCGGTGCGTGCGGTCGTTCTGCTGCACGAGCAGCGCGTCCGAGCAGCCGTGCAGGTGGGCCAGAGTCAGCACCGCGTTGTAGTTCTGCACAATCACCTGTCGGGGGCGGGAGTCAGAGGGAGGAGGTGAAGAGGTCACGAAGCAGCCTGACGAACGCTTGCTCAGGCCACTCCTGGCACGAGGAGGTGCGGTGGAGGGGGCGGCAATGGACAAACAGCTGTGGCCACGCGGTGCGCCGCGGCCCGACCTCCCCGGTGCTGTACGGCCAGGTGAGGTGGTTGAGGAGGCCGGCCTTGGGGTAGGCGTCGCGCAGCCGAATGCACAGCCTCGTGCCCAGGCCCGAACCCGTGCCGCCCGCGACGCTCATCATCGCCAGGAAGCCCGAGAGGCGGTCACAGCGCTCCACCTGCGCCCGCACGCTCTCCATTGCCTCCGACAGGCAGTGCTCGCCCGGCCCTGCAAAGCTGCACACAATGCAGACAACAGTGTGTGTGTGTTTACTCAGCAAACCCTTGTGCATCGGTGGGGAGGAAGGGGGGGGATTGTGTTCCTGAAAATACGTGATATGCAATCTGAAATGGGTTCAGTTCACGGTCCGTAATGACATCACCCTCCTTTTGTTACGTGTTGCCCTACATCAAGCCAAACGCCAAACAGGAAGTGATTTGAATATAAAATGTTATTTATACTTTCTCGTGTTAAATATAACTTGTACGGTAAATGTATCGAATGAAAATAATAATGTAACATATCCGTTGTACAGTACATCGATTCCTGCTATCCCAATAGAAGACCCATGACGAGTGAGGAGCAGCTAATCATTAAACCGGTGTGGTGCATACAGACTTAATTATTTTTGTCACAAGCACGGTCAATCCGAATTTCGAATGCTCTGCTGATGGACAATCGAGTGCTCAACTGTGTAGGTGATTGAGCATTAGACGCACAACGGGAAGGACACACACGATGCAACAACATTCCCCGAAGGCACCGGCATGGAACCCGACGTGACCTACAGCACTGCCACCATCCTAGTAGATGCAACGGCCTCCGTCGACTTTGACATTCTGATAATGACGATGATGATGAAGCGTGTAAAACAGGGCCACCATCTCACTCACCCGTACGCCCAGTTGTTGGCGGAGCCGCTGGTCCGGCAAACGGCTGCCCCATCGGCGTAGCGCCACTCTCCCGAACGGGCCGCCATGGCCACACTGCGTGCCACCACCTTCCTCTCCATGTCCACCAGCACGGCCCGTGCCTCGGGGAGCCCTGCGAGCGGCAGGACGCCGCACTTCGCTTCAAAGACATCAACTGGCAATGCAGCCAAGTGCTAAACTAAAAACATTTTTTTTTCATCTTAGCAGGTAAGTGACCTGGCCACAGATGATAGCTCAACGAAGTAGCTTATCATCACGTGGACATTTATAGCAGCCAAATACTCTAAACGTGTGATGTTGATTCTAAATGTGGAGGGAAAAACATCGGAGGACTCGGAGAAAAGTTGACGCGACCACGGTGAGATGAAGAGAGAGAGAGAGACACGCAAACTCCAAATATACAACAGGCATCGGCAGGGTCGGGATGGAACCCACGACCTCCTTCATACCAGGCGAGGTAGTTAACATCTCCTAACCACCGTGGCGAGATGTATCCAGACCAACTCTTTAAAAAACTGGGGCCCACGACCCGCAGTTGGGGGGGGGGGGGGGGGAAAGGTGTCAAGGTCCCAAGGGACTGGGTACCGGATCCGGCTGGGCTGTGGAAGTATCGCTCCAACGCCGCCTCCCGGTAGCACGCATCGTCGGTTCTCGGCGGCCCCGGAGCGGGGCGCACGTCATGAATCAGTGCCTCGAACCACGTGCTCCCCAGCTGGTTCCCGCACTGGCCCAGCTGTAGGGCGACCACCGACATTGCCCTCTTGAGTTGCGGGGCCAGAGGCAGCCCTGAGAAATTCGCAGGCTGAGATGTGGATCCGCCGCACCTAGGGGCAGAGAAAAAGGGAAGCAAGAGTAACGTGGAGATGCAGGAGGACACAGATTGATAGAATGGTGGCGAGGAGATGTTAACTACCTCGCCTGATATACAGGAGGTCGTGGGTCCGATACCGACCCTGACCCCTGATAATTTGGAGTTTGCGTGTTCTCCCCGTGGATGCTTAGGCTGCATCCTATTCATCTGGAAAGAGACATAGGAATGGGAATTCTTTGACAGCCTCAAGGAATCGTTAACAAAATCTCCATTCATGTCAATGGCGATTGCTGCGTGTGCATTCAAACGAATTGGATTCTAGCGATGATCCCACGATCGTCACAATATGGCACACTAACCCTGGAAACAGTAACTCGGCAATACCTCTTTCACATACGTCCATAAAAAAAATGTCAATGTCATTTTACAAACCTTAAATCTGCGACAATGCATTGAGTGAGTGCATAATTGCAGCGGCGTTACTTTGAGGACTCCGCTTTGCCGCGATTTGTGTTTCGCGGATAAGAGGAGTCACGTGGCAGATAATAGTATCCGCGATATTGGTCCCTCATATCACCGCGGATAAGTGGAGTCCTCCTATAATAGCGCTAGAAGAGTGACAAGGCAGCGACTGACTGCCGACGTATTCTTGTACAGGGAAATTGAGTTTTGAGGTCCATACGGAGCACGGCTGTTTCGGTGTGGGCACATTTTTGGGGGTTTTTGGTCTATTTGTTTGTGTTTATCCCTTGTGATAGGACTTTGTAGGATGAAATTTTATATTTATAAGGGCACGGGGTGACGAATAAAGTCTGAACTCGTCTGTAATAAGGTAGGCACTGATAAGGGGTTGACAGGTATGCGAATTAGTGCGGGGGTGGTGTATGCTTACAGAAGCCATGGCTCACTACCAAACGCTGTGTTCTTCTTCATTGCGAGACCCGCGGGCCACTGGCGGCCCCTGATGGCCTTTAGTGAGGCTCCTGGTAGCCTTTAGTGCGACCCCTGGTGGCCTTTAGTGCGACCCCTGGTGGCCTTTAGTGCGACCCCTGGTGGCCTTTATTGGGGCGCTTGGTGGCCTTTATTGGGGCCCCTGGTGGCCTTTAGTGAGACCCCTGGTGGCCTTTAGTGGGGCTCCTGGTGGCTTTTATTAGGGCCCCTGGTGGCCTTTAGTGCGGCGCCTGGTGGCCTTTAGTGAGGAACCTGGTGGCTTTTATTAGGGCCCCTGGTGGCCTTTAGTGAGGCCCCTGGTGGCCTTTAGTGGGGCTCCTGGTGACCTTTAGTGCGGCCCCTGGTGGCCTTTAGTGCGGCCCCTGATGACCTTTAGTGCGGCCCTTGATGACCTTTAGTGCGGCCCCTGATGACCTTTAGTGCGGCCCCTGACGACCTTTAGTGCGGCCCCTGATGACCTTTAGTGCGGCCCCCTGGTGGCTTTTAGTGTGGCCCCTGATGACCTTTAGTGCGGCCCCTGATGACCTTTAGTGCGGCTCCTGATGACCTTTAGTGTGGCCCCTGATGACCTTTAGTGCGGCCCCTGATGACCTTTAGTGTGGCCCCCTGGTGGCTTTTAGTGAGGCCCCTGGTGGCTTTTAGTGGGGCCCCTGGTGGCCTTTAGTGAGGCCCCTGGTGGCTTTTAGTGGGGCGCCTGGTGGCCTTTAGTGGGGCCCCTGGTGGCCTTAAGTGAGGCCCCTGGTGGCCTTTAGTGCTGCCACCCCCCACCCCGCTGCACCACAATGGTTTCAAACGGAGTGGCGGCCCCCCTCACACCGACGATGTCTTCTTATCGACGACAGTCCCACCCCCCCCCCCCCCACTGCACATGAGTGAAGAATCACATCGATCGAAGCGAACACGATTGGAGCGGTGGGTGGTGGGAGGGGGGGGCAGTGGTCATCTCAATAAACTTACGAAGCTTACGAAGCCGGCGAGACGGCGCGTTTGGAGTCTTTGGCCACGGCCGTCGGGTCAGTGACGAGCGGCGTCCATCCGAGCCGGTCACACACCACGGGGCGCGCGTGACACCAGCGCGTAGTGACCAGCGTGGTGAAGTATGGTCAAAGGAAGGGCCCTGGCATCCAACAGTGAATCGACAAAGTTCGTGCAGACAATGAATGAAAGCAAACACTGCTGCCTCTAGAACAACTTTCTCACAGAACAGCGCATAAACCAAAAGTGTCATCGGGGTAAGAGACACAATCACTGTTGCTATGCAGTACAGTAACAGTACAGTACTGCATAGCAACAAGCGCTGCGCCTTCTGTGCAACGGTGCGTTAGCGGCGGGTTCGCAATGCGCCTTTACGAGTCTCACTTGGTCGCTGTTTATGAGAAGCGCGACCCACACCCGACGCTGCCTCATCCAGCAGTGGAGTGACAAACGAAGGCACTGTACGCGTACAGTAGTTACCGCCAACTCATTTCAAAGCGCGCCACGACCCGCCACGCGCGTGACATGACGTCACTACATAAGCGCGCCATGATCCCCCGCGCGTGATATGACGTCACTACACAAGCGCGCCATGATCCCCCGCGCGTGACATGACATCCCTACACAAGCGCCTTGACCCCCCCCCACGCACGACATGATCTCATGACGCGGGCGCTCCATTACCCCCCCCCCCCGCGCGTGACGTCACTACAGAAGGTCTCCTTAGTGGTGATGTCACCGTTCTGGCAACGAGCAGGTGACGTCAACCTGTGGAATGACGTCACTGCCCATTCGGGGTGGGGGGGGGGGAGAGAAAATCAGAATCTGTATTGATAGTGCAGAAGGAATCCGATGAGCTACCAAGCTCTTTTTAACGGATGTCCAGTAGGGGCACAGGGTGAGAACGTTACAACAGCAAACAAGACAAAAAAGACGATAGTAGTGCAAAGTAGAGGAAAGGTGAACAAATAATTTAATCGATTGGCGGTGACCCGGGTCACCATCGTGACCCCGGGGTGCCAAAACCTCCATAACTCCGAAACCAGAAGGCCTACGAAGACGGGAGATGTCACTGAGCCCGATACGCACGCCAAATATGGATATAAAAAAAACGCAAACCCCCCGTAAACAAGGGGGGCTGCTGGGGATTTGTGCGTGGCAACGGCTGTTTATCGCTTGTTGTGAAAGTACATCACGATGCTGGTCTGGTCATTCCCCCGGCACGTTCTGCTTCTTACGGTGGGCGGCCACCCCCCTTGTCTTTGGGAGCGAGACCACTTGGAGGCAATGGCGCATCGGGCGCTCTCTTGGTACGGTCGGCGGTCACGGTCGTGCTGGCGGGATCGACATCGTCATCATGATCGCTCCCAGCGTCGCCCTCCGGCAGGACAGGGTGGTGGTACCAGCGATGCTCCCAGAAAGAAAGAAAAACCTTCAACTATGCCCGACCCACCAATAATTTTGCGGTGACCCGGGCTACCGCCAATCGATTCCATTATCCAATTCTCGCCCTAATAGCTTCTTTTAAAAAAAAAAAGCTGTGTTTGTAAATAGTATTTCCTCCCCACAGTCTTGCCAAATTCTTAAACCTTTGCTGATGAGTGCTGGTCTAGAAATCCACTGCTAGACTGATGGACACAAATAACGTATGCGGTCTATATAGTTTACATGGAGGACGTGTCGACAGTCAACCTGTGTTGGCTTTCGCCCTTTGTTTTAACTGCCAAGCCGGGAGAGCCGACCGACCCGGCAACCCCTGGATTGCAAGTCCGGTGTCGCACTCCGTGGCATGACGGCTCCCTCCGATCTCAAAACGAACCTTATTTTATCCGCCCCTGGTGGGCTGATTGATCACAGTTGACCCGAGTCAGGCATTTTCAGTCTCCAATACCCCCTGGGCTTTGATCTCCCACGAAGCTGCTCTGTGTGGTCCACCCCTGAAACCGCAGCCACTGCACAAACCACGGCGGCAGCAGCAGTAGATGCTGATAGCCCTGGCGGTGTCGCGCATGGACACGATGAGAACCTCCCTCCTGTGTCGGTGTGCGACTGTGGTCATCCAGAGCAGAGGCCGTGGTCGGACAACGCGTCACGTGGTCGTACAACGCGTCACGTGGTCGTACAACGCGTCACGTGGTCGTACAACGCGTCACCACGCAATGCCCCCATCCACAAATACTATGAAGGAGACATCATCACAGCGATGATGATGATACACGACTACTACTACTACACTACTACTACTGACGCGGTTGTTATCTGGGTTTGACCACCTGAATGTGAGATTGTAGTTGTTGGCATCTCTGCATCTACATCAAAGCTTTCGTGACTGCAGGGATTCATATTCTTGGTTCTTTCGGTAAAATCACGTAGAAGGGAAACAATTATTTTATTGTTTCCCTTCTACGTGACTTTACCGAAAGCACCAAGAATAAAGAAGCAGAAGAAGTCTATAAATTTGGAATTTTAGAGTTGATCTCTCTCTCTCCCAACACCAACATTCTCTTTTACCCAGTGTGTGAAGAATTCGAGTGAAGCTGCAGGGGCAGCATCGCTTCCAGAACGCTCCACATGGGGGCAGTAACGCGCTCTCTCTTTGGAGGTCTCCGAAAATCGTTCGTCTCAGATACTTCTGACTGCTCAAACCCGAGCTAAAGATGCCCTCTGATAACTTGAATTGGCCGTTGTACTGTTAATAAAAACGAGTTCAAATGTACAACGTGCCCTTAAGCAATATTTATCAGGACGCCTTTTGGCGTTGTTCTCTGGTGGTGAGACTAGGCCATCAAGAAAGGATGTCTCTTGTGTAGGCCAATCCGTTTCAAAGACAATGTGTAAATTATTATCAGAGCCACGTGTTTGTTTGCATGTTCGCCACAAGTACCGTGGTTAATGCAGACTTCATTCCTTGCAAAAGGTTTATGTTTGGTGTTCAAACATCTTCACACCTATTTTATTGCTGGAAATGGTAAAAAAAGCTATTCTTATTTTTCATACATTAATCTCACGCAGATTTGCAGTGTATCATCTTATCTAAATGTACATAGCGCCTTCGACCAAGGCGCTGTGACAGAGAATTAACTATTTGTACCACAGAGTAGTGTGACGATGAGATGAGTTTATGATGCATGATGAATATGATGATGCTTGAATTCAACGATGAGAGTGACAATGAGTGGTCAATGATGAGTGAGTGTGATGAACGGGTATGCATGCGTGCATGGTGAACTTCTTTCGCACCATACGTAGTCCAACCGTGCTAATCGGAGGTGCGGGAAGTTTGTAAAGAGGGGGCGTGTTTATAATTAAGTTGTTTTTGGGGTTGGATTGCGTAAATACAAATGTGTCGTTAACCCACCACCACCCGACACGACCAATTAGTAAGGTTTGTCACGTAAACAAAACGCACCAATTAGTTACGACTTCAGCACAACGGTGTGCTGGAGAGTAAAACCCCACAACATGTACAATTAAAATCCTGTCCGACGTTTCGCTGGTAAAATTACGAACTTCATCGGGCGATTTTTTTTGCCCAAATTGTGGTGGTGGGTGAACAACACGTTTATCTTTACGCGATCTAACACCCCCCCCCCCTCCCCAAACCTCCACCCCCTTTATTACGAATAACATTGGTCGCGAAAGCCTACGAGGCGTTGAAGAGGGATGAAGTTAGTGATGGGGAAGGATCGGGGGGGGGGGGGGAGTTGGAGTGAGCAAGGGAAAATAAGTGAGGCTGAATGTGTGGACGTGCAGGGGAAGTTTGTTCCAGGTGTAACCTTGCCCCCCCCCTCCCCCCCACCCCCAGGTTTTCTCGTCACTTAACAGATTGTTGCAAATTGGCGAGTTTCTGGCTCTGCGTAAGGTATACAAAGTGGGCTGTCATCGCGTGAGGTTCTCAGAGGCGGACTCGGCAACAGTTGGCATTGGCGACTGTGTTGAACTGATGAGTCCTAATATGGACGAACCCGGCCACAGCTGTCTCGCTGCTGCCTGTTGCTTCGTCGCGTTTGCTCAATTTATTGACGGTGTCTTGAGGCTAGATGACGACACATGGCAGTTCTTCAGGAAGTGCTGGCTTCGCTTATTGCTTCGGGCAGATGAGTGTTTCGTACGCAGAGTGCGCATCTCGTTGTCGATGCGTCGAAAACCGATGACGGATCACTGAGAAGCCTCGTCAGTGCCTCGCCACCCTTCGATTGCCGCTGCAACAGTTACTGCTTCCGTGAACTTCCTTTATCTATTCTGACACTCGCATAGAGGACAATCTACACCGGACACGCGGCAGGTCAAAATCACTGCTCCCCCCCGCTACTTTCCTCGCACTGCTGATCACCTTTGTATTTTTCTGCGACCGTCTCTTTCTCCACATGCACACAAACCTTATTCTATTCAAGAAACGTAATGACTCACATCTGTTACACCACCACTCGAAATTTTTGTTGCTGGGCATTTGGGCCTGTGTTCATCAACCATGATTTCAAGAAAAATGGTGTAGGGCTCACTTGGATGAACTGGAAAGTGCAGGAATGATCTGTGTGGCAGATGTTTTGGGTCCAGAAGGTTTGTTTGTCTTGTATAAGAATCTGAGATAAAAAAAAAATTCCACTTTGCAATACGCGTTTTTTTATATACCAAGGTTCAGCCAAGTGTAGTTTATGCCAAATTTAAAATAGCTTCACTGAATTGTTTTCGCTGTTCATGCAGGCACGGCACAACATTTAAGCGTGCCTTTTGGGACTGTCTGGATATTCTCAAATGAATGGATGTGGTCCTGCAACACTTCAAGGGTGCATGGAAAAATCGTGGTCCCATCAGTTCTGGAGCTAAATACTCTTGGGCATTGCCAAATGATTTAACCAAAAGTTTCAGTTCGAAATTTTATATATACAGTGTGGCCCAAAACTCAGGACACATAGGGTTATGATATTTCAACAAATCACATCGGGTTACTTCATTTATGATAACAAATGTTCAAATTTACTACCATTAGCATTAATACCTGAGTGCGTTATCTTTAATTTAGGACTTAAAATATATTACAGGTGTAATCATTCAATATTCATTAAAATAAATGGTCTCAATTCGTTCACAGGATTCTTGGTCGGGATTTGTAAACAACGGATTTGTGGTAAATCCACATGAAGAAAAAAAATAAAAAAATAAAAAAACCTCACTATTTAATTTTACCAGGTAAAGCTCCAAGTAACTATATAGCTCTTTGTCAGAAGCGACCTGGCTATCACAAACGATAGCTCAACGAAGTGGCTTGTCACGTGGAAAATGTATAGCAGCCAAATACCATAAACGAATGTTAATAAATGTGGAGGGGAGAGACACGCAAACTCCAAACATACAGACGTCGTGGTCGGGATCGATCCCACGCCCTCCTGTCTACCAGGCGAGGGTGACAACATCTTGCCACCGTGATGAAATATAAATGTAAAGAGTACGCTTTTGTTATGCCAGTGTTAAAATATATGAGATAACCCGACGTGTGCCTGACTTTTGTGCCACCCTGTATATACTACTCGACTGTTGGTAAAATTTCGATTTAAAGCTTTCGTGACTGCAAGGATTCATCTTCTTTGGTTCTTTCGGTAAAGTA